AAAATAAAATTAGAGTGATCGTTTGCATAATTTAAATTTGTTCTGTCCTTCAAGGCCAGTCTTCCCGAGATGGGCCGTACCGATTTGTACCATAGGAAAGCTATCAGTTTCAGAGAACGCTATATGTAGGGTACTGTAATTTTTCTTGAATAAAAAAAAGAACGGCTCCCTTTTTTTTCTTTTTTGGGGGACACGTGGAAATTCGGGGCGATAGGAGACGACGGACAAGGTAGGGATGCATGTCATTTTATTATCTATTTTCTTAGAGAGAACAATACCATCTTGACCATCAATGCGCATATGGGAATTGCAGAGTTAGCTATGATTGCCAGAATTTCCTCTTCGTTTGACCTTTAGTGACAATGCTTTTACTGACTATGTGCATCCTCCAAATCGATAATCAATATCTTAGTGACCTTGGAGCATGCCCATCGATAACCAATCAATAAAAAAATATGCCTAGGCGCAGATCTCAAGGATGGCTCATGCTCGACCCGACAATTAATATCTCAGTCCCCGAAATCGCAATCAATAAAATTGTTTGAGTTCAGGAAAGAATCACGTGACCTTCAGTGGGTTATAGTTTAGACAACAACCACGATGACATTCGGTGACCTTAGTTCAGGCAAGAACCCTAGTTAGTTTTGACAGCAAACACACGATGACCTTGAGTGACATTAGTTTTGACAACAACAACGATGACGTACAGTGACATTCGCTTGGTGGGTGCGCGGTAGTTCAACTTTGAACTTGAAATCAAGATCAAAGTGTGCCAGGATCGCCCTTACTATACTACTCCCAGGAAATTTTATAAAATAAAAACCTGGAAATTTCCTAAATTATCTTAAGATTCCATAAGATCGCAAAAAATAACGTGAAATATAACCTGGTAAATCCGAAGAATTATCAAAATTATATTCCCAAGACGTTTTTTAAGATACATTTAATTTCAAACGACTTCGCAAAGGGGTTCAAGAGTAAGATGTAGAATATGATCCCCAATAATCTTTAAAGAATCGCTAGAATGGTTTCCTGAACAAGAACAGTAACATGTAAAAATAAAACAAAAATACCAATAGGTAGCCCCGAAAAAAAATGCCTCAGATCGACCCGGAAAAAAATTTCTTATAGAATGTGGCCTGTAGAATCCATAATTTCAAACAGTTCCAAGATTGGGCTACTAGTTCAAAAGTTACAGCCCTTTAAATTTTCTTTCGAAATTGGTTTCTAGTCTATAACTTTTGATTGAGAAGTCTGATCGAAAAAGTACGAATTGTTTTGGATTCTACGCACCAAAATTAATAAGAAAAGGTAAATTTCCCGAGAAATTTTGGTGCAGCCGATTTTTGGTAAAAAAGGAAGGTTATACACTGCCTTTTTTTGAGCCCCGAAAAAAAATTGTCTCAGATCGACCCGGAAAAAAAATTTTCTTATAGAATGGGCCTGTAGAATCCATAATTTCAAACAGTTCCAAGATTGGGCTACTAGTTCAAAAGTTACAGCCCTTTGAATTTTTTTTCGAAATTGGTTTCTAGTTATAACTTTTGATTGAGAAGTCTGATCGAAAAAGTACGAATTGTTTTGGATTCTACGCACCAAAATTAATAAGAAAAAGTGTTTTCCCGAGAAATTTTGGTGCAGTCGATTTTTGGTAAAAAAAGGAAGGTTATACACCGCCTTTTTTTGAGGCCCGAAGAAAAAATTGCCTCAGATCGACCCGGAAAAAAATTTTTCTTGTAGAATGTGGCCTGTAGAATCCATAATTTCAAACAGTTCCAAGATTGGGCTATTAGTTCAAAAGTTACAGCCCTTTGAATTTTTTTTCAAAATTGGTTTCTAGTTATAACTTTTGATTGAGAAGTCTAATCGAAAAAGTACGATTGTTTTGGATTCTACGCACCAAAATTAATAAGAAAAAGTGTTTTCCCGAGAAATTTTGGTGTAGTCGATTTTTGGTAAAAAAAAGGAAGGTTAAGTATTCAAATACTATGCGAAGTATTCGAATACTTTACGAAATACTAAATACTTGTGAAAAAGTATTTAATTACAAAGTATTTGAATACTTTAAAGGATTTGAATACTAAAAAGTATTTACAAAATCGAATACTGTCCAGCTCTGACTGTAATTACCTATCTATTTATTATACAGTGGGTTTTTTTAAAACTGGCCATGGGATTTTACATGTTAATTTTTCAACCTCCTGTTATCTTTTATTTTTTGTGAAAATTACAAAGCCTAGCGCTATTATTTTATTCAATATTAACGTTTTCTAGTTATTTACTTCATTTTGTGGAGTAATACTCTGTACAAGGCGAAATTTTGGAATCAAAATAACTTCCTTTCCTTGTGAAAGTTTGTTGAATCCTTACAAATTTTGGATCAAAATTACAAATGACAGATTTTAATCTACCACCAATATAAAATTAAAGCAAACGGAATTAGAAAACATCTTTCTGCTAGGTTTTTCCTTACTTGTGGATATTAAATTGGAATGATTTCAATACTTGTCAGCTCCGACAAAACTGGGCTGAATTTTTCCCGACGGCAAAAGTAAACAGGGGGTTAAAAAATTAGCATGGAAAATCCTATCGCCAGTTTAAAAAAAAATCACTGTATATTTATAATTATGTTCTTTTTGTTTTATTTTTGCAAGTACAACAGCCACAAATAGTTCCAGTGCTTTCAAGAACAGTAATAAAAACACCAAAAGAAATGAACGCGTTTCGAACCCAAAACGGTCATCAGCAATTCTAATAGATTTTGGTCTGGAGAGTTCAAAGATAAACACAGTCGAAGAATCATTTTAAAAATGCCCTTTGAATCTTAAGATTTTCAACTGGAAACATAGGAAGGTTTGTTACCTTTAAAGTAATAAAAACAAAAACACCAAGAAATCCTAGTTAAAGTTTTATTGTAGGGCCTTGGTGTCTTTGTTTGAGTTTCTGATAAGATTTTCAATACATAAATTAAAAAATTTAGCAAAACATTGGAGGAATTTAAGAAATTCCAAGAATAAGTTCAAATGGCCCTGATAAAAGTACCCATAGAAATTCACTACAATTTCAAAAAAATTAAAAAAAGGGACAGGGACAATTTTCAGAGAACTCTAATTCTTTTTCTATATTCTAAATTTATAAGATGAATCCAAAAAATTCGATTGAGATGTAAAGAAATTTCCAAAAATTTTGAGTAATAACACTATTACAAGTAGGTACCTAGAAAATTCCAGAAAGATTTCAGTGAATTCTTAAGAAAATTTGAGACAGGTTCTAGAGGTAGGTACTTGCTAAAGAAAAGTTTCTGTACGACAAAATATGTCTTTTCATCCGCCTTTCTTGAGCTACCGTTAACTGGAAAGTGCTATTGAAAAGAAATGCTGACAATACGTGATAGGTTATAGATTCATTGGATCTCGAACACGCCAATAAAGAGAGAACATGAATCTTAAGCCTATAGATACTGCTTATCCAATTTTAAATTAATTTAATTCGATTTTACGACAAAACCAAAAAATTTCCAAAAAAATCCAGCTATTCTTTTGGCTCTAGCGACCACGGCAAAATAAAAAATAAAGAAAATTATAAGATTTCGAAAGATTCCAAGAAAATCAAATTAAAAATGTTTCAATAAATTGCAAAAAGAATTTTTGAGTAATTCCAAGATCGCTAAATGGTTCACAGGCGGATTCCCGAGAAATTCAAATAAAAAGGAAGAGAAGAAAATTTATTTCAAAAAAGTTTTTGAATATAATTCTAAATGATTTTGCAAAAAAAGTAAAAATGATCTTGCATTTTAAAAAACTTCAGGAAAGTTTCTTGAACAAAATTTGAAACATGAACATTAAAAACGATAATAAAACTGTAATAAAATGAAAGCGTTTTAACCATATAGCGAACGTTATAATCGAATGTTTCTGGTAAGTCGAGCTCCGGCCCCAAAACAGATATAAATATTAAAATTAGAGGATTACATTAAAGAAACAGCCGAAAAATCGAAGAATCGACAGCAAACCTGACGAGTTTGTATGACTACTGACTATTTCTTCATGAACTGGCGATCTACCAAAGCAGTCGCTATGTGTGAATTTTTCGCGACGGTCTTAAGAAGGGGGTAGTGTAATATGACAGTACAAGCCGTGCATAGAAAAATACGAAACGGTCACGTTCCGTAGAGATGGGGCAGACGGTTAATATTTTTGACCAATCTGAACCTTAACGCCCTGGGGAAAACTGGAAGGACTTGTACCTTATTCCATGTTAGTCCCAATAAACGATTTATTTTAGTATTATTATATAATCTGATTGTGACTTTTGGTAGAAGATCTTTCGTAAGAGTGGTTAGTTTAAATAAGTATAAACAAAATATAAAGTAACAATAGAATTGACAATTGTAAATTCAATCTTACCTTTCTACAAGCTTCGAACCGTTTGTCATTCAGTATCTGCGTGCAAAAGTTCTGGGCGGATGATTTTAACGTGGCCCTTGTACACAAATCCTCTTGTTCCGGTTGGTCCTCGCAGGTGACTACAAAATAAAATCAAAGAAAGCTCAGCGATAACGGAAACTACCTACCTCCAACGGGATCCGCCTGCCAGCTCTTAACCAACGTCGCGATATTCTTGAAGAACAGTCCATTTCTACCGATCAAGTCATTGTACTCGTCACCGTCGTACAAGCCGCAGAGTCCCGACGTCTTGTTCCACAACCGCTCGCCGACGTCCACCTGGATAAATGATTGGGTGTCCCATCTCAATCGCAGACCCAGAACGTCGATGCTGGCGATAATGTAATGGGCTGATATGTCGGTGATGAGACCAGGTAGTCGGCTTGGAATGGGAAGGCTCTTTCCATTGTTGGTAAGAACGGGAAGTCCGTCATCTGGAACATATTGGTGTAACAGGTAGAAGGGCGCGTGACGATGAAGACGCACATGTACGACTCAAAATGTACTCCCTATTCTGCAGGTATATCTTAATGACTTTGTAGCAGTGGTCTGGTCCCTCGGCGCATTCCGCGGCCTCTTCTACGTTAATACTGAACGTGTTGTCGACGTTGTCGCTTATTAACGTAAAAGCGCATGGTGACTTGAAGCTGAAACTCAAAGTGAGCATTTGGGCGCGTTACCTATGTCGTGGTCACCTGAAGATTTCGCCGTCGAAGGTTTTCACATGCGAGTCACTCCACATGAAGCACATGCCTGGATGTGGAGCGACCGCAGGCTTCTCCTCGCTCTCAGTCTCGTAGTCCTCATAGTCCAATTCGTTTATTTCGCGAACAGACCGAGATCCTAGAAGAGTAGACCTTTAAATCGGCAATCTATTGTTTGGGTAGGGCAGCCTGATACACTCAACAAGAAACCGGACATGCCAATTGTTCCAGTTTCCTGTCCAAATAAGGTTCTTATCGCGAAATTCAATGACTATTGTTATTACAAAATGCAGGGTTTTTACCGCATTTCTTCCGTTCTTGTGACCTACTTATGAATTCGTTACAAAAAGGAACTTACTTTTGGCGTGCGATAAAGTATTATGTCCGTCTGCTTCTTGGGGGCTGAAATTAAAAAAAAGAGATAGAGTTAAGTCATACTCGTTTTGGCCCTTTTACCCTTAAATCATACAGATCTATTTTGAGTGTTGATAAAAAATTGTCAGTCGACATTTGGTTTGTCTATTTTCTTAAAAAAAAAGGGGCTAAAATAGAAATCGAGTCATTTGAACGTTGAATGAAATCGAATCCATTCCTGCTGAAGATAGACAAATTGGGAAAACATCAAAGAGAAGATTCAACAGTGCAACAATGTACTTTATAGGGGCTTATTTTGTAAAAAGGGATGCTTAAGACTATCAAATTTTGTATGGCGGAATTGATATCTGAAAAATTTCAACTGAAACTGTCTTCCTCAAACGGCCCAAAAAGTTAGACTTTGAATGTGAAGGGTGCACGTCGACGGGATGAACTGGATATTGAAAAATATTCGAGATCCCTAGTACTAAAAATAATATTCCAAGGACTTCATCACTTACGAACAGGAACGTGGGATCCATAGGAAATTTAGGACAACATTTACATAAAAGTTGCCCAATCATTTCTGGAAAAGTGGAGTTGAACCAGGTCGAAGGCAGTGGGAAGTTGACTTTCCCCTATTTGCTTTCCCACTGTTTTTCGAAGAACCTAAAATTGAAAAATGGCTTACCTGCAAATGAAACATAAAATAATGGCCGCACTTGATATGGCCAAGCGCAGATCCATTTTGGGTATTTCACTCAACAAACTGCGAAGCAGTACTGTTTTCGAAATAATTCTGTTGCGATTTAAAAAGACTTTGCTCGCAATTATTAATTAAGTAGGTAATCGAAATCCGACCACATTGAGCACATACATGTTGATTTAATTCATCGATCGATAAACTGGACAAAGAATCCAATAAATGGACGCAGGAAAAGTCATTGTTAAGTAAAATAAAGGGCACTTCCTATAATTTTTACGGTGGCTTTATTTTACTCGAACAGGATTTCGCGCTTTTGCGTGTAGCAATTTAATTGTTACCTCGTAGATTATTATTTTGTATGTACAGGATGTTACCTACTAAACATTTCTGGCAAACGCCGCATTGTCTTCAACATGATCTTCAAATACCAAACTTGTATTTTAGGAAAATGGTGGTTTTTCTAAGAAATCTTGGACCACATATTAAAACAATAATTTTGATGAACTTGTAAGAAAACCATAATATTTCGGGCGGATTTCAATTCAGCTTTTTCATTAATGGTCTTTATCTTTTTTAAATACGCTCTATGCTTTCATTAATAAAAATCAATTCTACTATAATACTATACTTGGCCCTCAACATACTACAATCGCCAGTGACTGATATCGAAAATCACATGCAAATGTATTAATTGGTGGTAACTTTCGAAAGCTTCTTGGAATCTTCTTTACATATCTTTGGAATTTTTTTTTTTGAATTCTTTGCCAATTTTTTACAGGTCCCTGAAAATCCTTCAGGATACCTTTTTGGAATTTTTTGAAATTGTATTTTTTTTAATTATCTTGAATTCTTGGAATACTAATATCTTTAAAGGCTTGTGGTTTTGTTTCAGTTCTTGTTACCGATAAACGGCTAAGTAAAGAATTTCTTTGTTTCCAGTTTAAAATTCTGCTTACAGTTTAACCATGATATATTCTTCTAATCATTATAGAAATTTGCAGGTGTGTTAGAAATTTCCAAAAATCTTTGATTTGACCTATCAGAAATATATTGGAAATGCTTTACAAAATTTTGCAATCTGTGATTTTTCTGGACTCGATAGATGCTTATTGCCAAAATACTTTTGCTATTAACTTAATTTTGCTAATTTTAATATTTCTTATCCCATACCTCCATGGGACAAGAAGGTGTACCCACTTTTAGACAACCTTTCGTCCAACGCAATAACCAAATGTAATGGCAAGGGTCGAAGACCTCACTTGCATTTAAAGAAGTGTGTCCTGTTATCTCCTTTCAAAATCTGAAATTGGAAATCGGTTTGATTGAAGTCGATTAAATACGCAATTCAATATACAGGGTGGTGACTTGCGTAACGCATCATAGGGATTTCAATGTAAAATTCATAACATGCGATTATTGGCTCCCCAAATTATTTTGGAGCAAAAATGTATTAAAGTTTTTTGTAGAAAAATTTTTTTTACGCCCATCGGGTATTAGTATTCAATTTTTTTCATAATAAAGACGGAAAATTGGAAAAATAAAACCCGCATCTTTTTCAATAATCTGCGATGCCATGGAATTTTCTAAAACAAAAAGATATCCAGTTAGGTATCAATTAGCAGCAGTTCGAAATGGATTTTATGATCGACTTGGTTACTGTCTTGCAGTTAATGGTGACTTATTCGAACATTTATTGTAAATTGTTATATTAGGAAACCGTTTTTAGTAACTTTGTTTTTCTTTATGTCGAATTCGCTGTTCTAAATATAATACTTTTTGATAGAATGTGATTTGTTTTATAGCAGACATTCCATGGCATGGCGGATATTGGCGTAGTTTTTGTATTATAAAATTCCATGGCATCACAGATTATAGAAAAAGATTATTTTCCGTCTTTATTATGCAAAAACTTGAAAACTAATACGGTCGATTGATGTAAAAAAAATTTTTCTACAAAAAACCTTAATACATTTTTGCTCTAAAATAATTTGGGGAGCCAATTCGTGGGCGTGGGTTCGAATCCCACTTCTGAAACTTTAGGCGACTGCGATTTTGAATATTTTTAATAAGAACAATAAATTTACAATAATATCAAGAAAACTGAACAATCATTTTAACACGAAAAAAGTCAAACTCGCCATCCTCTTCTCTAAAACATGCTCGTGTCGTAGTTCCAGTAACGGTCGCTTCGGCGCACTAATCGTCCGGAGCGGGTTGCCAGAGTCGGACTCCCGCAGCTTTGCATGTTATGAATTTTACATTGAAATCCCTATGATGCGTTACGCAAGTCACCACCCTGTATAATGGGCTATCAAACATGAATGGCGGTCGAGTCGCCTTTGGAAATTCAACTTAAGTACGATTTACCATATAAACAAAAATTACAAAATTACAAAAATTATTACCATAAGAAATACATTGTAAACTTCAAGGCAAAAATGCGAGGTTGATTCCCAAATGAAATACTAAGTGTTTAGTATCACTCGTTTTGTAATTTTCTGCTCTATCGAGTGACTTAAAAAACTAATATGGCGTCCATTTAAAATAAGGAAGTTGTCAATATCTCGAAAACTGACATTAAAAAAAATTGAATTTATCCCATCCAATCTTGCAACTTTTATTTGAAACTTTTTTCGATAGCTCTCTTTGTTACTAAAATATTTCAACTTTTAAAAAATGTCGATTTTCACTTTTTTTCCAATTATCAAGGGTAATACTAAGCGATCAAAAATGATTTGCTGTCGAGTCGCCTTTGAAATTTTTGTTTAGGTACATGGAAAATCGTATTTAACTTGAACTTCCAAAGGCTACTCGACAGCAACTCATTTTTGATCGCCCGTTATAACAATACCTTGATAAATAGTCGACTATATTGATTGCATCTAAATTTCGATTGTATTTTATAATAATTTAACGAGACATATTAATTTTGGCGTAAATAAGCTCGAGAGCGAAGCTCGAGGGCTTTCATCTTTGATTATTAACGTCAAAAGTATGTCGAGTCAAATTAATAAATACAAGAGAAATTTAGCCGCAATCAAAATAGTCGCTATTAATCAAGGTCGTGTTATATTTATGAAGATTATTTCTTGAATCCAATTATTTATATCAGAGAGGCATATTCACAAAATGAAACAATTTGATATGATTTCCCGTTCCCGTCTCTTGGCATTACGTGCGCCTCGCGAATTTTTGAATTCACACGCTTGAAATGGATCTATTTTTATGTTAACTTTTTGTAATCCCTAGGTACAGATGTCTTCAGGTCGCTTCAACAGCCGTCTGTGCGACTTAACGACAGTCATGGTATGACCGCCGGGACCGCCAGCTTTACATGCCCTCCGAAGCATGGTAGTCAGATGTTCTGTACCACTAAAAACTGGCAAGTTGTGGGATTCGAACTCACAGCCTGTGAGCTTAGAGTCCAAGACTGGCTACACTTTTTGTAATACAATGCTTGAACAATTTTTGTTGTAGAATTCCACATATACATTTTACAGTATATCTTCTTTATAATCTTCCCCATTTTCTTTTTTCATGTTCCAGGCCCAATCCTTTAAAGTATTCAGTTTTGTGAACGGTGTTGATTCATTTAGGTCATATTGACGATGCTCGCAAAATTTGGTAAACTGCCTCCATACGGTATTTTTTACTCCTCACTGTATTATGCGGGATCGTAGACTGGGCCCAACTTTTGTCATTTTAACCGAATCTGTAATAATAACAAAGATAGCCATGTTATCCTATTATTTATTTAGACACCCTGTATAATGTGTTTCAAGACTGTTTGAAAATTCATTACACATCTATATTTTATTAGATTAAAGAATTGCAGCACGTCTACGTCAGAAAGTTCGTAAAATTTAAACTAGGCAAGTATACTATTTACAGCACAATTACGAGACACGATAAATAATGTACCTACTCCATAAGAAAAGCTGCAATTGAACTTACATATCCAAGAGCTAGAATGAAAAAAGCACCGCTAACTTGAGTAAGCGTCAATCCTGTTTCGAAATCGTGGTCGAGGTCTGGAGCTACACCGTAGTGCGAGTCAGATGCCGGTGCCCCAGGGTGTACGATGTAGGTATAATCAACTTTCTGGGTAAGCCAACTATGACAACCAGATTCATACAAATAAGATATGATTCGATTTAAGCTGGGAAGAAAGTAATTACCCTTGGTCATGATAAAGCAGTATTGATGATCTAGACCTGGAGAGTCATCCACAAAAAAATTGGGCGCTTTTCCTTTTAAATAGCTTGCTGTAACGGATGGATATTGTTTGGGCGTTTGGACTTGTGACCTTCTTGATATTGCGAAGTAATTTGTATGGTTCAACTTGCTTAAATAATGAGTATAGCCACTGTCTTTCAATACAATCAGCCTGTTCCTGATTCCTTTAAAACTTTCCAAATGATCACCAAAATACTGATAGTAGACAGTTCTCTGGACGTAGATTTCCATGGTGCTCTTTTCCAACTGGTCGATATTGTTAATTGAGTCCTCGTTTTTAGGCAATACCAAGATATTGATTAAATTTGATGTATAACCTGTTTGAATGTGGATTACGTATACCAGGTAGAAGATAACCAAAATCCTCAAAGCAATTCTACGGGGTTCGTTTGATATGGACACACCCAAAACTAGGCTTATAACATCAACATAGACAGCAGTAACAGTTCTAGAAGATTCGGTCTTGCGGAGAATAAGCCACCAAGTCAAGGTTACTGCAATTAGTGTAACAATTACAATGATCCATAAGACACCCTTAAATGGTAAAAAATATGTAACGGATGGTGATATAACGTGTGGTTTTTGTCCCATCCAGACGTAACTTTCCGTCCAAAATCCATCGCTATTGTCAGCTACGTTAAGCACCCCTTTCTTCAACATATATATTACCATGTCGTTCTCTTGAACTAATTCGAGAAATGTATCTATGGTCATGTCATCCGAGCGTATTACTCTTGCATTTAGAAAGTTTTCCATCACTTCTAAAATGGACACAATTATAAGATCTACCAGTGCGTATATGGTTTCACAATTCCGTATTTTCTTGCTCCAGTAATTACCGGACATCCCTCAAAGTTTCGGACGTAATCATCAAATATAACGGACAACCTCGAATCGTACTGTTGGTAGCGAAAAGCCGTTGGCACTTTCCCGCAATGATTTTGTTTGTCAAATGGATTGCCTGTAATAACCGTTGCATTTCTTCCGTCAAATTCGGTTTTGTATTGAATTACAACTACTTTTGTTATATGCAAACTCCAAAAAATACGAAACGTTTGAGCTAAATTTTTCTCGGCCGTGATTAGCAGAAAACGTCCACGATTTGACCTTCCATGTTCCCAAATAGGAATTCCCATAAATTTTTGGATTGTTCTTGCGAATTTATCTAGACTTTTCGCTTCTATAACGTAATCATTGTCATATTTACCGTAATATCCGGTAATCGATTCACTAATGATTAAGCGAGGAACGTTCAAATTACTTGGAAAGTATTCTGGATGGTCATTAAAAATATAAGCAAAGGATACGTTTTTAGGAAAAACCTTATCTAACACCTCAACAATACACTGGGGGACAAACTTTTGCGGTTGTAATTTGGCGATTTCTTGATTACTCGCGTACTGCGTCACCATACATAGCAGTACAATAAAACGCCACGCTGCCATTTCTAAATACCTTACATGTCGAAAGGGCACCGTAGAACTAACTACCTACTTACAACATGCACACGTAGTGTGGAAAGTATGTTTTTGGAGTAATTGTACAAAATGAGGAAAATCTAATTTACTATTCAATAGAAAATGATTTGTACATTAAGCTCTAATTCTACAGTAAAGCTATGCAGTAAAGCAAAAAACTAATTGATCTATATTTATGTTTCAAAGTCGAGTACAAGTTTTACCGGTTAATTAGATCGAAAGGTAGGTAATTTGTTTGAAACAAAAGTCAGTCATAAATAAGTGATAGTATACGTACTTTATTATACTGACGATGCATTGATGTCCTCGGATAGAATTTTGTATTGTAAAGTAAATTTAATTGTGTGATTTATTTATATAAAGTTCATTCTTAATTTGATTGACAATTCAATATTCATCACTTACTTGCAGACAAACTTAATTTATAATGCTAAATTCATTATTCATCACTTCTATATCGAGGTTAAGACTAAGACTAAACAAAATTCAATTTGCTTATACAGGTATGGAAAAAAAACTATCTAGAGGAATATCGAATCAGCGAATTATATTAGTGTCTCAGAAAGTAATTTTAAAAGAATACGCTTACTTGTGATCCTAATCGTATGTATTTGTATTATAATTATAGACTTCCGGAAGATGTTAACCGGACGTACTATAATTTAGCTACCAATCTTTCAAAATGAATCCATTCTTTCTTTATTCGTAGAGCTGTTTTCTACTAACACATGCATTCTCGACGGAGGTCCATGCCATTTGCAAAAGCTGTAGGTATTATTTTAGCACCATATCCTGAGAGGACACCTGTACTCGAGTACTTCGTATTATTAATAAGCAGACTATCTTTGCTGTTCTCCTTCTTCCAGGATGTTGCTGGAAACTGTTCTGTTTGTCGTCGTGAATATATAAAGGGTTTTCCAATAAGAGGTGCTATTTTGATATTCAAAGGAAAATGCCATTTTTTAAGATAAATGATCGGATATTTATTACATTATAAAGAGGAAGGTATGCCGTTAATAATGGAAAATAACATCAGCTAAATGACCACCATGACCACGCCTACAGGACCATATCTTTTTTATGAAATTTTCCATAACCAAATCGCAAAGTGGCTGGCCTATGTCCTCGATAGCCTCAATTCCACCTTTGAGGTCTTGAATCGATGCTGGGTTGTTGGCGTAGACCTTGTCTTTCACGTGGCCCCAAAGGAAGAAGGCGCAAGGTGTCATATCACAAGATCTCAGTGGCCAATTGTGATCACCTCTTCGAGAGATGACACGTACGGCCCGGAAACTTTTCCCGTAAAAGATCAATGGTTTCGTTGTTTGTGTTGAGGCGTGTATCGTTCGATTTTTATTAATGGCCTAGTGTCTACTTGTCTATTGCCAAAAAATGAGAGCTTCAAAACTGACATCTACCGAAATAGCGGGCTATTCAAAATAACACCTCTTATTGGAAAACCCGTTAGTATGTGGTATTATCGATAATAAAACTATCCTGACTAAACTTCAACATTTGTTCAAAATATTCTTCTAATAAGCCGGCGTTCCTGTCCACGTGTAGTCTGCCGGTTTTTTGGATTTAAAGAAACGCAATTCTTCTTTAAGAAAGCCCACAGGAACTCCCTATGATGGCAATTATAACCATGGTCGCTCTTCCAGGCGGCGCCTTAATACCTGCAGACACTTTTGTTATTATTTTATAAGAATTAACAAAATGTTAATAACAATTGAAGGGAATAAAAATACGTTCTTTCTTCTAAAGTCAAATTAGTACACATATGGTAATAAAGGTGAAGGGGATAATATTGTTTAATATTGAAGTGCGGGGCCCGAGTACTGCAGTTTCCGAGCTGTTTGTATACAGGCTGGTGACTTGCGTAACGCATCATAGGGATTTCAATGTAAAATTCATAACATGTGATTATTGGCTCCCCAAATTATTTTAGAGCAAACATTTTGTACTAAGGTTTTTTGTAGAAAAAAATTTTTTACGTCAATCAACCGTATTAGTATTCAATTTTTTGCATAATAAAGGCGGAAAATCGGAAAAATAAAACCCACATCTTTCTCAAGAATCCGGGATGCCATGTAATTTTATAATACAAAAACTACGCCAATATCCGTCATGCCATGGAATGTCTGCTATAAAACAAATCAAATTCTATCAAAAAGTATTATATTTAGAACAGCGAAGACATACCAAATTACTAAAAACCGCTTCCTAACATAACAATTTACAATAAATGTTTGAATAAGTCACCATTAACTGCAAGACAGTAACCAAGTCGATCATAAAATCCATTTCGAACTGCTGCTAATAAATTAATAGGCAGAGCTGGGCAGTATTCGATTTTGTAAATACTTTTTAGTATTCAAATCCTTTAAAGTATTCAAATACTTTGTAATTAAATAACTCAAATACTTTCACAAATATTTAGTATTCGAATACTTTGCAAGGTATTTGAATACTTTGAGAAGTATTCGAATACTTCGCATAGTATTTGAATACTTAACCTTCCTTTTTTACCAAAAATTGACTACTCCAAAATTTCTCGGGAAAACAATTTTTCTTATTAATTTTGGTGCGTATAATCCAAAAAGGATTCGTACTTTTTCGATTAGACCTCTCAATAAAAAGATATTGACAAAAAACCAATTTTGAAAAAAAATTCAAAGGGCTGTAACTTTTGATGTAGTAGCCCAATCTTCAAACTGTTTGAAATTATGGATTCTACAGGCCACAATCTATAAGAAAATTTTTTTTCCGGGTCGATCCGAGACAATTTTTTTTTCGGGCCTCAAAAAAGGCAGTGTATAACCTTCCTTTTTTACCAAAAATCGACTACACCAAAATTTCTCGGGAAAACACTTTTTCTTATTAATTTTGGTCCGTAGAATCCAAAACAATTCGTACTTTTTCGATTAGACCTCTCAATTAAAACATTATGGACAAAAAACAAATTTCGAAAAAAAATTCAAATGGCTGTAACTTTTGATCTAGTAGCCCAATCTTCAAACTGTTTGAAATTATGGGGATTCTACGGGCCAAATTCTATAAGAAAATGTTTTTTCCCGGTCGATCTCAGACAATTTTTTTTCCGGTCTCAAAAAAAGGCAGTACTTTTAAGTTATTCAAATATTTGAGAACAATTTACAAATGTTTAGGGAAAGTTTCCATTGTCAAAATCAAATATAAAAATCTGATACAACTGAATACCAAACGATCCTGGAGTGAAACTTTTTGACTCGATAGTCTACGTAACTTAAAAACAATAAGGACCTTTCTTATATCCTTAAAACCATGTGTACCAATTTTCAAAGCGATCGCACGTTTCTAAACAACTATCATGCACGTCGCTTTGAAAACTGGTACACATTTTCTTAAGGATATAACTGGTATAAGAAAGGTCCTGGTAGGTACCTCCTATATAATAATATAATAATACGCTTTTACTCCACTTAAATTTGTATATAACAATAGAAATATAAAAAAAGGTAACCCCATACAAAGTATAGCTTGATTTTTTAAGTAGTATTAATACTTTTATCTGGTATATACTATTTTAAATTTTTAATGTATTTGAGTGACAACTATTTGAATACTTTTTACTGTATTCGAATACTTTTCAAAATAAGTTAATGAAATACTTTTGAAAGTATTCGAATACTTTTTATAATATTCGAATACATTCTAAAGTATTTGAATACTTATTTTTTAACGTATTTGAATACTTTTCAATGTATCTGTATCTAGTATTCGTTTGTGCTGGACGTAAAAGTATTTAGTACCTATTCAAATACCTTTGATTTGTGTAAAGTATTTACTATTTAGTATTCAAATACTTTTTGAAAGTATTCTGCCCAGCTCTGTTGATGTAACTGGATATCTTTTTGTTTTAGGAAATTCCATGGCATCACTGATTATTGAAAAGATGCGAGTTTTATTTTTCCAATTTTCCGTCTTTATTATGCAAAAAATTGAAAACTAATACGGTTCATTGGCGTAAAAAAATTTTTTCTACAAAAAACTTTAACACATTTTTGCTCTAAAATAATTTGGGGAGCCAATAATCGCATGTTATGAATTTTACATTGAAATCCCTATGGTGCGTTACGCAAGTCACCACCCTGTATAGTAAACGACTAGTCAACACGGAGATGTAAACTTTCTCCGCTTCTCTGCTCCTAGCAACGGAACAATACTTCACTGTTTGAATTTGATCAGCAAAACGGAACACTTGATGTACGTATAAAAAAAAATGAAGGTTTCATCACGATTTTCGGTAAAAACAATTGTATATCTATTAAAATAGGGCAAGAAATCCTGTTGCGAGGAAAACCTAATAAGTCATAAGTGCCCCTTCCATTCGTAGCATAAGGTTAGGGTTTTTTCCGTTGACCTGGTAACTTCCAGACCCTCCGCGCATGTGACCATCTAACATTCTTGTTTGTGCGCCTATTTTATAATCAAAAATAACATTGCGCATGCGCACACATAAGTCCCATACTGGTGGTTCATTTTTGTGAAACCTGTATCGAAAAATATGGCCCCAGGAAGTGTTTCTGCTCCTAATTCACGATGAAGCTGTAATAGAAAAAGGGATAAACAAAACCTAAATCCAAACTTTCATGCAAATTAATGGTTTGGCACCACCATATTTTACCTTCAATGACTGTTAGCTATAAATTTTCAAACTCCTACTTTCCCGGAAACTGTCAACTAGTACACCAAACATAAATTGTTGAGGAATCCAACGGCTGTACTCCCAATGTAGACTTCATACATACATTTTTCATACCTACATACTTTTAAGTAAACATCGATAACACCAACCTAAATAATACTACAATTTATTTATACAAATTAAAAACATAATAAATTCATATTCTTTACTTTATTAAAAGTACTTGGTTACTTTTAGCCCAAAAACGAACAGAAAATTTAAAAGTACAAAAGAGGCCAAATGAGCAATTCTTTGTGTCTTGCGATTTTGTAATAAGCAAGCTCACGTACCGGTGACTACAACGATATAAATTATATACAAAAAATTACAAATAGCCCATAATATAATCATCTAAGTCTACATTGATCTCTCAATAATTAAGGGATATACACAATAAATCTCTATTCCTATTCTGAATTTCAAATTAATATCACTAATACTTTCATTATCATCACATAATCTAAAGCGGTACGCGGTTCGAGATTCAAAAGCAAAACTTCGTCGACTTTATACAAATTCTGTCTGGTTTTTTCGGAAAGTTGAAGTACAAAATAGAACGTGAAACTCTGCTGTCTTATGATCACAATTGTAGTAAATTAATAGCGAGCACAAAATAATAATCATGCAGCCTTATAAAGGTTTATGTTAACATTTACTTATTAATACACTTCCTAGACTTAGAATATTACCTAATGCATACCAGACTTCGAGTGTGCAATAAGCCATTGCAGTGTGATATCGATGTTATCCTTTTCTTTGCACGAGATCGAATAACAGCAAATTTCACGATCTTGAATTGCCGACAGATTCCTAACACGATTTATTTATTACAACAATCAATCCACGTGCCAACTTACATTCGTTCGATCAGACCGTTCTCATCCAAAGCGTGTGGGAGATCGCGCTTATTTCCCAACACTAAAACCGGTATGCCCGCCAGTTGCGGTTTATCGAGCAAATTGTGCAATTCATTTCTGGACGCTTCGATCTTCTCAGGATCGGCAGCATCTACCATGTATCTATAAATATTTGAATAGAACATAATCAATAGGCGAATGTCGCATACACAATCGCATTGACACCTCTACAGTAACGTTCCCACATCGACCTAAATCTCGGTTGCCCCCCGATATCCCACACTTTAATTGTGACGTTCCCCTTGGTGATTTTTCGCATATTAAAACCTACAGTCGGTATCATATCTTCGCTAAATTGGCCCGACTAAAACATCGTCGCGTGAATACTAAAGAAACGAATGTAAACAACGAGGGCGTACCGCTATCACATTAACGAAAGTTGTCTTTCCAGAGTATTGAAGCCCGACCAGTGTCAGCTCCATTTCCTCCTTCCAGAAGAGACTCCGAAACCAATCTAGTATCCTGTTCATTAACGCTAACATCGTTAAATTTTTGCTTTTGTAAAAGTTAAACAATAAATGTGTTAACAAATACTTTTAAGATAAAATGTTGATAATAAAACATTTAATTTTTATGTGTCATTTATTTGTCACTTTTGTTTACTAGAGCGACATCTTTAGGGCGTTGCTACCTTTAACCATTGGCGTAGACGAAAATAATTATCTCGAGGGGATAAATTTTGAAAGTCATCCAGATAATGAAAGCAATCCATGACATGAGATAATAAATGAAAGGTAGGTGGGATATTAAGCAAGTAATAGCCCGAAATAACATCGAATTTAAAACAATAAATTAAGAGCTACAATTAGTAAAAAGAGAAATTGAATGCAAAAAAACCAAGTTTGGAAAAAAGACAAGGAATAAGATAATTATAAAAGATATTAATTAATTGAGCGTTGTGCGGAAATATAGAACGACGTGTATAGCTGTCCTGTCACCAAACTCAGGACTACTATAGCAGTCGTATCCGTCAAAAAGACATTTTGCTTTTTCTTTCTTCGGCGTGTTTTATTATCTTATCCAAAATCGTTCTGAAACCTTCATTTTCATGCTTACTTTCTGTCAGGAAATATTAGTTTCCATGACAGAGGCATAGCAAACTGCGTTTCCTGCCGCTTGTCACATTACTGTCCACAACTGTGACTTTACCGGGCGCACCACTTTTTCGACCGCACCTGTCGCATTGCTAAATGTCTACAATGACTCCTGCCATCATTGACAGATTGACAGAGCTGGGCAGTATTCGATTTTGTAAATACTTTTTAGTATTCAAATCCTTTAAAGTATTCAAATACTTTGTAATTAAATACTTTTATGGAAGCAGTATTTGTATTTGTAACTCAAATACTTTCACAAATATTTAGTATTCGAATACTTCGCAATATTTGAATAGTATATGAAAAGTTATAGACTAGAAACCAATTTCGAAAGAAAATTCAAAGGGCTGTAACTTTTGAACTAGTAGCCCAATCTTGGAACTGTTTGAAATTATGGATTCTACAGGCCACATTCTATAAGAAAATTTTTTTTCCGGGTCGATCTGAGACAATTTTTTTTTCGGGGCTCAAAAAAAGGCAGTGTATAACCTTCCTTTTTTACCAAAAATCGACTGCACCAAAATTTCTCGGGAAAACACTTTTTCTTATTAATTTTGGTGCGTAGAATCCAAAACAATTCGTGCTTTTTCGATTAGACCTCTCAATATAAAGTTATGTACAAAAAACAAATTTCGAAAAAAAATTCAAAGGGCTGTAACTTCTAGTAGCCCAATCTTCAAATTGTTTGAAATTATGGATTCTACGGGCCTCTATAAGAAAATGTTTTTTCCCGGTCGATCTGAGGAAAGTTTCTATTGTCACAAAATCAAATATAAAAATCCGATACAACTGAATACCGAACGATCCTGGAGTGAAACTTTTTGATTCGATAGTCTACGTAACTTAAAACAATAGGACCTTTCTTATATCCTTAAGACCATGCGTACCAATTTTCAAAGCGATGGCACGTTTCTAAACAAACTATCATGCACACGGACAAACGGATGGTCAAAAATGGATCTGTTCCAAAATCGCTTGGATTAACTTCAGAAAGGCGTATGTATCATGTGCACGACATACGATCGCTTTGAAAACTGGTACACGTATTCTTAAAAATATAACTGGTATAATGAAAGGTCCTGGTAGGTACCTCCTATATAATAATATAATAATAATATTACGCTTTTACTCCCCTTAAATTTGTATATAATAGAAATATAAAAAAAGCTCACCCCATACAAAGTATAACTTGATTTTTTAAGTAGTATTAAGACTTTTATCTAGTATACTATTTTAAATTTTTAATGTATTTGAGTGACAAGTATTTGAATACTTTTTACTGTATTCGAATACTTTTCAAAGTAAGTTAATGAAATACTTTTCAAAGTATTCGAATACCTTTGATAGTATTAGAATACTTTTGAAAGTATTTGAATACATTCTAAAGTATTTGAATACTTATTTTTTAAAGTATTTGAATACTTTTCAATGTATCTGTATTAGTATTCGCTTGTGCTGGACGTAAAAGTATTTAGTATTCAAATACCTTTGATTTGTGTAAAGTATTTACTATTTAGTATTCAAATACTTTTTGAAAGTATTCTGCCCAGCTCTGGATTGACATTAATCAAAAGTTCTATATGAAAATTTATATTAAAATATGATTCCTGGTAAAATTTTATACAAAATTCGTCAGTAAAATGGCATTACTTTGACTCGGAAATTAAAGTATTCGGCTCCATCGTACTTCAAGCCAGTAATGAGTAATTTTCCTGACTTTTATGTAAATAACTACCTATAATCATTCAATTGTCCCAAAACACTTTAGGTTAATGGTCCCAGTAATCGCGTGACGTGCGTAAAGGTGTTGGGAATATGGATGAGGAGAAAAACGAACGGTTCCTGTTGCTCTTATTTGACTGGTCGAACATTAACGCCTCGAAGTTCCAGATGCGGGTATTGCTAGAAGCGTGCATCGAAACGGAAGCGGTGGATATTGCTGCTCCGGTGGATATTGCTGCTCTGGTGGGCAGGAAGACGATTCGGCGGATGCTCGGAAACAGAAGACACGGCTCCCATCTGGAATGCGTGCTGGAGAAGGCTACACCGAAAGCGATTTGGGATGCTTTGACCCGTGTCTTCGAACGCAAATAATATTGCCAGCCGAATAAATTTGCATAGGCAGGCGCTGTCCCTGAGATTCGAGTCCGGCAACTTCCAGGAGCATCTTCTCAAATTCGATCGTCCGGGTGCGGGAGTATCGTGGAACGAGCGCGGTGATGGAAGAGCAGTTTTTCGGAGCAAAGGCGAATGCAATGGTTCGTGGACTCAGGATGTTCTGACCAACTAGTAAAGGATAAACACCTCTTCGAAGAGCTGAAAACCCTCAAGAAGCCAGTGAAGAGAAACGGAAAATTGATGTATGATAAAATGGGTTAAAGCCAAGTTGCAAAAGTAAGTGGGGTACAAACGGATAATAAAACAAGGTGCAAAAAACCCTTTGATTAAAGCAATATGGTAACTTACATCAAATTCAACGTTAACAACAAAAGAAATGAGTGTATCGCAAATCATACCGCACATATATTCTTAACTGAAAATTTTTCGTTAGCAGCGTCCCCTAGCTGGGTACTTGTAACTCGCCCCTTGTGCGGGGTATGCGAGCCTACAGTTGAGATTCGACATCAATTACAGCATTGGATGCCGTAACTAATTTGGTTACAGTATATTCCCCATCCCTGTGACTTCACGGCGAGAAGTAACAAACTTAAACTACACGATGCTTTCTCGACGGACGCTCAAACCAAGATGGCAAGATTCTTTCATTCTTTTGAATTCGCTTCCACTACTTCGAATTTCTTCTGTTCCTTAAACTTAAACTTTCCACTTTTCTTATTGGTCCGATTCTTCAATAACTATTATTATGTTTATTTTATGATTTTTATAGTTTCATATTATTCGAATCGTTTGAATTCTCTCGAATATTCCGTTTTTTTGAAGACACCAAACAGAAATTATACCTACAATAAAAATGCACCCATAAGAATGGGTGCAATTTAAGATTAAGTGAGAATAGTATTTATGTAAGATTCACAAAATGAGCGAAATAATTTGGTCAGATTTAGTTGCTGTAAGTAGATAACAAACAAAATAGTATATAAACAAAATTAATTTGACTCGTTCACAGAACAGCTACGACATCTTCTGCTCCTAGACTTTTTCCTAACCTGAAAACGTCAGTTCAAAAAACACCCTTCAGTTTTTTACAATTCTCTTACAGGTTCCCTGTGTATCGGACAACGTGGACATCTCTGCATCTAAAATGTAAAAAAATTTACTAATGCTCGAACGGATGGAGTGACAAATACCTCTTGAATGCATTCCTCTTTCTCCTGCAAGATTTTGACCAGCATCAACTGTAATTGCTTGTACACGTCGACCTGCCGCTGGAAGTCGGTTACGGTTTCTAACAGCTTTTGGGTTGAAAACTTGGCGGCGTAAACGGCATGGTCTTTCTCCTTCGCGACCAGATCGAGTTGCAATCGGTTTTCCTCTTCCATCAGCGCCAGCTTCTTCTCGAACTGCGCCGAAACGGCAAACGTTCTAGCGGACAGCGTCTGCCCATCGCCTTCTTCGCACACTTTTACCTTGTCCTCGGTCAAGCTTCTTCGCATTACCTAAACTGGAATAATCATTCAATCACTATGGAGAGACATCGTACCTCCTGCTTCCCTTCGCACACTTGCAATTTGCAAGAAACCAAGTGTAACTCCTCCATTGTCCTCTTGGATTCTTCGTTTGCTAGTCGACATTCTTCTAAAGCGCTCTTCAGTTTATCTTCGGTATTGGCCAGCTCGTGCTCTAGCTGCTCCACTTTGCAGATGTGCTGCGAGATCGTGACGTCCTTACGTATGAGTTCCTCGCGCTCGTGTTGAATCTGCGCTCTAAAACACCTTGACAAACGCTAACAACCTTTACAACTTACTTCAAATTGTCAATTTCCAAATTGACATCCGATCCAACAGCGACTTGCTCTTCCAGCGTGTTCTTCAGCGCATTTACCTTAGTCTCCGCCGACCTAACTTGCTCCATCAGATTAGCGTTGTCTTTAAGAAACATTCCCAATTTATCGTCCTGAAAAAATGGAGCGCTTAGAGCAGGTTTGTGAATCGGGCTTACCTTATTAAGTAGGGCGTCCTGTTGGGCCGCAATCACTTCGTCCTGCTTTTTTGTTCTGGCAATCAGCTGTTCCAGAGCTTCTCTGTCTCGCTGCGACGCAGTGGCGAGCTGGTCGAAGTCACCTTGCAGCGTCTTCTTCTCTTTACGCAAATGCTCGAATTTCTTCGCGAAATCCGCTGAAATTTTATCAAAGTCCTCTTTCATTTCGGCAATCCTTAGGAGAAGAGAATTAGATTACCGCACCCAAGATTCACATTTCCGCACCGCCAGTAAAGGGCTGGAAGAGTGCGTGAGTTGGTGCACCGAGATTTATTTAGCGTTGTTGTGCCTGACCCAAACAAAAAAAAAGAATTTCAACTTTCATTTTGAAATATAATTCTGAAATCAACTCACGTACTCTCGCGCCCTCTTTCGGCATTCGTTGGCTAATCTACCTAGCTTCGTTGTCCACCTTCAACTGTTCAACCTGGTCTATGGCCTTCTCGTATTTGTTCTTCAACTTCACGTTAGCCACACGCATGTACTCCAGCTCAGAGTCGAACGCCTCGCTCGCTTTATTCTGCTCGTCCTGTAGCTCCTTCAGCTTGGCCTCCATTAGGGCGGTTTCGTTCAGCCAGATCTCCTCGCGTTCGCGACTTTCGCGCACTCGTTCCTCCAACTTGGCAAGGTGTCTCGCCTCTCTGGGACCTTCCAGCGCGGTTTTGAGCCTGGTTCGCAGCCTCTCCATTTCCTAAACGCGAAAGTGAGTGACACCCTAGGAAGATAAAACGAACCTCTTTCAGCTTGTCCGACTCGTTCTTAACTTGCCCGATCTGCTTCGCCATCTTTTGCGAGTTTTGCTTTTCGGCCTGGAACTTCTCCTGCGAGTCTTTCAGGTTTCGCAACAGCGCGGCGTTGGTTTCGAGAAGATTTCTGTTCGCGTGTTGCGCCTCCAGGAGGTGACGCGCGGCCTCGTCACGCGCTTCAATTAAACGCCGCTTTTCGTGCTCTTTCTCCGTGATACTATCGACGAGTTTGTCAGTGGTGTCGGATAATTTTCGAATGTGCGCGTCGCGAGCCTTAACGACCGACGTTAGTTCTTCACTGCGCTTCCTAAATTTCTTCGTCGACTTCGCGGTGTGTACCTCCAACCTTTCCAAAGTTTTCTTCTCTCTTTCATGGCTCGCTTTAGCTTTTTCCTCGAGAGCGCTCCTGTTGTCTTTTTCCGCCTCTAAACGTCTGAGTAACTCTTCATTTTGTTGTTTTAAGATAGCGATTTTGCTCAAATTCGAGTCTTCGTTTGCACGCAGTTCGTCGTTTGTCTGTTTAAGAGAAGCGTTTGCTGTTAGCGCCATTGATTTCTCCTCCTCGGCTGCCTGCAGCTTTACTTCTAAGTCGGCAAAGTTCTCTTGCAATTTCTGTAAGTGATCTTCGTCGTCTTTAGGTGCAACCTTGTCACCTGCGCCTTTCTTCGATTTTCCACGTTTTGACTTTTTCTTCGACTTTTTTGAGTCTTCAGATTTTGTCTCATTTTCGCTGTCTGATTTCGCCGTTGATATTTCACCGCTAACTGGTTTTGTGCCACAAACGCAAGAGCTTTCTGGAAAAAGAACGTTAATTAATTAACTTTGTGCTTAATTTCCCTTACTCGCCGTTTTGGGCGTCCTGGTGCCATCTTCAAATCTAATCGTTTGTGTATTTCCAACGGTCGGGGAACTCGCCTGGGTGCTACAGATGGATTTGGCTTTTAAGCAATTACTTCCTTCGAATTCGATTCGTTCGACATTGCCATCGGCGTGTCTCGTTACCGATTTTCCCCTCAAGACATGGCAACCGCTGCTTCCGATGTCTTGAAGGGTGAGTAAGATTTGTATCTCTTTCTCAAGATCTTCGAGCCTTTTGGTTATGCTCTAGAAGGAAAATGATTGCTGGCGGTGTGCAACGATCGGCACCTTACCTGAGACATACTAGTTGCGAGAAATTTTGTAATTAGCTGGGTCTACTCAATTTGCGCGCTTCATTTTTCGAAATTTTGCCATTGGACCCGGAATTGACATTCTGAAATTATTTGACACACGCGGGTTTTTCTGATGCTTAATCAGTAGGTACCGTAGCTGAGGTAACTGCAGAGGTTGCATTTTTGCGCCAAAATACAGGGGGGCCTATCACCAATGATGACCTGGTTTCTTTCATCAATAATTATAGTCAACATATTTCGCTATACGTTAAGCATCTTTAGAAGTCTTCATCAATAAAGGTTTTCCGAAGATCTTTTAGATGTTGCAGAAATATGAGAAATTTATAAAATGTTTATTTATTCTTGCTAAATTCTTCAGAAAGTCCGCGAATGTCCTCGCGGCTTGATCCTAATTTTTCACAAAGTATAAAACCACCCCCTCTAATTTACAGGTAGTCGAGTTAACTTTTCCGGACAGCTCAACGTGAACGCTCTCACAGTTCACGACGCGAATTTCCTCGCGGCCATTCCCATTACTTTACTTTTGTAAATCACGCCCATTACGTTACTCGACCAATAAAACTCATTTTGTAAATCCAATCAGAACACTTGAGTGGAGTAAAATCCTTCTGAATCAGTGCACAACTTACCAAGCTTGATAACAACAAATGTCACCCGGGCAAAAATGTCCCTGTCGTCATCTCCCAAGACTTCTCGACGCTTTCACATGTGTGTAAAAAGTCAGGACCGTACTACTATCGTCACAATCGAAACATAACGATTTGTTCGCCCTTGGGGAGTACCCTCCTGCGATACTCCGTTCTGCAGGAACTATGCGATCAAAAATGAGTTACTGTCGAGTCACCTTTTGAATTTTTGTTTACATGGGAAATCGTATTTAACTTGAACTTCCAAAGGCGAGTCATTTTTGATCGCCCGTTATTTGCACTAAAAGTTTTTCGTACTTTTTCGATCAGACTTCTCAATCAAAAGTTATAGACTACAAACCATTTTCGAAAGAAAATTCAAAGGGCTGTAACTTTTTGAACTAGTAGCCCAATCTTGGAACTGTTTGAAATTATGGATTCTACAGGCCACATTCTATAAGAAAATTTTTTTTTCCGGGTCGAGCTGAGACAATTTTTTTCGGGTCAAAAAAAGGCAGTGTTTTCCTTTTTTACCAAAAATCGACTGCACCAAAATTTCTCGGGAAAACACTTTTTCTTATTAATTTTGGTGCGTAGAATCCAAAACAATTCGTACTTTTTCGATCAGACTTCTCAATCAAAAGTTATAGACTAGAAACCAATTTCACATCACCAATACTATGTCTCGTCCTGGCGGTCCACTTACCCTTTATTTCGCTTCGACTGCACCAATAGATGTGTCTCGTCCACACAAACAAACAATAGGGGTAGTGAATAGCGCGGCGCATAAACTATTGCATAATAAGCAGTTTTAACGTATGACACTCGGCATCCGATACAAAAACTGTAATTAATACTAAACAGGAATCAATAATTCGAATCACTTTACACTAGCAAAAGCAAAGTTTTGATCGACCACGGATTATCCTTACAATGGGTATAGAAGCATAAGCGTGACGTTAAATTCGTGAAAAGTACCTACTTTACGATGCCCAACAGCACAGATAACTAAATTTCTATTGAGCTAATCAATTCGAAACATAAACAAGATAATATGAGCCAATTCACATTCTTCTTAGCGACACAGTAAAGTAAGTAAATTCAGACATATCGAAGCAATTCACAAAACCATAATCTCCAACGAGGTTTCGTTAATAGCGATTACAATTCCGGAAAATCGAAGTGTAAGTCAACAAACTGCGTATATATCTAAGTTGTTGGTATCACGTGATTAATTTCACTGGAATCTGTCGGTAAGGTAGAAACTTATCTATGACGTTCTTGAATTGATAAGATGGCGTTGGACCTTTCCAAATGAATTGTCTTTGTGCAATATTGAGAAAATCCTAAATTCTGCGGTTTCTACTCAGTAATAGCGATGTAGAAAGCACAAACAGGTGGGTAATAATGAAGAAAAGAGTAAAAAAATGATTATTCAAAGCCAAACGCAATGCGCAATTTTTGTTACATACCAAAAACGGCCTTGTAAAATACATCAGCAAAATAGCGTCAGCGAAGTATCGAAAGCAAAATAGCAAGAGAAACACTAAACTAAACTAAGCGCTATACGCCAATAACAATCCCAAAAGGCAGACAAAAATTCGTCGTGTCGTACTGGCGCGTAGGTTCTTACAAGTAATGGCATAGAATCAAGTTTTGTACAAAGAAGTGCGTGCGCCGAAAGAATTAAAGAGAACTCTGCACGACCTCCATCGGCGAAACAAAGAACTACTGTAATTTAAACAAGTTGTAAATCAGCATATGCATGATTAAAGCGCATTTTTGGTAATGCAGGTCAGTATTTTATTAGCGAAGTTTAAAATTATCGATCTCACGAGTAATTTTGGCTGCGTTAAATAATTAATTTTATTTAATTTCAATTGACGGTACGTCTTCATTTTGTAAAACAAATCACAAAGTAAATAATAAGTTTCAAAATTATTCAAAATAGACTAATGCCTGCACATCTACACTATAGCAGGAAGCTTTTAGTGAAAATTTGAAGTCTCTAGCTATTGTAGTTGTGGAGATCTAACGCGGACAGCCGGCCTGCCAGCAATAACGAATATAATAGCGTTTTTTTCAAAAATGCGCTAAAAAAGCTATAACACGGGGATGGCCTCTATCGACAAAGAAGAAAACAAGCAAAAGAACTCTACTACTACAAAAATAAATTACACTTAAAAGTAGTGGATTACAGCGTAAATACCTAGATGCGTGAGAATATTGAATTTAAACATTAAACTTAAATGGATTTCAAATCAGGAATATTAATCGGTAAGAAACTAACGGGACAATTTCTTCCAAACGTCCTAATCGCCCTTTGTGAGTATTCCCCTCTGACAATCTGTGCTTAAGATATAAAGAATGGTACCAGATCACGATAAGGGGTAGAGGAGGAGTACTATGGTTGGTACGAATTTCTTTCGTCAAGAGCTTTCATTAGAGTACCACATGAAGGATACTAGAAAACCAGTCCCCCCTAAACCCGCTCAATTTGGATAAGTGGTAAAAGAGATGGGCGGCAGTTGATAGAATAGTATATTGAAAGACAAGTGTTACAATGCGACCTATTGTAATACGACTATCTTGTGGCACGAGTGGGGACGCGAAGCGTAGCCACGAGTGTCCGCAAGATAGGAGTATTACAATAAAGCATTGTAACACGCGTTTTTCATACTATTTTTTCTATTTCGGTGCTTTAATTTAATTAAAAAAATCATTATCAGAAACTATAGGGAACATTAGAACTAACATGTTTTATGTTGGGAACACTTTTTATGCCGTTAACTTTTAGGTTGGCAGCGTAGTAAGACTGACATTTTGAAGTTCAAACATGGAAGTACCCAACGAAGTACCTACTTGTACTAACTAGTAACTGCCAACTTAAGAGATGAGTTACCAAAAAAAAAACGACTATAATCACTGTCTTGGTACAACTGTTTTAGGCCGAAAACAGTTGTACAAAATCATCATTGTGACACCGAAATAGAAAAAATAGTTTCTTGCGTTGAGACCTTTAATTAGAGTACCTATCATGAAAAATAAAACCAATTTCTGCCCCCCCCCCAGACGTCATTTTCCTCAAAGAAATCGCGGAAGGTAGATATAGTTTGTAGAAACAGCGATAAGACCTTTCATTAGAATACAATGAAAGGGTGAATGAGAGAACGTGCCCCCCTCCTTTTCAAAATTTTTAGATGGCACCACTAAAGCTATGCAAGATCTGAGACAAATTGTTGTGTCCTCTGCGGTAGGGTTATTCTTTCCCGCCTCTTACACTGGCACATTCTAGAAGCACATACCACGAAGTACAACATATAATCTTAATTAGTGCAATTCGAACCAAATAGAATCTGTCAACGGGTTCCCGTTGCAGCATCCTTTGCATACAAATGCATCCCTTATAAACAATCATGATAGATTCATGAATTTAGAGATTTCCTACCTTAAACTTCGAAAAATGAACTTTAGAAACAGATGTTTTTATCAAAACCAATTTTCATGCGTTCATAAACGATAAAAATCTTTGCAAAACAAACTAATTCTACAAACACTTTATTCAATCATAAATTATGACGATTTTTGAACCCCTCAATTGCCATAATAATTAAATGGTTATCACGGTACCTCGTAAACAGAATTGTCTCGTAGCTAAAGCTGGTGAAACAGTAATAAGGTCGGAACCGCCTCCTTACAATGATACGGAGAAGAAATTCTGAAGCTGGAGATTGGAACCTTCCGCCGGTAAAAAAATCCTAAGAGAAATTAAAGGTTCTAGGGTGTAATTTATTAGAACAGTTAATCTCGCTGTTCATGGATTGCAAGCGTGTGAGAACCGCGAACGTTTGGTCATTAATGGGCTTTAGAAACGAGTGTGAACACTATTTATTCGCAAAAAGTACGTTTTTTTGGTTATACTTTTTCAAATGCGGGCTTCTGTACTATTTTCTGAGTTACTCTTTCGAACAATCCAGTTTAATCCCCTTTTGTTCACTAATGGCGACAGATGTACTTTTTTGCAGCGAAAATTGACCCAGCGCGCTTAATTAATCTGTCCATGACCGAACACGACTCCGATTTATGCGATGAAAACGTTCTCTAGTTGCATCAATAATTCGTTTTCTGTGGTTATAAATAACACAGCCTCTTAATCCGCTTTTAGATATTAATTGATTCTACTGGAAACTCGCGGACCTTGCTTTCAATTTATATTATTAACAATTAATTAACAATTGAACTATTGTTCGCACTCGAATTTTCTAAGTTGAAGTTTTATTATAACCGAAAAACACTGACCTTCGCCCTTGATGAATTCCGCTCTAATTTACTTAACGACGAAAACTACCCTACCCTACCGGAATTATATTTTATTTTCAAATGTACGGTTAAGGCCCGTTGCACACGTTCGGTTTTTAAAGATACGCATTCACGCAGCGGCGCCGCCGCCGTACTTTTAAAATCCGGGCGTGCGTACAGGACCTAAACGTTCCTTGCTTTGAAGCGAAATAATCAAAATTTTGAATTGGAAATTAATTAGTCGCACTTAGTGCCCACGTTGGGGCGGAAATGCACCATTTCTATAAAATAGAAAATATATCCGCATTGGGAGTTTTAACCCTACCAGCGTGTACTTTTGGTTAAGACCTTTCACTTTCCCTTTGTGAGTGCTACACTATGTTTATGAAATATTCGCATATGAAATTATTACTACAACGAACGTGTTCCATTCTGCTTGTTTAACTATAAGATGCGTTGATGCACTAAAAATAACACTATCTAGTGTAATTATGTATTTGATTCTTTTAGCAATAGAATCGTTAAATTGGTAGGTAGTCACTATTGGTCAATTAACATAATCTTTTTGACAAATATTAAGTGTCCATCGCCGGAGTGTAATTCATACTGTCATTGATATGGGTGCAAAAGGTCATCGTTTTATGGAACCACATTTTAGACCTATAGCGATAGAGTTTCAATGTCTTCAATCTTCCATTTATTGTTGAAGTCATCTTAACAGTCAACAACCTTGTGTCGGTGACTCACTTAAAAAGCAAAAAACAGGTAAATTTTGATCATTTAATTAACAAGAAGAGGCTCTGTGGATATATCGTTTCCGCATCTTAATTAATATTAGCCTTGGAGTATATGATGACATGATAACGGGTCACGATGTTTCGCATATTCTTCTTTTGAGCTCATCCCAAGTTTGTTATGACTTAAAGAACGATGAGATGAATAATTGAAATTTGAATTGTTAGAAGACCTCCCATCTTAGGCCGGGGCGCCACTAAATCGCTTTTGGTGTTCTGGAGAAAGTGAGGCAAAAGCGGAATAATTCAACTGACAATACGATTAATTAGTAATGCAAGAGTTGCAACACAGAGCACAATTTCGGCCTTCGCCATCGTTACCTAATTAACATGGCGCAGATATCAAAGTCTCTTCCTGTGAGAAACGCACTGAACTTTGTATACATTTCGCTCTCTACTTTTTTTTCAATAAGATAATAAATAGCAAACCAGCCTTGTACCGTTCCCGTAATTACTTAATCGTTATTTACGTATCAAGGGCGTAAACCGAGCGTCTTGGGTCTCGCCATGGATATCATTGTCCAGCCGACTCGATTTCTCACCTCATCGCACGGTGGAGAATTAGGCAACGGCCTCGGAAACTGAAGAAGAAGGAATAATACCTCATTAGAACAAAATTAAGTGCTCCCAATTCCAGAAGCGTGCATGTGTTCAATTCGCCTATAATAACATAAATTAATAAAATTACGACATCCCGCAAGGACACTACTCACAATGTTTATGAAAGGTGTAATTGCTGTAAACATATCTCGGGGTAATTAATCAGCATAAATTATATACGTACAACCCTCTCCCAATTCGGGGCGTTTGTAAAAGTGTCACTTTCGGCGGCGGATTTTTAGTAGCGTGTGTCATCGAAAACCGTTGAGATCCCGATCCTGCCTGTTTATATATTGAGGTGATTTCATAATTTCATCAGTCGTATGCAGTGTCACGCGAAGCGAAAATGTGGAAATTGTTGATTGTTGTAATTTTGCACGTCCATTGGGCGTTGAGCGATCTTTATCCTGGACGTCCGTTGTACATCAAGAGCTACCCTGGGATTCCCAACATCCAGAGTGATCTATACGAAGTGTACCAAGAGCCGTACGTTTACGTAAGTTGGCCAGAGTTATTGCTTCCGTTTGACCAATTTTGTAGAATGTGAATATTATTGGAGCCGTAGCGGTTCTCCAAGGCGAGGGGGAGAGCAGCGTGAAGGGTGAAATCACGTTCACGCAAAGGCAACCACCGGTCGGTCCCGTGCTGGTTAGAGGAAACATAACGGGGTTGAAACCTGGAAAACACGGTTTCCACATATACCAATCGGGCGATCTTCGGCACGGCTGCGAGAAACTAGGCAATCACTTCAACCCCTTCTTGGTAAGTTTGCCTTGCTTCGGCCCTTTTTTTTGAGCCATTTTTCAGTTACAGCACGGTGACCGAAGGGACCCCCTAAGACATGTGGGCGATCTGGGAAACATCGAGGCGAAAGATGATGGAAGTGTGGAAGTCGAGTTTGTTGATTCTCTACTGTCGCTGGTTGGTGGTGGCAGGAGTGTTGTTGGAAGGGCACTCGTGATAGCGGAGAATGAAGATGATCTGGGTCGCGGTGGGACTGCCGAAAGTGTGTCAACGGGAAACTCTGGGAAACCAATAGCCTGTGCCGTAATTGCCTACACGTAGCTCTCTTAACGATCATTTAATTGTACATAAGTTTGTTATATTAAAATCCGTGTTTTTTACTTGAATGTTGTTTCTGTCAAATTTTAACTTGTCAATAATGAGAAGGATTGAAGGTTGTAGCTGACGAAATTGTGGGTTATTTTATTATGTTCACTTACAATTTCAAGGATTCTAATTTCTAATTTAGTTTGAAAGTTTGCTTGAATCAAAAACAGATCACATTCACGGGGTGTGACCAGATCGCCGAATTCCGCTCAATAATCGGCAATTGTTGTAGTTATGCAATAGTTAATTGCCATATTTCCTACTAACACAATCTGTGATCTTGAGGGATTGACAAGGAACGTGAATCTATTTTAATTTCGCGGCAACATCACATTCTAAGCTGAAGATCTTTTACCGAAATGTCCAATCCGAAATTTCAGATGTCCAGTAAAAACTAACCGAAAATAGAAAGATATTTTGTTGCACAGGAGTCATTACCATAATGAATTTTTTACCAAAGTCCACATTCACAGTAAAGATCAGCTTAAAACATGGACTTTTTCCAAAATTTCAAATCAATAACATTCTCCGAAAGCAGAGGAAAGGAAGGATGAACGTAAAGTGTTCACAATAATCACTTTTGGGAAAATTCATTTCTAATTAATCCTAGTTTTCTTTTAATAACGTTCCCATAGATAAATTGTCACTCAAGTGCGCTACTACACTAATTCTCATTAATAGGAAAATATTCATATATAATACCATGAGTAGTCGAAGTATTGCCGATAATTTTTGAGGTGCTGTCACGAATGCTAGTTATGCTGATTAATAGTATTAAAAAGCGTAACTAGCATGAGTGGAGCAGCAACTCAAAAATAATCTACCAATACTACAACTACGAATGGTATTCGAAGGACTATTCAAAGAATCGAAAACCTGAACCTGGATGGCGGTGAAGACCTTCGGCAGCCTACGAGACCACCAAAGCCAGCTGGTAAAGGAACTGGGTACATATGAGAAGACCAACCGATGAGGCACAAGCGCATGAAGATCGTGCTTTTCGACGCGGGATAAGAACAATAAGGCCCCTTGAGACATCCTCGAAGCTTAGACGTTTTTACAGTTTGAGATATATATCATTGTTATTGTTTTAGATATCGGCATTTTATTATTGTAATTAATAATATATTGCATACGGGCAAAATGCAAAAGCCACTTCAGATAAGGGAAAAAAGGGCTACGCCCCAGATTTCCATTTCCATTTGAAATGAAATTTCATGTCTATAATGACTCCTGTCATCACTGGCAGATTGATTCTAATCAAAAGTTCTATATGAAAATTTTATCTTAAAATACACTTTCGGATAAAATTTAATACAACACTCATCCGAAAAATAACATTACTTCACTCGGAGAGTAAAGTACTCGGCCCCAAGGGGGCTTCGTACTTGAATATTTCCTCACTAGTAATATGTCATTTTCCCTTGCACTATCTCTCTCGGCGCGCTACCTTTCTATGGCAGAGACCGACAGTGCGCGTTCCAGTTTAATTATAGTTCAGTGATATATGGGTTATTAATTTAAAAATTTCTGTACATGACTTTACTGCAAATTTAGGAAATTGTCTTAGAGCAGATTTTTTTGAAATTCTAGAAATTAACATCCTCTTAGAGCTCCTAAAAATCCTCTTCCTAGGAATATTCTTAGAAACGTCTTAGAACAGCTTTAGCAACCTTCTTTACACTCCCTAGATGTCCTACATATGTTGTTAGGGATAGTATTAATTAAACATTTTGTGCGGGGGAGGGGGGTCGACTCTGGCAGAAGTAGAGGTCAACGGTCTGTTCTACATTAAAAGAATGCACTAAAAATGTTACGAATTTATAAGCTAGATCGTTGTGGCATTTTATTCACAGTAAATTTAAATAAAAGGAGGCTACGAATTTTTCTCCTGCGATTACAAAATTCTCATTCTGATCTCCTGATCGCTAGGGGAACACCTTACATATGCTCGTGATGCATGGAGGTTTCGGAAAGTAAGCAGTAAGTAGACCACTGCTCTCCCCGGTGAGACTCCTGTTCAATATTAACACAAAACTACCCGTCTTGCATTAATTAAACGGTTCGGTTGTAGAAATAAAAGTCTTTATATAAAAATTGTTTCTGTCACGTCAAAAAACTTTATTCTCAATGCCATCTCATATACATTTAAAAATTAATCAATTCTAAGTGTCTCTGACATCCTCCCACCTGAGGCAAAATTTTAACAAAAATGTGGCTCATAAGAAATCAGAGATACCGTGAACAAACAATCAGAAAATAAAAGTTAACATATGAAAAGGAATTAATTTAAATCCTATAAAACTCTGAATATTTTGAAGGTGTTTTAATCTTCCGTCCACTCCGCGTAACGTAACGTATATCACTTTTGTACGTTTCGGGTACTCTACTTTTTGACACTCCCGTTTTCGCGTGATCGTCCTCAATTACACTTTCAAAAATAGGCACTTCAATATTTTCACACTGACTTCGAGAAGAAATATCTGAGTCGTTATTCGTTCTATCCTCATTTAGAGTAAAATCGACGGCGCACTCCAGAGGGTACAAACGTTGTACAGGTCTCAGAAGTTGTCCCCTTTCGGTAATAACTCTCACAAGTCGCTTATTGCCATCCTTTCCTGGAAGAAGGGTTACCACTCGACCAAGCGGCCAGTTAACTCGCTTGTCTTTATCATTACCAACCAACACGATATCCCCCACTCTAACTTGTCGGTTACATCGCCCCTTGAACCATAATTTTAACTGCCCTAAGTACTCATTGCGGAATCTTCGTCGAAGATCAGCAACCAATTTTTGCCGATACACAACTTTCCTAGATAGAGTCTTTTGATCAACCTCATCACAGTCTGAAACTCCACTCTCTACTTGATCTCTAAGGAACATCATGGGCGTTAAAGGTACTAAATCTTTTGCATCATCAGAACAAATAAGTGGCCTTGAATTGATCACGGCTTCACAATCACACATTACTGTCATTAAACTTTCATAGTCTAGTGAAGAACGTCCCAACACTTTGCGTAATAACTGCTTTAAAACTCCCACAAGTCTTTCCCAAAAACCTCCCCACCACGCTGCCGTAGGTGGGTTGAATCGCCATTGAATACGTTCAATACCACTGCTCTCTGCGATTTCTTCAAAGTTTACTCGCGAAAAAGCATTTTCAGTGCCTACAAAATTAGTCCCATTGTCACTATATATAGTCTTCGGACGACCCCGTCGGGCAATAAACCGTCTTAAAGCCTGCATGAAACTAACCACCGATAATGCAGTACAAATTTCAAGATGTACAGCACGATATACGGCACACGTGAAGAGGCATACCCAAACCTTTTCTCCAGTTTTCAGATATAAAGGCCCCGCTAAGTCCACACCCGTTACTTCAAACGCGTTAGCATCCCGAACACGATCAACTGGCAAAGGAGGTGTCCTCACAACAAAAGGTTTGGCATTTTGTCTCCTGCACACTACACAACGTGAAATTGCTGATTTTATAGTTCGTCGTCCTCCTAGAATCCAATACCTTTGACGTAACTGACTCATAAGTCCCTGTGCTCCACTATGACATGATCTTAAATGCTCTTGGAATATAAGCTGATTGACCAAAAAATGCCTTGCTGGCAAAACTATGGGAAATAGAAAATTTTGACAATCGTTTCGGTTACTAATCCGTGACTTCAACCTAATTAGGTCGTTTTTGTCTTTATAAATGTCCATGCCACATAGTCTCTTATCGTTATTATTTGAAAAAGACTCCTTTTGCACAACTCGTAGGACAAATATTTCAGCTCGTTTAATTTCTTCAGAACTCAAGTTACCTTTGAGTCGATCTTTATTTCTTAAATTGTAAATGCATCGTAATATCCATGCACACATACGGAGGGTTTTTTGATAATGAGAAAAATAATCGAAATGCCAATCACTTGATGACATTTTTGGTTGCTCGTCATTAATCAGTGTCGTAACCAATTTTTTCTTCCTCTCTTGATTGATCTCCTGTTCATTGTAATCTAAATCTGATTGAGGATCAATAGATACGTCTTGATAAAGCCATTGTGGTCCCTCCCACCATTTTGACTCAAGTAACTGTTTGGCTGAACAACCTCGTGAAGGTAGGTCAGCAGGATTCAATTTACCGGGGACGTGGTGCCAATTTTCACTGCAAGACAATTTTCGTATTTCTGACACGCGGTTCCAGACAAATGTAGACCACTCTTCGGGTCTCCTCACCCATGACAATACGGTTGTCGAGTCACTCCAGAAAAAAGGTTCCATCTCCATGTATAAGCTTTCCTTGACGGTAGTATATAATCTAACACCAATTACTGCGGCCATCAACTCCAGACGAGGTATCGATTCTTGTACCCAGATACGAAAACGAGTTTCCAGTTCATCGTCAACTTTATCGTCCCACCTCATTTGTTTTTTCCATGTTTTCTGTAACCACAACTTTGGGAGCAATGTAACTGGACAACTATAACCTATAGGATCAAACACCCTTTGTGCTTGTGACAGCATTAATCTTCTAGTTACCGGTTTGCTTAAGAGCGATTTGATGTCTTCGTCATCGTGGTTTATAGATAAAGTATCATTCAACTTGTCCCACTTTACCCCCAGAACCACCGCGTAAGCGTTAGAGGCATCCTCTTGGACTTGGTGAGTATACTCCCACCCTCTGAGGTCGAATTTGCCTTCCGTCATTATAATAATGGCTTCTTTGATAAAGGTTTCCAATTCTCTTTCATTAGAAACACTAGTAACGCAGTTATCTACGTAAAAGCTGTTTGATAATTTCTTAGCAGTTTCTTTGGCAAAAGCGTATTTCGAGTCATATTCCTTCACAAATTTTGACAGATGATATTCTAACGAAGCTCCCAACAAGAAAGGACTACTAGTAATTCCAAACACCACCCGTCTATGACGAAACACTTTGAGGTTGTTCTCCTTATCATACCATAAGAATCTAAGAAAATCTCTGTCCTCCGAATGTATACTGATCTGTAGAAAAGCTTTACTGATGTCAGAAATTACACCAAGTCTTTGCTGTCTAAACCTTAACAAAATAGCCGGAATTAGTTCAATTAAATTAACCCCCTTTTCTAGACATTGGTTTAATGAAGGGTTATCCTTTTCTCTGGCGGACGCATCGAAAACCGGTCGTATCTTTGTCGTTGTGCTGTTAGGTTTAATCACTGGCCGTAGATAATGGGCCGACTTGTTCACTTGATCCTCTAACACCTCTTCAATAATGTTGTCAGTTAGCCAGTCTTTAAATACTTGATCATACGCCTCGAAATAACCATCCTTAATGATTTTCTTCATTGTGTTATCCAATCTCCTCTTCGCCATGTAATAATTGCTAGGCAGCGCTGGATGTCCCTCTAACCATGGCAACCTGACTTCATAACGTCCATCTGTGTCAACAGAAATAGTCTCCAGAAAAAGTTCTTTTGCCGCTAATGCTGTTTCATCGCTAGTTTTCCTTTCTATTGGATCATTGATCCCTAGTACATCGAGCTCCCAGAGGTTAGTAATAGATGCATTATTGACAAAGAGAGAGAGAGAAGTCATAGAGAAAGTGTTAGGCTTTTCGATTGGTACTTTTCCCATTAAAGTCCACCCTAGTAGGGTCTCTACTGCTACCAGGCCACAGTTCAAAATATGTCTTTTCCCGGTGTAAAGTTTACCCGCGATATCAGATCCTATCAACAATTCTATGGGATTAGAATCACACGCGTCTGATATTTTAATATTTAATTTACGCAGCTCTTCCATCCAAGGACCATCAAATATAGAAGATACACTATTGCAAATAACATTCTGGTCTAGAGCCTCGAAGGTACAACTATAATTATCGTGATTTAATTTAACATCATAGCAATCATGATTTTGTGTTAGCTCACTTCCACCGAATAGACCATGAATGAGACTAATTTTTCTTTTTGACTGATATCCCAAAAGTTTGACTGTCGCTTTCAAAATATATGATTTCTGCGAACCAGTATCTATCAATGCACGCCCGTATCTCGTTTTACCAAAATGAGTCATTTTTACAAGCAGCGTCTGCAAAAAAACCTGGGTACCCGTATTTAAATTGTTCGCAAGCGTTTGATCTACTTTAGTTGACGTTTCATCTTTAATCTGCTTTCGCTCTAAATTTTCCGGTTTTGTCTTATTAATTGACAGCGCCGGACACATTAAAGGTACATGAGATTTACAACAGATTATACAACTCAAATGTCCTCGGCATTTCCTAGCTTGATGACCCAATTTTAAGCAACGAAAGCAGGCCCCTTTTTGAGCCAAAATCTCTCTTCTTTGCTCGTAGCTTAACTTTTGAGCCTTAAAGCAGTCGGTACTGTCGTGTGAATTTTGGCAAAAAAGACATTTGGATGTTATTTCTGAATTTATCAGATCCATCGCGGTAGGAAACTTTTCTACTATTGTGCGTGATTTTTGGCTAGGCCGTTTAACATCTCTCTTAGTCACACCACCTAAATCAAAACCTTCCACCGCTAAAGAAATATGCTGTTCATTATCAACTTCCTTTTTCAAAAATTCCATAAGATTTTTAAGTCGATTTTCTATAGTGGAAACACCATCCAAATGTACAGAAGCACCTACATCGGGTATACGCTGCCAAACTCTTAATAGTTCTGACGGTAAACACGACTCTACTAAGGGAAACAACATTGCAGCATATTTATCGGACTTTATACCAAGAGTTTCTAACGCGCGTAATTGAGCTTCTAGATTATCGTACAATAAAGAAAGATCTACTTTATTGTCCGAAGAAGTATTATTTATCACTAATTTTAGCAACTCCCGCACGTATACTTCTATCTGCAAATCGTCCCGCCCGAATCTCGAAATTAAACAGTCCACTATTTTAGCATAGTTGTCCCCAGTGGCAGGAAAACTATCAACTAATTGCCTTGCCCTGCTACCCACCAAAGTACTTTGCACCAGATATTCTACTTTGTCATTTAAATGTATATCAGTATCGTTGTGGACCTTTTGAAACTGTGACCAGAAGGGCAACCAATTTCTAATACTCCCGTCAAATTTCTTAAGCTCTAGAGTAGGTAACTTAAATTTGCGTCTACCTGATCTGCCTCCTACATTACTTTCCGAGGCTACGGAGTTTACCTCTTCACCTAGCTCTCCTCGCGGCTTCTGTAGAAAATCCTCGGCTTGTGCGTTCAAGTCAGTGAATTTCCTAATGTAAACTTCACTACCATCCATCTCTGCCAGCAATTCTGCTTCACTTCCATCACTTTCCAATAGAGACTGGTATATATCACTGTCAATTCTTCTTAGATCATCATATTTCTGTTTCAAAATACCCAGCGATACAGAGATTAAACGTGCCTTTCCTTCCGGCGCCGATAAAAAGTCTTCTAATTCTTTCGCCGATTTAGTGAAGGTGGTACGGAGTACTCTACGATGCCTTTTGGGTTGATCCATGATTGTCAATGTATACCTGAACAAATTTATCGCAGACAACAATCGAAAACAATTATTCCAGGGTGTCACGGTCGCCAAATGTTCAATATTAACACAAAACTACCCGTCTTGCATTAATTAAACGGTTCGGTTGTAGAAATAAAAGTCTTTATATAAAAATTGTTTCTGTCACGTCAAAAAACTTTATTCTCAATGCCATCTCATATACATTTAAAAATTAATCAATTCTAAGTGTCTCTGACACTCCTTTGCCTCCATTTTATATTTTTGTGAGTTTCAATCTTTGTTTTTGAAATTGACTTGATTTAACCTTAATGCAGAATCACATATTTGATACCGTTATCCTCTTGTGTGTAATCGTTTTTGGTGTAAGGCTTGCTTAATTTATATGTTTATGTTTTGATTACACGATGTTGACCAGAAGTAACATTCATATAAATTTTGATCATTTTATTTTAATATGTGGAAATTACTGAGTTCTTTGTGTGTGCACATACTTGTTGTTTGTAACTAACATTTTCTCCGTGAATGAAGCAGTCCCGGGGGTGGCAAAAAACTGTAATCAAATTGAGCTACGACACCTAATTCCGTGATTGTCTTCGACATTCGAACGAGGGGCAAGTTATCTTGCCAATTTGCCTACAAGGCCATGTAATTTTCCACTTTTCCCTTAACAAAAGGACTTTATTACACCAAAGATGAGTCACATCCTGTACCCTTCACCCTTTCTCAGAATTTAGGTACCTGCTTACCTGACCCATTGTTCCCAAAATGTGTTATAATCTTGGGTGTAACCAACTAGGTGTATATGCATTTACTATATTTGTTAACCACTACTGAAACTTGATAATTTCACAAATTATTTTGTCAACTAACTTTCGAACTGTATTAATCAAACTGCGAGGTTTTTCTTCGTCGTACTCTTTTTACCCTTGGTAGTTACTTTTGCGAGAGTACGGCACATTTGGGCTTGGTTTACATTAATGTACATCAACTAAATATCTGGGCTTTCACAATCTTAATAATAACGACCATTATTATACAAACTTTTCACAATTTCAGTGTTTTATTTTACGTTCCTTCCCTAGTGTACTTCAGGTCATAGCGTTGTTTACAACTAACGTAAGGTGGCACTGCCTTTTTATCACGTGTCTCCTTTCAAATTTAAGTGGGATCTTGTGTTATTTTTGTAGAGAAACATCGTTCGGGGGCCCATTTTTAAACGTTGCCGGGTTTACTTAATTTCCGTGTTGTGAAATTAACGTAGAACATGGGGACTGAGCACACTACAAAATAATATTACATTTCTTAGCTCAGTGCGATACAACCACCGAGTTGAGAACTGCATGATCTGCAGTTGTTTGAGTTACGTCGGATTGATTAACGACTTTAAAGTCATTTGGGATTGGTAGTAGCAAAATACATTAACCAATAAACAATTAGACATGGCTGTCGGGATTAACCATCCGCCATTTTATAGGTTCGAACTAATCTATTCAGAGTGTAGAAGGGGTTAGTTGAGAGAGATTCAAGAGACTCGCGGCTTCACGTCTTGGCATTACAATCGTGGTCCATATAACAATTTGAATTCGCGATATAGAAGCGACCAGAAGGTCCAATGGTCCATGGTGTAATTTGTATCGTTCTAATACTTCCATAATACTCCCTTTTTAAAGATAAAGTGAAAAAGATGAATGTGCATTCTAATGACATCTGTCATTCCTATTTCAAATGTCACGCGAAGCACGATATAAAGTGACGTTCAGAACATATGACAATGCTGTTTATTTATTTATTTATTCTATTAATGGCTCACCTTGCATGGTGTATATTACCTCTATTCTTACACTATGATAGTACATTACATGCTGGAGGAAAAAGTTCTACGTAAGTGTCGAAAGCAGATAGGAATAAATTTAAGCAATGCTCTAGCCTAATCTGATGCCTAGCTTGTTATCTTTTGTACAGAATTTGTTATCGGAGTAAAATCTCGCCCCTGAATTGTTGGTCGGTATACAACACATTCTACACTTCTGTACAACAACGCGTGCGTTACTTTCTCCTACGAAACAGCGTTTAAGTTTATTACCAGTCAAATAAAAGATGGAAAAATACAATATGTCCTTATCATTAAGCTAATAGACATTTTTCGCAATAAAGTTGGACTTGAATAAGTCGTAGTAATTGTTTATTCTGTTCATCCGCCCCTGTGCATTTAACTGTAAAGCCATAAAAACAGACCTTGATCTTCATTTTGAGAGGTGGAACCTACTCTGGGTACCAATTAATAAATTGTTTATGTATGTAACGGTACCGGTAGGTAAGTGGGAAAAGTTTGCTTTAGTTTCGCAAGTTTTAAAGGTGAGTCCCATTCATATTTATTTTCTTATTGCGTATTTGGGTGAGTAAATAATGTTTACTCGCTAAATTAAATTTGTGATAATTAGTTTTATTGATCCATGGGTAAGATAACCAGTGGCGTTACGATTTTTTTAATCCAACCGTAATAAAGTATACTCTGCACATATGTAACATATACGAAATACGTTTTCAAATGATAGATCGTTTGCAGATACAAGTGCTGTCACAAGTTGTTACTGGTTTATAGCTGTTTACAGGTATGAAGCAAGCTATTTTTTATCAGTGGGATTTTGGAAAACGAACGAATTACTGTTAATTATCTACTTATGAAAGTAAAACGTTTCGTAACATACTCAAGTGTCAGACTAATCCCTAAAGGTGCCGTTAGTGCGACAGAGATTTGGGTAATATGTTGTTGGATGATTTTAAGAGTGGGGTCTTTTCTGTTTATGGGGATTTCCTGTCACGGCTTTTAGATCTTGTGACCGCACTCGACCGATAACAGAAATCTCCAATTCGTCAAATCCAAATTTCTGTCGCACTAAAGACACCGTAAGCGGACAGTAATGTCAGTGGGGAGAGTTTTACCAGTTCTACCATTGAATAATTGAATGGTTCTACTATAGGACTTCAGTAGTTTATATTTAAAAAGCTACTCAACCGATATGTGTGATTGAATAATGAATAATCACCTATTTCGATATGCATGTTCGTAAAAATACTGGCGCATATTTATTTATTGATCACTTCGAAATCCTGTTAAGACTGAGACTAAACAGAATTCAATTTACTTATATGGCAAGCAATAAACCTTCTCGTTAAATCTAAAAATCACAGAAAGTATGAGTAACATCCGCTATTATTCCTTATCGCCGATGACTTGACCGGCTTGATGGCGCTTTGATAGTGTTCTAGAAATTTCGTTACAATATCTTTTTCGAGATCATCATGCCAATCGCCCTTTGTGAGTACCCCCTCTCGGACAATCTGTTATTGAGATATAAGGAAATATATCCGAACACGATAAAGGGTCGAGGAGGAGGACTATGGTCGGTAGAAATTAATTCCTCTCGTTGAGACCTTTCATTAGAGTACCATGAAGGATAAATCAGCCCCCCCCCCAATTCCCCCTCTTTTAATAAGGTCTCAGAAAGAAGTGCGGTGGTTGGTAGAAAATATGAAGGATCAAATTAACGCCCCCCCCCCCCCGGCCTGCCCGTCAGCCAGTGATCTTGAAAAGGAGTCGCGTGAGACAGTTGTAGTTTGTACATACCAATTCATTCCAATGAGTCTTTTCATTTAGAATAACCATCAAGGTTAGAACGTGCCCCCCCCCCCCCACCATTTTCAATCATTTTACTTGGCGCCACTAAAGACATGCTTATGCAAAATCGCCACCACCCCTTCCCACAGCGCAATTTGATGGTCGTCTGGTACACCGTCAAGGCATAGGCATAAGTTCAACAGACAGATGGACGGACAAAACGCAAACAATTGCACATTTTTGTTTTGTGAAAACAACAACGGAAACATGATACACACACTCGTGACAACGGCGCCAAAACCGATAACCCTTTTAGCGCTTTTTTTACAGAAATAAAAGTGCTATTTTTTTGCGTTTTGACCGCCCTTCCGTCCGGACCCACGTCTGCCGTGTTGAACTACTTTTAGAGCAAGGGTGTTCCAGACGGCCATCAAAATTTTGTTGTCTTAATTCCCCCTATGAGATACTCTTTTTGAAAGTAAAACGTGCATAACTTTTACATGCGACAACCAGTTGGTTTCAGATTTTGCATACACACCTATACCTTGAAAGTGTGCCATATTTTGTTGTTTTACGCCCCCCCCCCCCCCCCGTATGCATGCCTTTATGTGGTGTCAAGTAAAACTTTTGAAAATGAGGGACATGCGTTTTACTCTTCATCGCATTCCAATAAAAGGTCTCATGGAAGTAAATTGGTTTGTTCAAACTATAACTAAAGAGGGGGGGGGGGGGGGTGAGAAATGAATTTTATCTTTCATGATATTGTAATGTAATCAAAGGTCTCAACAAAAGGACATGTTAACTACCAACAAAGAGTCTTTGCTACCAACTACCGCCCTTCTTTCTGACGCCGTATCATAAGACGCTGTTGGGAGAGAGGGAGGGGGGGGGGCTGGTTTTATCCTTCATGGTACTCTAATGAAAGGTTTAAAAGGAATTCATTTCTACCTACCCGTATCGGATCGGTTATCCTTATACCTCAAGAGCGGATTGTCGGAGGAAAAAAAAAAGATTAGGGCGTCTGGAAGAAATATATCCATTGGTGATGTCAAAACTTTAAAAACCAATCGCTCGAAAACAGTTTTTCGGAGGAGAGTACTCACAAAGGCAAAATTAATCGCCTAGGCGAGACATATTTATTGGGGACGTCACTCTAAGCGAATACCTTAAAACAAACTGTCAGAACAGGGTGCTTACTCATAAAAGGCAAGTGAGACGTCTGTAACGGGACATATCTACTGGTGATTTCAACACTTTCAGTACAAATATCTGTAGAACCATTGAATAAAAAAATTTTTATTCAATGGCAGAACGGAGTGTCGGAGGCGGGTACTCTCAAAGGGTGGAAAGATGGTCTAAACAAGACACAGTATCGGATATGCACAGGTGGCGCTAGAAGCGGAGAGGTGCTTTTGATTAGCTGACTCTTACTGCACGCAGTGCGCTTTCGGTAGTAGAAATATTCTTTCCCCGTTCTCACACAAGGTTGGAGTGAGGACTAAATAACGGGCGATCAAAAAAGGATTCACATCGAGTCGCCTTTGGAAGTTCAACTTAAGTACGATTTTTCATGTAGACAAAAATTCCAAAGGTGACTCTTTTTTTATCGCATTGTATATGAAACCTTCAATTTTTTAGCACATTTTCCAACTCATGTACTATGCGATCAAAAATGAGGTGCTGTCGAGTCGCCTTTGGAATTTTTGTTTACATGGAAAATCGTCTTAAACTTCCAAAGGCGACTCGACAGCAACTCATTTTTGATCGCCCGTTAGAAAGGCGCTATTATTGCCACTTTCTCCATCTGTCCGTCCGAGGCCTTAACTACTCCTACAGTTTTCAAAATATTTAGTTGGTTCTTTTTGCATTCTGGCACCTCAACAAAGAAAAATCTTGACGTTAATTTGCGCTGCGCAATGCCATCCTCCTTATTTATGGAGATATTTTTTTGAAATTTTGACCACAGATGCTTCTAGCAAAGACAAGCATATCGCATATTGTAAAAATTAGACAAAGAAGCATCTTTCTCCAACAAAACCATGTCAGTCCTCGCAATAGTAGTACATTTAGGAAGCCCCATTTTTCTAAAAAAATGCCAATAGACTTCTTCTTCTTCTTTACGAAGACTTTCAAGATAATGTTATAACATTAAGTAGGTAATTTTTTGTTTTTGTAAGAGATCCTAACTTATAAATTATCTCTATAAAACAATAAAGTTAGCTTTCCGGGGGCTAAGTAAACAGAGAGACAAATGGAAGAAAATTATGTAAGTATTTGATAGTCCAAAATAATGCGTTCAACCGTTTACGCAGCGAAATTGAGTTACAAAATTTAAACCTGCGCGTTTTAACCAATTTTGATTGATTGTTGTATGTTTGGTTGTCTACCACAGCATTGCTAATTTCGAAATAAATTATTTTATGTGAATCCCCTTTGAAAGTGATTTTGGGGGATGTTTCTTAAACAGCATTATCTATTTTCAGTAGTTAATCTAGAGATAAGCATGTTATTAATTTAAAAAGTTATTATGAGCGCCTTGAGCAAATGAGCATATATGCGATACGCTTATCATATGTGGGAACTAATTCGATAATTTCGTTCGTTTTGCGAAACCCACACCTCTGCTAGTACGTAAACAACCTGCGACTGGTTGTACTTGAAGACCCGCACGTCATCATATAAAGAGACATTTGAGGAGTTCTGCAAGTCAAATAATCAGCTTGCTTTTTAGTGTTAACAATCTCACTTTCACCGCTGCGATGTTCCGCATTTTCGTTTTGTGCGCGTTGTTCGCAATCGTTCGCGCTGGAGGAGTAGTAAGTGCCGTCGTTATTAAGGCCGTTCCCGTTTTAATTTTGCATTTTCTCAGTCGAAGGCGACCGTCAAGATACAGGGCGATACAGTTTCGGGTACCGTCACGTTTACTCAGCAGGGCGCGACAGTTCTAATTCAGGGGGAAATCAGTGGTTTGTCACCAGGAAAACACGGTTTTCACATCCACGACAAAGGGGATTTGTCGAACGGATGCACTTCCGCTGGACCCCATTTTAATCCTTACAAGGTAAGTACGCTCATTGCGCGCGATATTGTGTTAATTGCATTAATAACAGAAAAACCATGGGGCGCCTTCGGCACAAGATCGTCACGTTGGCGATTTAGGAAACGTCGTCGCCGGGCCCGACGGCGTCGCCCGCATTGATTTCACCGACGGCCTCATTAGTTTAGGTGGAGAACGGTGCATAATTGGACGAGCCCTTGTCATACACCAGGGCGAAGACGATTTGGGCAAGGGTGGAAACGAGGAATCGCTCAAAACTGGTAACGCCGGAGGGCGGCTCGGCTGCGGAGTTATTGGAATCTTGTAAATACTTTCTCTTGTGTACTTTCTCCATTAGATTTTGATAAGTTGTTAGTAATAAATCTCCAAAAGTTGAAACAATATGATGGTGATTTGGTTTTTTCCCGTATAGATAATTGTCGGAATCGCTGATGTATCTTAACCTTACCTAAATGTAGTTGTAGAAGACCAGGTCATGGTCGAAGAATAAGAGGGGAAACCCAGAACGAAATGGAAAGGAAATTGACCTTCAGACTTTATTCTTCCAAATGCTCCATGTGTCCAACACCCCAGCTCAAATTTGCAAACGTAATTGTGTTGCAGAAGGTTACCTACACATTGTAACCTAGTTAATAGTCAGCATTTTGAAATTATATAACAACAAATTGTTTATATGTCGATATTATGGTCAAAGCATTTAATGGGGACATTATTTCATAATTACTGGGTCGTGAATTGGCGAAAGCCAACAATAATGGTACCTGTTTTGAATCAAACCAAATTTCGTTTCGGACTTACGTTTCCAAAGGGCTTTATAACTTCTTTCTCAGCAACCACTGAACTAATAGGTACCTCTACGTTTTTGTATATTTTACTACTAGATTTCTTCGATCATAACAATAAAGAATCCAAACTTTTTGAGAAATTAAAAAAAAACCGACAATGACCAGGAGCCTAAAAAACCATTAGTTCCATCATTCTATGTGGTATGGTTATGGATAAAGGAATTTGGGATTTTGCAGGCGTATTTCCTTAACGTTTTGAAAAAAATTGTTTGTTTCCCCCCTAATATTTTTGTATTTAGGTAGAGATAAAATTGATTGTTTTTCGTATTAACGAAGACATTCCAAAATATTATGCGGTGCATATTGTTGTCGTCCCGTTATTTTGAAAATAACAATTGATTGTTAATTAATAATAATAATAATAATAATAATAATAACACAATACTCCTCTTTCTCAGAAACAACCCACTCGTATTCAACCGAAACGCAACAACCTTAAAAGCACTACAGGCTCACAAAATACTGTAATGTCTCCACCAATAACCCAAGCAACAACACAGATACAACCTCAAGAACAAAGAAACACCATAAATACAAGTAACGCAACATGCACTACAAAGACAGGTCCACCCAATAAAGTTACACGCCCTAGCACAGTTAAAAACACATAACTCCTTCTTCACAGAAACACACCACGTTATCACAACCCACTCGTACTCAACCCAAACGCAAAAACCTAAACAGCACTACTAGCTCACAAAATACAGTAATACCTCCACCAATAACCCAAGCAATAACACAAATACAACCTCAAGAACACCATAAATACAAGTAAGGCAACATGTACCACAAAGACAGGTCCACCCAATAAAGTTACACGTCCTAGCACAGTTAAAAAACACAAAACTCCATCCTCACCGAAGAACACCACGTTATCACAACCCACTCGTATTCAACCCAAACGCAAAGCCAAAGAAACACTTACACAATAAACTCCATTTAATAAAATTACAGGAATTATTATAATGATTTTTGTTTTGTTTTGTTTTCCTCTTTCCTGATAGCGTTGGCTTATTGTGCCCATGTGTGATTTTTATTTATTTATTTTTTTTAGGACCCTACATAACTTCACCAGACACAGACACAGACACTGATCGTTACTTGATTTTAATCCGTGCGATTAGTTAACCAGGCTAGACCTGAGTTCTCACAAGAAACACCGACCATAATAATAATAATAATAATATTTAATTGCCCAACAGTTAATTGCATGTAGCAGGAGTTGGCGTGAGACTTCTTATTCACAAATACTACGGTCGACAGACCAGCTAAATTATACTAAATTATGCAAAGTGCTAATGAAAATAATAAAAACTCATTACGATGATGTTACAAAACCTTACAAAACAACAAAAGTTATCAAACTCGTGCTTTCTATATTTATAAAACATACATTGTCTAAGATTATAGGACGATATCTTTGAGAGACTAGAAGAGGCCGAGTCGAATTTATGCCGAGCATTCGTAGGTCTTATGGTGGGTTTATACAATCATTAACATGAATTCACTATCATTAGATCATTAAGAAACGGTCAATAGAAGCAATGGTAATTGTGCGTCGCTAACCAACAAAACCATATCTTTATTTCTATTGGCTATTTCTTATTATTGTAGTGATAGTGAACTAATGATAATAATTGTATACTTTGTTTGTTGTTTTTCATTTGATAAACGGCTACACCAATGCCGAACGAGGCGAAGGCGAGTTCTGCATAATACGTTGTATATTGTCTAAGATTATAAGACGATATCTTTAAGACTAGAAGAGAGTGAGCTGAATTTATACCGAACTCGCCCTCGGCTCGCTCGCCATTGGTAGGCATTGTCTTCCAGGTCAGATTTTGTCTGCTCGAATTTCTTATTGTCATTTGATAAAAGGCTGTACCAATGCCGAGCATTGTCTAAAGGCTAAATTATAGGGCGATACATTCAAAGACTATAAGAGGCCGAGCCGAATTTATGCCGAACTCGCCTTCGGCTCGCTCGACATTCGTAGACACAGTCTGAAACGGTCAGATTTAGGGAATGCAATCCCGCAGCAATATTTCGATCCCGGTATTTGCGGGATCGTTAGATGTTAATCCCGCGGGATCCCGGTATTTGCGGGATCCCGCATAATTTTAAATGTATTGGGATATAAAGCAATTTTGTGTGGTTAACCGAACATCCTCGCACAAAAAACATAGTATTTCCCGGAAAGAATGCGTCACATCCGCCCTCGTTTCTTATCACTGGTGGTTCCTCCATGTCTATCTGGATTTTTAGAATATTCTCTATAATAGTTCCATATAGCCATTTTACTACTGAAGTCTTTATAAATAATGGACGAGTTCGACAACTTGTCTATAAGAATAACGGTACCTACGTTCAAAACAATAGCAAAATAAGTCAAATTTTCGGACTCGCTAGCTGTTTAACAAAGTTGATAACGTAGGTACAAGTTAGCGCGTAATTATTGCATGAAGCCCAACAACACACTAGTGACATGGTATTGATTTATTTATTTATTTATGTATTTATTGTCCCTATTGTTTTAGACCAGGGGTCGTCAACCTATTGAAACGGAAGAGCCAAAAATTACAATTTACAAAATTTCTTAGTTTTTAAAGAGCCACAAAAAATTGTTGATTCAATATTATAGTATTTGGCTATATACAGGGCCCTGCAACAGTGCATCGGTTTTTCCTACATAGCTGATACCTGGTAACAAATATTGGTGGTTGCGGATCTACAGAAATTATTTTTGAATGTACAGGGTGTCCCATGTTTACGATGTCAATAAATAACTGAACTGTTTAAATAGAACATCCTGCATATTTTTACTTGTTTCAATGCCATTTGTTCAAAGTGCTATAACTATTTTTTTTCAAATGGAACTACCACTATTTTATTTTGCTATTTGATTGTCTTTTGTGTTCTCTTCAATGTTTATAAGGGGTGCTCTGTGCTTAAACCCGCAGTTTTTATGTTATTCAATATTTTTCACAAAAAAAGTACCTACTCATTAATTAATTACGTGTTTATACATCGGAGTAGGCTGCTGTAATAAAAAAACAAAAGAATACCAGAAAGTAAACAAGTGTCACAAATTAGATTTGCTGCAAGTGTACTTTTGATTTCGTAAACAAATAAGATTAATTAAATAGGCGAATTTCGAACAAATAAACTACTTTGTTTAGATAAATTCGGAGAAATTACATGAAAAGAGCCGCATGCGGCTCGCGAGCCGCAGGTCGCCGACCCCTGTTCTAGACAATCTAGACCCTCAACAGGCTTACGCCCAATTACAGAGTGACCCGTATAATGCTTTTTAGAGGTGCCCCTGTAGAAGGTAGCCGGCAGAATGCTCGAAACTGATCTAAGGTAATTTCCATCTCTGCTTCTTGCAGATGATTGGTATTCGTGGCGCAAGGGGTAGCGAAAGATGATTTTAAAGTTCGTAAAAAATAAATGAGAGCGCAGTCGAGGGCCCAGAAATTGGATGGAGAATCAGTAGAAGGTTCTAAGAGATCTAAAGGGCGAAAGAATAGTTCAGGGCGCGGGAGGGGTAAAATGGTGGAGTCTAAGAGACTAAGTCTGCTGTGACTACTATCCTTGGTTTTGGTAGCGCAAGAAGGAACAAAGGGAGACTGAGTTGAGGGTTAAATGGGAAAATGAGTAGAGGTTTGTTGTGATATGCTTCTTCTTGGCATTGATGGAAGTAAACAAAGGAGGGTTTAAACTATGGAAGAGTAGTTGAGGACGCAGAAGAGTTAAATATTATAGAAAATCAGTATAGAGTTGTCATGACATTCTTTGCTTTGCTGCAGGAACGCAAAGGGAGCACAATAAATAACGAAAGAGGACTTTTTGCTCACAAAATCCAGGTAATTGGTAGGTTGGGGTACCCAAACGTCAAAGCCATAAGGTGTTGCACTCAAAAAGGACGAAGTAGATTATTTCGAAAACTGGAGTGTTTGCGACATAGAAAGACGTACTAACGAACAGACGGACAGAGAATGTGGCTGGGACGTCGGAGCTTGTTGAAGATGCAGGATGCGCAGTACTTTTCTAGATCGAGGGGGTTTAACAAATATTATAGATAGTCTGAAGACATGAGTAGTAATGACAGATGAAAAGTGAATTATTCTAATCCCAATACTTTATACACTATTCTATCGTGGGGATCTCCGAAACCATAGAAGATCCGCCAGACAAGCTGAAATTTGTAGTTTTCGATTTTTTTATCTTATTTCACCAGATAAAAAATATAAAAGCAATTTCTCATTGCCACAATTTGAACTCTACAAGACAGTGTTGAAAGATTTTCAGTATAACGTTTCTTTTCGGAGAAATCATCATCAACTTTATTTTTTATATGGCCCGTAAAAAAAGTACATACTGTATTCCGTAGCATTTCTTATTACGAATACAACGATGGACGGCTCACAAAAAAAACAAAAGTTAGGAACTGTTGATTTCAACAGGATGGTGCACCCGCGCACAACGCCCTAATTGCGCGAAAAAAATTTCTTGGGAAAATGGAAAATTTTCCCGATAATTATTTTCAGACGATTAGGGTGTTGTGCGCGGGTGCACCATTTTGTTGAAACCAACAGGGTTTCAAGCTCTTGTTTTTTTGTACTTTACATCGTTGTATTCGTAATAAAAATACTCAATACAGTCTTTGAATATAAATATATTCAAAGATACAGTGTACACTTTTTTGCGGGCTATATAAAAAAATAAAGTGGACGATTTCTCCAAAATTAAACGTTGTATTTTTTATTATATTATATTTATTAGATTAGTTTCATTGCGCTCATATGCTTTTAAGGGTAATTTTTCGAAAGAAATTCCCTTTATTTAATGGTTTTGTCTGTGCGTCTGTCCGTCCGTCTGTTCCTAATCTAACTCGATAACGAAAAGAGAAACGGCTATGCCAAACCTTCGCCAATCGATTTCTACGAGTTCAAGGATCAGTCCTATTGAATATGAGCCGGATTAAAAGACGTGTTTCCGAATTTACCTTATAGTAATCGCTTATTATTTAGCTGGTGAAATGTAAAATTTTTATATCGTTTTTGTGATAGAATCAATGAACGATTTTGATCCGTGCGTAGTCACTTAGAGTAAAAAAATTTTTCAACCAACCTCGTATAAATAACTGAAAACGACGTACCAGGTTAAATTGTCTGTAGAATCCAAAAATGTAAAACTGTATAGGATGTCCCATTTAAATTTCCAACTTTCGGTCAAACCGGTAGAAAATAGTTTTTTTTGCCATCGCGACTTCGGTCGCTCGATATTGATGGATATATAACAGAAACCGAGTGTACATCAGAATGTAAGAATTTGGTATAGTACAATGCAAGAGACTTGGCGCATGTATCCATCGGTACCCGAAATATCAGAGTGCGACATCAACGAAAAAACAAGTTTTAAAAAATCCTATAATCCGATCGGGCCCAATTGTAAATCTAAACCATCCGGAACAGAGACAGAGACACCTAAAAAACTTTCATCAAAATCCGTCCAGCAGTTTAGAAGTTCAGTTACAAACACACGTACAGAAGAATTTTTTATATAAAACTAAAATTGTAAATTCTTATCTCCAATTCTGCCAAATGGCAGTTCAACAGGTTCTGCTAGCTGCACATACATGGTGTAATAATAAAATGTATCATGGGAAAGTTGGATTTTGACTATTATTGGTGTCAGAATTTCTTGTAAAATTTTTAAAAATTAATCTTTTAAATGTTAACCAAACGTGCTTCCAGTAAAACCAAACATATCGCATATTATAAACACTATAGGCGTGCGTGTAAGTCATAAGTGCAATAATAAGACAGCTTAGAAATAGTGCTGGCAAGTCTTTGGATGACTTTAATTGGCACTCATTGTAATTGGAATGCTATCAAAGAAAGTTCCAATAATTGAGTACAGCGGTAGAGATAATTATGGTGACCTTAGCCTACTAACAAGCTGACAAGCTTCTGCCAATTAGGTACCTACTTAATTTTTGAACCAAATTAATGAGAATGGTGTCGTCTGATAGCGCTGTATAGATTTCGTTGTGGTATGTAGTCCAGTCAAAATAAGAAAATCAGAGGAACTAAAATACTAGTTCCAATTTTTTCAGAAATGTGTAGGGAGAGGTTCCCTGAACAAGAAAAAATAAAGTCCCTCCAAATTCCGGTGCCGCTAAGGGAAGGAGGGGGGTTTTAACGACCCATTTTTCAGTTTTTCCCTTTTAACTCGAAAATGGTGCGTTACAGTGAAAAAGTTCTTCAGTACAAAATGAAAGCTTATTAACCCTAGTTTACTGGCCACTAAAACTTTCAAGTTTACGGGCGTGGGGTGGAACGAACCCCAGATAGAAAAGACTAAACTTGAAAGGTACTGGAGCTCCCAGGCCAAAATATTGAAATAAAAAAAACTTATGGACATTGAAAGTGGCTGTGGGGTGCGATCCACCCCCTGTAAACTTGAAAGTTTGTTTAAAAGTAGTGATAAAATAAAAACTCAAATCGTAAGAACGTCAAAAACGATAGAAAAGACTAAACTTGGAAGGTACTCGAGCTCTCAAGCCAAAATTTTGAAAGAAAACAAACTTATGGACATTGAAAGTGGCTGTGGGTTGCGATCCACCCCAAACCTGTAAATTAGGGTTTTAAAATTGCTACAAGTTTGGTTATATACATCTTTACGAAAAACTTAACCGTTTTCGTGCTACCGGCTCCGGAAAGGTGGTAATTTCTAAACAAAATGGTTTTCCACTCACGTTTTTCGTATATTTTTGGCTTCTAAATCCTCCCCCGGTCATTTTAGGGGAAAATCGTCACAATAAAACCTGTACAGCATTAACATCCCTATAGTCCGAACCTGCTGAAGTACGAGTTATCTCCATACCCCATGACTATTCCACGAAGGATGCTTCAGGAAAAACGAAGAAATCTGCTCTCTATGAGGCTTTCCCTGTGTGCATGGATGCAGTGCACCTCAAAACGATTTACACTGTAGTGGACGGTGGCTTTCTCCTTCACAGAGTCAAGTGGAATGTTGGGACCACTTTCTCTTTCGTCTGTGAGCAGTATGCTTCATATATAATAAATCACTATTCTTCCAATTGTGCAGTTGTATTCGATGGGTACGAGGACATTAATACCATAAAACGGTTCAGTTTTCGAAAAAATGTATATAACCAAACTTGTAGCAAATTTAATAAGCTTTCATTTTGTACTGAAGAACTTTTTCACTGTAACGCACAATTTTCGAGTTAAAAGCGAAAAACTGAAAAATGAGGCGTTTGAAGCCCCCCCCCTTCCCCCAGCGGCAACGGAATTTGAAGGGACTTTATTTTTTCTTGTTCAGGGAACCTCTCCCTACACATTTCTGAAAAAATTGGAACTAGTATTTTTAGTTCCTCTGATTGCCCATTTTTGGTCTAAATTGACTGGGCTAATGGGCAACATCGCCTTTTTAGTTCTGTCGTAGGTCTGTTTGTCTGTCTGTGCTCGAAAAAACTTCTAGATTTTCTAACGGTTTTAGTGTGATCTATCTATAGTGTATAGTGTGATTGCTACAAAAACCTAGACTTTGTATAGACGTAGCTTGGTCTCTCGCTTTGGTTGCTAAGTCGTGCGGATCGAGAGATCAAGTGGCATTTTAAAATGCAATTGAGCCAAGCTAACCAGTTCTAGACAACCGCAATTTATCATGAAATGATTTCGATATTTACAAGGAAAATAGAACCTTTTCATTTTGAAAATTTGGGAAGTGGTGAAAATGACTTATTTCCTATTTGGATGCGCAAGTAATTATTATAGCATCTTGTCCATGGGACTTTTGGAGATTTATTGCAATTGTTGGAGCGTGTAATGATCGCTTTTCTATAGGCAATTAACCTTAAAGCGCGCCCCCAACCACATTTTACTGGAGGAAGGAGATCGATATTGAACCTGACCTAGGAGTCAAAAAGGCGTCATCGTTATTACGAATACCTTATTGATGTTGAGCAACGTATCAGAAAGCGGGAAAAACCAAATCACTAACTTTGTACTTAAACTTGACCTTGTTCGTGTTGCATTCTATTGTTTACCTTAATTTACATTAACATTTAAATACCTGTCAAGGCTAGCTATAAAAAAACTGTAATTTTCCAAAGTTTTCACGGTTATATCACCCACGTCTAATGTTTCAGGGCAGAAAACTCAAGTGGATACTTGCTGAGCTCTCCAAGCCTTCTACTGGCGCTACTTGCGTCCATCACATTATATTAAGATTATAATTGTTATTAGCTACTCGTACTCGTATTATAATAATAAATAGAATCGACCTTTCCTTGTTTCGATGACCTTTGCAGAAGTTTGCGTGTCTTTGGACAAATCTGATAAGCTGGGCAGCGCTCAAGTGTTCCGCTGAAAATGTGGCTTCAGCCACTCTTAAACCACTGAAAAATGACGGTTAATTAAAAATTTGAGTCTGCCATCGGTTAGGGATGGCTTACATTCGTTCGGCCACCACCCTTAGCGTGTCACAGCTCAATATCGCAAAGCTCGTAAAGCTCTATGGAAAATTTCTATTCTTAAACTTGTTTATTGCACACGTACCGAATTGAGCGAAATAATTACGAATTTAATGAAACGCTGCCCCTCTACGCCAAAGTCAAGAACCTTTAACTGGCGCGTTCTAACATTTCGAAAAGGTTAAATCGACGCTAACAAGATGGATTGGTAAACGTAAAATGCTAATGTGGAGTTCGTGTCGGTCATAAGAGGGTTCGTCGAACACAAATTGGGCATAAATCCCAAATAGGAGGATTTCGTCAAACATAAACTGCGTCACACCTGAAAGAAGTAAATCATAGGAGTGGGTCGGCCCAAAGGGAATGCACAACGAAGAAATCAAATTGCACTCCTCCAATGTAACTAACTAGAGCTGGGCAGAATACTTTCAAAAAGTATTTGTATACTAAATAGTAAATACTTTACACAAATCAAAGGTATTTGAATACTAAATACTTTTACCTCCAGCACAAGCGAATACTAGATACAGATACATTGAAAAGTATTCAAATACTTAAAAAAATAAGTATTCAAATACTTTAGAATATATTCGAATACTTTCAAAAGTATTCGAATACTTGTCACTCAAATACATTAAAAATTTAAAATAGTATACTAGATAAAAGTCTTGATACTACTTAAAAAATCAAGTTATACTTTGTATGGGGTTAGCTTTTTTTATATTTCTATTGTTATATACAAATTTAAGGGGAGTAAAAGCGTATTATTATTATTATATTATTATATAGGAGGTACCTACCAGGACCTTTCTTATACCAGTTATACCCTTAAGAATACGTGTACCAGTTTTCAAAGCGATCGTACGTCGTGCACATGATACGTACGCCTTTCTGAAATTAATCCTAGCGATTTTGGAACAGATCCCTTTTTGACCATCCGTTTGTCCGTGTGCATGATAGTTTGTTTAGAAACGTGCGATCGCTTTGAAAATTGGTACACAATGGTCTTAAGGATATAAGAAAGGTCCCTATTGTTTTTAAGTTACGTGGACTATCCAGTCAAAAAGTTTCACTCCAGGATCGTTCGGTATTCAGTTGTATCGGATTTTTATATTTGATTTTGTGACAATGGAAACTTTCCCTAAACATTTCTAAATTGTTCTCAAATATTTGAATAACTTAAAAGTACCTACTGCCTTTTTTTGAGGCCGGAAAAAAATTTGTCTGAGATCGACCGGAAAAAAATTTTTCTTATAGAATGTGGCCTGTAGAATCCATAATTTCAAACAGTTCCAAGATTGGGCTACTAGTTCAAAAGGTACAGCCCTTTGAATTTTCTTTCGAAATTGGTTTCTAGTCTATAACTTTTGATTGAGAAGTCTGATCGAAAAAGTACGAATTGTTTTGGATTCTACGCACCAAAATTAATAATAAAAAGTGTTTTCCCGAGAAATTTTGGTGTAGTCGATTTTTGGTAAAAAAGGAAGGTTATACACTGCCTTTTTTTTGAGCCCCGAAAAAAAAATTTTCTCAGATCGACCCGGAAAAAAAATTTTCTTATAGAATGTGGGCTGTAGAATCCATAATTTCAAACAGTTCCAAGATTGGGCTACTAGTTCAAAAGTTACAGCCCTTTGAATTTTCTTTCGAAATGGTTTCTAGTCTATAACTTTTGATTGGGAAGTTAAGTATTTAAATACTATGCGAAGTATTCGAATACTTCTCAAAGTATTCAAATACCTTGCGAAGTATTCGAATACTAAATATTTGTGAAAGTATTTGAGTTACAAATACAAATCTGCTTCCATAAAGGTATTTAATTACAAAGTATTTGAATACTTTAAAGGATTTGAATACTAAAAAGTATTTACAAAATCGAATACTGCCCAGCTCTGTAACTAACAAACACCAACAAACGACCAACAAACGATTGAAATAAAAATATTCTGAAAATTCCAAAAGTGGGGGGTGCAATGAAAATATTCTGAAAATTCCAAAAGTGGGGGGGGCTAACTTGACGCCGGTGGGCTATACGTATTTGAGCAACCTTTCTAGTGTTGGAATTATCTGACAGCAAGACAGTAGTTAGATTTTTGAAACTGGAAAAGGTGGTAAAAGCCCCAACACTGCATGACGCTAGGAGCAAAGGTTAGAAATAATACAGTCATTTGGAGCAATATTGCAAGGTTTAATTCTCGGTTCGCTTCTATTTCTGATTTCCATGTTTTGGGGAGTTTTTCGAAAAAAAAATTCCCTTTATGTTATGGTTTTGTCCGTCTGACCATTAGTCTGTTCTTCGTCTCGAGAACGAAAAGAGACTTCGCCAATCGATTACTACGAGTTGAAGAAACAGTGCTATGGAGTATGAGCCGGATTAAAAGTAGTGTTTCCGAATGCGAGCTGAATGTCAAAAATTCACCTATTGAAAATCGTACGCGATTCTTTGTATCTTGTTCAGTGTGACTCACTCGTGCCTCATATCTCATTACATGCAGCTATAATTTGTATTTCTCAAGTTTTTTTTAGCCCATTTTTTTAAGAATTAAAAATTTGTCCGTCTGTCCGTCCGGACCTACTTCTGCCGTTTCGAACTACTTCTAGGGGAATGGTCCTAGAGTCCTGGAATTTTTTGCAGTAGGTAGCCTATACCTTGAAGGTGTGCCAGACGGCCATTAAATTTCGCTGGTTTAAAAGGGGGACCCCCCCCCCACGAATTATTTCCTGAGATTCTGTTTTTGAAAGTAAAACTTCTACATACGGCAACCAATTGGTCTCAGATTTTGCATACGCATGCCTTAATTTTCGAGGTCAGTGAGCGACGGGGCCTGAGGGGGGGGAGGTTCAACATTATATCTCTCATTGTATTCTAATTAAAGGTCTCAACGAAAGGAACCGTTTTATACCAACTACTGCCCTTAGTACGGGCTAGAGGGGAAGGGGGGGCTCGTTTTTTCCTTCATGGTACTCTAATGAACGAAAGGAATTCATTTCTACCAACCTCCTCCTCGACCTCTTATCGTGATCGGGTACCCTTATACCTCAAGAACGGATTGTCGGAAGAGGGTACTCACAAAGGGCGATTGAGACGTCTGCAAGAAATATATCCATTGGTGATGTTAAAACAAAAGCTATTTCGGTTTAAAAAAATGCGCTTTATCTGCACAATTGATACTTGTTAAAACCTGCTTGCAGCTTCTCAAAAGTTCCCATTATTTAGGCTTTAGCGCGGCGACCAGGGGTGCAAATTTTAGTGCTTCCTTACGCGTAACTTTTGTCTTGAGCCGGCCCTGTTGAAAATAGACCGGAAGGGGAAATAAAATCGCGATTTCTCATATACCGCTTTTCAGAATTCTGCGAATTTTAAAATTTTGGTATGCGCACATAGGTTTTTGGAGTCAAGGAGCACAGTGAAACGGAAAAAAATGAGACCGGAGATGGTAGAAACGTGATTTCTCAGAATATGGCCGAAATGGCGCCAAATATTTGAATTGTTCTACCTTTTTCCAGAATGCAATGACATTAAACTTCATGTTTCGTATACTACTTTTCTCATGTGTGGACCTACCGACAGACGTCCCACAGAAGCCGCCATCTTCAACACTTGGCTTCCGGTGACGTTCTAGTACTTTCAATCGCACTCTTCGACTTCAGAAACCTACGTCCACACATTGGATTCGCTAATGCTAACGAGCATTATGAGAAAAGTAGTAACACTTCGAAATTTTGGCGCCATTTGGGCTTAACTATGAAAAATTGCTGTTTTCTACTTCAGTTCACATTTTTGACACTTCCATAATTGTGTTGCTTGACTCCAAAAACCAACGCCAACATAATAAGAAACTTGAATGTAAGTGCATTCTGGAAAAGTTAGGACAATTCAAATATTTGGCGCCATTTTGGTCGAAATATGAATATGAGCCATGCCATAATCTTAAAATTCAGAGTATTCTGAAAAAAGGTAGAAAAATAGGAATTTTTAGCACCATTTTGGCCCAAATGTGAGGAACCACGGTTTTTGACTTCTGGCCTCATTTTTGACCCTTCAATCGTGCTCCTTGGCCCCTAAAACGAGGGTCCAGACCCTTGAACTGTCAAAATGTAAAGACGCAAATACTGAATATCTCCCTTCCGGTCCATTTTCAGACCTGGCAACAAGCAGAATCGGGTTCAGCTGGATCGAAATAGGGGAAAACCACTTGTAACTCAATTGTTACACGAAGCATTTGGACTTTCTCAAAAGTAGACCTAACTATTGTGCTGAACAGCTAATATTTTTTGCGGATTGAAGTATACGGAACCCAATATAAAGTCACTTTAATGAAATGGAGAGGTTTTTGTGCCGAACTCGCCGAGCGCCACCCTAAATGTCTTTATCCACTCTTGTCACTACACCACGAACCTCCGCTACAATTTAATCCTGGAATATTCTTTAGAAAATCAAATAATTACTTCTTGAATATTCACTTTATTCTAAGTATTTTTAAAACATTCCTGGGAGATTCTAGATATATATTCATTTAGGGGTTGTAATAATATTTATAGAATATCTTGACGATTGATTCGCGAATGCGCACACTGTGCAATGTCAACTTTCTTATTAGAGATATTTTTTTAACCAAAGATTCTTCTACTAAAGGCAAGCATATCGCATATTTTGAACATCAGGTATGCGCATGCGCAGACTGCGCAAGTGTTAAATTTACACATTTACATATAAACAGTTCGTTATATGACCTCTCAGGAAGTACTGATCAATTAAACTGGACACTTTTTTTCATTTTTTGCTATTGGACCATAAAAAAATCGCTCTCTGCTGAAGGAAGTAGAGTGGCAAATTTCTCTCCATCTAGTGCACCATGTACGACCTTTTGGCAAGATTTACCAATGAATCAGACATGCCTTATGTGCAACTAGTGGTTTATTTGTTCCAATAACACATGAGTAGCGCAACACAGACACCAGCCCTTATGTCTATGATGGGATTAGTGCCCATCTTCTGAGTGGATTCCCAAACTTAACGAAGTTAGCCTGCTCCGATATGGCCCTAATCAAATTTGTCCATCTGCGAAACTCCTAACAAAGAGAGCGAAACGTAACGCAATTCCAGCGTTATTGATTTAACAAAGACCTTCCTAAACTTCGACGTTCCCAGAACGAAAATTTGCAATTCTAACAAGGTCGCATTCTCAGATTTCAATCGAATGACACAAGTCCGAAATTACATTAAGGGATGTAATTAAAGAGCGCCTCGTAAATTATAAATGTTAAGGTCAGCGTACAGTTTGATGTCAAAATCGATAGTTCGTGAATTTCTAACGTGGGGTCTTAGAAAAAATATCAGCAATTTCGGATAAAAACGCATCTCGTCGTCCTGGAGACGTTACGTTACAACAAACTGTCGGCCAATCGCAACGGCGTTCTCAAGAAGACGCGATTTTACGAAAGTTGCGATATCAGAAGTTTAAAAACCTACCGGGGTGAAAGAGGTGCATGATGGAGACGTGCGAAGCGAGGATAATTAAGTACATTTTGTTCATTTTCAATTTAATTTTCGCGGTAAGCTCAATTTAAAAAAAATGTGCAAATTCAAGCTTTTGCTCAGATTTCAGGGATCGCTCTGATAGTGGCAGGAGCGGTTGTGTTGTCGGATGTGGGGGAGTTCAATCACTTCATGGAGGGAAGAATTTTGGCGCCTCCAGTTGTTTTGATTATAGTAGGAGCGATCGTCTTCATTGTGGCGTTCTTGGGATGTTTTGGAGCGATTCGAGAATCTTACTATCTACTCATGGCCGTAAGTACCACTAAGACAAAGCATCTGTTACAGTGGAGCTTTGCAGTTTGCACTCTGCCTGTTGGTGATCTTCATAATCGAACTGGCAGTTGGAATCGCCGCCGCCGTTTACAAGAGTGACTTTGAAGAAGTGCTGAAGGATACGCTCAAGTCCTCAATGGACAACTACTACAGCAGCAAGTCAGATCGGCTTGCTTGGGATAATATGCAAGTCAAGGTGCTTCCCTTCGATTACAAATGTGACACTTAGTGAACGCGTTTTTTTTCAGTTGGAGTGTTGTGGCGTCGAAGCGCCTACGGATTGGCCAGATAAACAGCGCCCCTTCAGTTGCTGCCACAAAACGGAGCGGACTGATGCGAAACCGCCCGAAAGCTTCCACTGCGTGCAGGCCGAACCGGGGGATGACATCTTATACTCAGTTGGATGTTTCGATAGGCTGCAGATGAAGGCGGACTCCAGCGCAAAGATACTCATCGGGGTCGGCATTGGCATAGCATTCGTTGAGGTCAGTCTTAAAGTGCGAAGAAAAGGGCGTAGTATTGTAACTTTCAGATCATCGGAATAATTCTGGCATGTTGGTTAGCATCGGCTATCAAAGACCGAGACTCAAAGAAGTAAAGAGCACAACAACTCAAAAACATAATCATCTCAACAAATTTCCAACGCAATTCTCTCTAGATAGTAGAGTAGGTACCAGGTCATGCGCAGTATTTATTGATCACTCATGAACAATCTTGGTGTAATCTTCCATTGTTCAGTCTATAGATGTTGCAATGTATCAAATTTTACTTCATCGTTAACGTTTTTTAATTAATAAAACATTCACAAGTACCTACACAATTATTGTATTTAGAGAACAATTAAATTAACAGTTTAAGAACACCAATGTTCAGATCGCAAGCAAAACTCGTCATTGGCTTGGTCAGGAAACGAAATTTCCAGCAAGTGAGTATCGCCCAGTCCCTTCTTCTAATGGACATCGCTGTAGTTTTTCATTGTTGCCCTTATGAGGTCATAGTTCATCGTCTCTTAGGAATATCCTTTTTGGTCTTAGCCAATCGTCTTTGGTGGGATTTTCTTGACACTACACCAACTGCAGGAATATCAGGGCGTGTTTGTGTCACAAGGGAAACTATGGAGCCTGCAGTCTTTCGCTAGGGGAAGTTTTTGTTTACAATTTTATCTGCTCTGAACTCCGGGGTTACAACATAAAGCGTTCAAGCATCTTTGTATAGACTTCTGTATAATCAAAATAAATCCATCTTCAAACTGTTTAATCGGATGTTATTTTGGGCGCTTTTCTGAGATCTTCAAGAAATTCATGTCCTACATCCTCGTCTGTAGTCGCTAGCTAATCTCCTTTTCGTAAAGAGACAATAGTCAGCTGTATTTTGTGTGAAACCATTTTCGATGAGGATTTTGCGAAATCTTGGGTTCCAACATTTGGCTCTCTGTTTTAGGTCCTACAAGCTGCCTTTGAGTAAACAAACCGTCGCTAAATCCATCTGGCTGCTTCATATCAACTTCTTGCTTTTGCTCGCCACTAACAAACGTTGTGGGGACATGTTAAATGTCGTAGGTTGTAGTGTTTGGGTGCCACTGGTCTGATGACCGGCTCCAGGCCGGTGATGGTGACCAGCTGATGTCAGTTAGTGATGGTTCAAGACCGTTGGTTGAGAAGTTCGAGGACGTTGGACGCCAATTGTCACTAGGTATAAGAACGTGGTGGTTTGAAAGAACATATATTACACTATACGGTGATATTCATGTAGAAGTAGACATAAGTATTTCCTATGTTCACTTCTACATGATAAAAAGTCTCCTGAATGACGCCTAATTTTATGCAACCAATGTAACTACCTAAAACAAATGAGAATCTGCCTGTCATCAATGTTAATTTGAATATTATCGCGTTGACTTCCCTATTCTAATTTCGGTTCGTGTGCGATGTATTCAACTAAAGAAAAAGTTGAAATTTCCAATTGGTATAGTGCCGATAACAGTTAAAGGAGCTTTATTTTCTGTGAAGCCAAAGCAACAATATTCAAATTAATAATTAATATGACAGCCAGATATTTATTTGTTTCAAGAAGTTATTTTGGTTGCATAAAATTAGGCGTCTTTCAGGAGACTTTTTTAGACAGGAAATTCCTATAGGAAAACCCTATGTCTACTTCTACATGAACATCACTGTATACAGTCAGTAAAGGACAATATATAGGTATACAGAATAAAATATGCACTATACACAGAATCTACTAAGGAGTAGCGATACGGAAATTGGTGAGTTGTCGTAGCCATTTTATGCCAACGGTAGGTATAAATTATATATTGTAAAGACAATTTTAACTACCTACTTGCAATTTGCGTTGAGCCGGTGTTTTGTGGACACCAATCAGTGGCGTAACTACAATGTCTCAAAGGTACGCAATGAGGACGGGCCCCGACTTAAAAGGGGCTCCGGCAAAAATGTACAAAAAATGTAATTCTTATATAAAAAATACTGAAAAAAATTGAAAATTTCTCGAACTCATTCAATGTTACGCTTGTGTTAATATTTACATATTTTGCGTTACTAAAGGAAGAGATAAAATTGTTCACAGGAGGTGAAAAATCCGGACCAATTACTACAATCTTAGTGTAAAGAATTCTTACACTATGCTACAATATACAAAAATTAACAATTCGAGGAAGTAACTATTGAATTTAAATCATCATATCATATTATTTAAATCTGACCTTAATTTAATACGAAATTTGATATGCTCAAAAGTAGCCAGCTCAAAGAGGTTTAAAAGCAACTCCATTCGTTTCCCATTTGTGAAAAATAACATTCCGAAGTCTCTTACATAAAGTACCTAAATGAAACACTTTGTTAATTAGCGGGACCTTCTCAGTCCAGAAGAGATCTGAAGGTTCTGGATACGGTAACCTTAAACTGAACTTGTCTTTCGAGATGAATGCACGGACGAAACAGTTACCTTCATTCAAAAAAGGCCGATTCATACACAAAGAATAGAAATCGCTAAACAAACTTAATAACTAAATGAGTTTAAATGTATCTCCAGCGGCGAAATCAGACAGCTCAGAATGGACGAAAATACTATAGTGGAACCTAGAAGAGCAAAGCAAAACACAAACGTTGAAAAGCGAAGAAATAAATTGGCTAAAATTGATTAATTCCTGAAGCTATCTTTATTAAAGAATCCGAATCTTCTGGGTTGTATTTCTAGTGAACTTTCATTTATATATTTTTAAGATGGGTGTCATTAGAAATCCAAGCGGTTATATTAAGCGTAAGGGAAAGGGCCCCCAAATATTTTTGAGTTACGCCACTGACACCAATTACTTGTAATATTTTAGACTTGCGCCTGAAATCAGGGACCCGGACCCAAATGAAATACCGGTTTCGGTTCTGTTTATATTTAAGCGAAAATATTTACAACGGTCTGGTCCGATTTCGGTTCTAAAAAAATAACGGTTCGGTTTTTTCGGTCAATAACAGTTCTTTTCGGTTCCAGTTTTTTAGAAAGTATGGCATGCAAAAAATTCATTATAACAATACGTAATTTGTTAATTAATAGGTGTGAAAAAGAAGTCAAAAGTCATGAATAACGTGAGGTATCCTCAGTGTAGATAATTTACAACGACAAGGGGAATAAAGGAAGAAAAGGAAAATTTGTATTTATTATTATTATTTATTTATTATCCTCTCTTGTTCTGGGCCCTCAACAGGCTTGCGCCCAATTACACCTCACGAATTAGGAAAACTGCAGGATTCGGAGTAGCCGGTAGAATGCTCGGAACTGGTCTAAGATAATTTCCATCTCTGCCACAGATGAAAAATTCACCTCAACTCAGGTTCGAACACCCGACCTCCAGATTTATAGCCCAACGCTAATTTAAACTGATACACCAAAACTTTTGTAAAAAAAATTATGTATGGCGTATTGTTTTTATTTTTATTTTTTAAACCCTAGCCCCTCCTTTTGTTATATACATTTATAGTAGTCACTCAATTACCGCCACTCGTACTGTCTTCAATTTCGACACCGATGGCAATGATAGCGTAATATTTTATAAATTTTCGGGACGTGTTTGCCGGGGCGTCCTTCAACTTCCAATAATCTGTTAAGAACCGTAAAACCGTTTCACTAATAATGGCCAGTACTTTAAACATCTGATGTAATTATTTTCTTTGTTTTTTGCCTCGAATAGATTTTGTTTTGTTTTTTTTTAAATTCATCAGAGCCTACTTGATAAAATATAAAAACCGTTGATATAACTGGTATCTTATTTTCAATCTTATGTTATGATGGCTCGTTGAAAAGAGAATTCAAAAATCTATTAAATAATTTAAAAATCCAATATGGCGCCTATTTAACTTTAGAAAGTTGGTAAACGTTCCTCAAAAGTAGCCATCTTGAATTTTTTTGGACATCAATTCTAAATTAAGCGTATCAAAGTCAGTAACTTTTATATAAAACTTTTCTCTTATATATTTCCACAAGGAAATTTTAAATAAGCATCTAAAACTGCAAAACATTGTCCATTTAACTAATTCTCAATCTTTAATAATAAGAAAGTTGCCCATGCAATCCCACGCGATTTGGGACACATTGTATACCTAACAAGAACCACACTTACATTAATTAATCAGAAAAAGTAGGAGAAGAAGTAAATTTGTAATATCCTTTACACTAAAGAAGACGGATAACTGGATGGCATACCGGCCGTTTCTCTTAATGTGAAGAATTGGGACCAGATTCCAAAAACCTTTTCCCAAAAAAGACAAGAAGACTCGATTCCTTTAGGGCGTTTTACATACCTACTGAGTTTTTGTGAAAGTTGAAATTCTATTAGTCGAAAGCATGTGTTTTTCTTAAATGTGAAATAACATGGTAATTTGTTTTGACGGGGGCAAAGGCAGATAATTGAGCAAAATATTTTCTAAGTGAAATCCTAACGATTGTCGCTGCTGAAATGAACTGATTATACAATATAGTTATAAAAGGTGTCCATCTAACCTATATTTTTTAGGTTGGTATTAGCAAAATTTCACGTAAAAGTAAAGCACATCTCTCACTTCAAAAAGTTCTTTTACTGTAGACCATGGTGTATAATAAAGACTATACACCATGCTTTAGACTTATGAAATAACTTTCTGCATGTAAAACGACCTTTACAACATCCCCAAAAAATAGTACCTATATTGATAGCGGAAGGACGACGTTACAAGTTTGCTGCAATCACACTTTCCTAGATCAAACACCCTTACCTCTATTGAGATAAGAGTAGGAGAACAAACGACTTTGACATCATCAGAAACAGAAAATAGTTTGTTCACAGCGAATTTCTCACCCTTAGCTGCCCCTATCGTCACCCAACATGAGATTGAGCCACTGAGCAGTGAGCATCCCTCTGATTTCTCTGCGCAGTTGATATTACATCAAAATATAAAGGAAACAGAACCACTATGAAAAGAATAACACAGGAATAGACTTCTTTCTTCAAAAGAAGTCTATGCAAACACACCCTCTACTCAACCCCGTGTATTTAGTTGCGCCTAGAGTAGCAAACAGGCATCAGGACTCGTAATTGCGTGACCAAAAAAACACACCGATAAATTTCCCCAAATGCGCGAATTTAGATAAAGTATGTTAACGAGAGACCATCCCAATTTGACCCATTTTCGCACAAAAACATTTCAAAATAAGTAAATTGAACGGTCATCGTACGACGAACACAAAATCAATTTAGCTCATCACATCGGCGCAATTATTTAATTCGTTTTGAAAGTAAAACATTTCCCGTACACGAATACGATTTTACCAGAAGCGGGACGTGGTGCTTAATTAATTAGGCCGCGCGATTTGTAAATATTGGACGAGTGCGCGACGTGTTTACGAAAATGTCGCTATAACAACAACAAGGCCTTTTTATTGTTGGTATATAGGTAGCCGAGCAATTCTCGTTAAACAATTTTCCAATAAAAGGGGATTTTTAGGTCACGAAGGGTTGGAATAATCAACTGCGTTGTACTTCACATTATTGTCTGTTGGGGGTTCGAAGTGGACGCAGTCTCTTCCTGGTTCTGTGCCGGAACTTTCGCTTTTCCACGATGAAGTCGTGCGGGATGTCGCTGATTAAGTACTTGCTGTTTTTTTTCAATTTGATTTTTGCAGTAAGTGAATTTTGCGGTAGCCATATTACGTTTTGTTCAGGAGGGGAGTTTTTTTTAGATTTCCGGGATTGGGATTATAACGGCCGGAGCGCTCGTTCTGGCGGACGTTGGCGAATTTAATCAGTTTATGGAGGGAAGGCTTTTGGCGGGACCTGTTGTACTCATCGTCGCCGGTTCGATTATATTTATGATCGCCTTTCTGGGATGCTTTGGCGCAATACGCGAATCCTATGGACTACTTATGGCCGTAAGTTTAAATTTACATTCACCTTAAACTCAGTCCCCGGAAAACCCGACAGGAAAGTTTCCCGAAAATACGCAATAAACTTTCTAGTGACTATTGATTTTATACATTACTGATGGATATTTTACAATGTAATACTAAAAATACGTAGATAAACACTGGTGTTGTTTAAACAAACAAAATCTATATTTCGGGAAAACGTATAGTGTCGAGCATTTGCTATTCTACAGACCATACAATAAAAGTATACATCAATTATCAATTAGAAACGCTTTAGTTATTTGGACGAGATATCATACTTGTTTATCTGGCGCGATGGACCAATTCCCCGATCAGCACAAGTTTAATTGGAATGTTTATTTCGAATTTTTGAAAACCAACACGTTGCCAAATGAAAAATTATGAAAAACGCAAACTTTAATTTTTTCTGGATGTAAAACGCTTGCTCCCGCTCCAAGTCTTCAAAATATTTAAAATGTGCACAGTGTGATTATGCAACGAACGAGAAATCAAATTTAAGTTGTTAACTGACAATGCCTCCAAATATTTAAAGTGTGCACAGCGTTATTCCGCTTAATAATGCCCAGTACTTCAAAAGATTTAAAGTGCACAACATTGCAATCTTGCAACAAATCTTCAACATATCCTGAAACGACATCTTTTGACACACGTCACAAGGTTTTAAAATGTGCACAGTGTTATTAACGATGTAACTTTGGGGAAAGGTTATGGAACTGTGCCCGCAAAAAAAGGTGTACTCCCAAAAAACTTCCTGAAGTTCCCACGGGAACGGCGAAAAACAGAATCGGAGTAGTTTTCTTTAATAATAGTGACCGAAATTCAGAAAACCAGGAAAAAGTTCGAGAAACTTTGAGAAACGTTCAAAGGTAAAACAAAAACACCAATAAACCACAACAATACAATATTAAAACCTCGGGCGCGTTTCGACAGCAAGGCTGTCATCATCAGCGAACAACTGAACAATAAAATACAAATACGACCCTATTTATATTAATTACACGTGAAAGTTTACGAGCTCTGATTGGCCCAAAGGACCTCCTTGATCATTATTCATTAGGAAGCGTTTGTTTTTATGAATCTCTAAACTTTCATAACAATCTAATTCATTTTTACTATTTCCAGTCAACTATATGACTTCAAGCGGCAACGCTAGATATATTCCGACGATTATTGTGAGCGATGTGCTCTCTAAACCGAATTTTAAAGGATCTTTTTGCTTGGCGGGACGGATGACGGGGATGCTTTAGGCCAATCAGAGCTCGTAAACTTTCACTACTTTTACCCCCTCTTTCTGCTCCCGCTATAGTTATAGTTTGTAGAAAGCAATTCATTTCGATGAGACCTTTCATTAGAATACCATGAAGGGCAGAACGTGTTCACCCCTCGCCCCCCTTTTCAAAGTTTTACTTGGCGGCCCCAAGGCATGTGTATGCAAAACCTGAGACCAATTGGTTGTCGCATGTAAAAATGATGCTTGAGTTATAGGCTACCTATTGCGAAAAATTCCAGGACTCTAGGACCATTTCCCTAAAAGTAGTTCAACACGGAAAAAGAGGGGACGGACGGACAAAAAATTCGATTAAACTTACTTTCATAACTGTAGGTAGGTACGTCATATAATTGCTGAGAAGAAAATTAATACCTATACCTAATAACATTAATAGTATTTGCTGTGTTTAAGAACAATTCAACATGAACCCGAGATTTTACCTGCCGAAAGAAAAGGAATAAGAAAGGAAAATACAATATTCCCCGTTTCAGAATTAAATTTCGCATGTTTTAACCTTTGTGGGTTAAAATTTCCACTATTGTTCGTATTTAACGTAAATTCCTATGTGAATAAGGGACACCAAAATATTTAATTCGCGTTTAAAGCTTTACTCGTCCGCATTTACCGTAACAGTGATCCATTTTAAATAAAACTTTAAATAGCGTTTACACTTTTGCGCCTTTGTTTTTACATGTACTTCAAATTCGCTACCGTAGGTGCACGCAATGTTTTCCGCAGTTATAATACGCACTCTCAATTATTAAAGTTGTCATACCAATTATGTAAAAACGTCGTGCGATAAATTACAGGTGATCAACTTAAGTGCGCTGGCGGCTCGACGCGCATTTTTCTCTCTCGCGGCTCGATGTGAATTGGTTGACTAGGCTTAGCTCGCGGTTCAACGCTCATTTCTTCACGTGTTGCCCCGAACAACCTACTTCCCACGATTTTCTTTTTTTATTGACACCTATTACAGGACACAAAACTTTTCGACAATTAAAACTCATTTTTTCGTCCAAATCTAAATTCTTTGACGGATTATAAAGCAAGTGGAGTAAGTTAGGAAATCTCACGCGACGTGGCAGCCTCGTTAGCGACTACTGCAAAATAAACAAAATCTCCCTGTATTCCGAATCAACAATAAATAAATATCCCACGACTCACTGGCGCCATAAGTTTTCAAACGCATTTACAAAGTGAGGATCGTATTTATGCATCACTCGCCTGCGTAACATAAATCTTGCCAAACAATGAGACCACTCCTTTACTCGTATATCTTTCATGACATAATTTGAGAAACTTTGGAACCTCAAAATATTCAACTACAGGCTCTAAACTGTAGAAAACCCTATCAAAGAGGGAGAAATGACGTACACCCGAACGTTGGTTTGATTGCAGAGAATCGACGCGGTCTGAAAAACCTACGGAACCTAAAACTCGTATAACAACATCCTATTAAAATGCAAACTTCTATCCTGCACCATTTGAATCTTTAAATTTCCTGGTGGCCTATACTACACAATAACCCTTAAGCATCGCGAGTACCCGCGTCCCTTGGCAAGATGGTTCCAAAGCTGAAGAGTACGTATACAGTCCCCTGGTACTAGTACTACCATGTATAAGACTAATAGCGTCGTAACAATCGAAAAATAAGTCATAATCGATAAAAATAGAAGCAAAATCTTGTCATTCCACAAACACCCTTCGCCCTCCAAACTCCAATGCTGGCCGCTGGGGTTGCGGATGACTTGCTGTTGCTTCGTCGCGTTCTACGGCACTTCTGCTGTAAAGTTATTCTGATGAGAATATCTCGAAATAGAGAGGGTGCAATATTTTGTTGAAACATAATCACACGTTCGCTATTGGAAATTCGGCATCATGAAATTACCTACTTAAGGTAAACACAAATTCTAATTTTATAAGGCGTCTACTTTGCCGATCCTTGCCCCTGGTCATGGACGGTCGGTTACGGTGTCAGACATTCGGAAACCGCGAGCAAATCGGGTAATTTCAAAATTCGGAAGATCGGTCTCTGGCTAAAACAAAATTACGGCACACGGAAGCGGCAGTCATTTAAATCGCTAAGCGGAAACGTAAGTATCATTAACGGTATTTACTGGGAAAGAAGCTGCAGGAAAGCAACACCAAAAGCCCCTTTACAAGTAACGAAAAGAAACGTATCAAACGCTTATTTTAAAATCAAACGGTACGGTATAATGCGAACATTTAACGTATCCGCCTCATCTTTTATAGAATTCGCAAATTTGTGGAACGACCCGGCGTTGCTTCGGCAACGGAAAAATAATAACAACGGTTTTGAGTTTTCATGTTAAGTTTTATTATCTTGTCTCAAATAAATATTGTTTAAATAAGTAAGAATTAAATTCCCTACAATTATCATAAAAATCTGGAACCAGTCCCAAAATTCGTGCTATTTAAGCGCGCTTCCAACAATACCAAACACGACCAATTTTGATAACGTTTGCTGCAACATAATTAATTAACTACGGTTAATTATACTCACCTAAATGGCCGGATTAAAATTCCAAAACTCAATAGTCCAGTAAAGCCCATTGTTAATTAAAATTTTCGGGTCAAGCGAAAGGTCTAATTTTGTATCGCAAACTGCATGAGCTTATGCTTGATTTAATATCTGTCTTCACTCAACACTTCGAATTTTAATTAAAACGTGTAAATAGTTACACAGCCTGCTCTATTTACGCTGATCCTTTACAGATCGGAGGGCGTAGAACAGCATTGTCCGCTTGTAATGTTGGGCCGACTGAAGTGGTTCTCAAATAATCCCAAATAACACCTAAATCAAAACAAAGAAGTATATCAGGGTCACAATCGATAAAGTCAAATCGAGTTTTCACCTTCGTGCACTCGGGGTGCACAAGGCGAAAGGGTTGCTTTTGATTAGCGGACTTTTACCGCATGCAGTGCATTTCTGCAGTGGAAATATTCTTATCCCGTTTCCACACAGGAATGGACCAATGAACGGAAATTTACATTAAAAACTATAGATCTCCAAAACGAATTAGTAATCTATGTGATACTAATGTGATAGATACCAAATCTTGAAATTTCGGAGCATACCGGAAACTCTTGAAGCGTGCAACTATCCAACACTGTTTTAGTACAGGTATGGCCAATATTTCAAACAAGTTAAAAAGTAATCGTAAACGATTTACATAAAGCGCATTTCCACTTGCATTCATTTCCCATTTGTAAGATGCAACTTCTGTTAAAATCGTAAAATCCGTCCACAAATATGAAAGATAACGTTGCACATGAGCAATCCATTTTTGACATGCTATTTCAATTTCAGTTTATAAGAAGTATTTCATTTCAATGCTTTTCTAAATAAGAAAGTTGGAACTGCGCATGCGCAAACCTAAATTTGGAAACTAATGTTAGATTTTCCTTTGTTCCAAGCGCCAAAGTATCAAATTTCACTTAAATGCTTCCATAGATAAAAAAAGTTGGCACTGCGCATGGGCAAAATAAAATTTTTAAACTGGCGCTAGATTTTCCTTTATTCTAAGTGCCTATGTATCACATTTCATTTAAATTCTTCCATAAATAAAAAAGTTGGCACTGCGCATGCGCAAAACCAAATTTTGAAATTGGCGTTTGATTTTCCTTTATTTCAAGTGCCTATGTATCAAATTTCATTCAAATACTTTTATAAGAAAAAAAGTTTGCAATTCGGTTTATAAATGGTCGAGATGCGAAAAGGGCACTGTGAATTTTGAATCGATTCGACTCAACTTTTGGCATTGCGTATTATATGGCTAAGGCTATGCCCATATTGAATTTCATGCAATTCAGTTCATAACTAACGGAGATGTAAAAGCGATCGGACATTTCTAAACAAAATTATCGTTCACACGGACAGATAGAGGGACAGACAGGCAAAGGAACAGACGGACAGACCAACAGACAGACGGCAGACAACAATACAAAATTATAAATGATATCTAGGATGGTTAATAAACGGCAAAAGTGTAAAATTATGGAACATGTAAAAAACGGTTTGTTGGTTTTTTTACAATAACTTTTTTTAGCAATAAACGCAGAAAAAATTCCTTCCTTGGTGCAAGCCTCGACACCATAACGAACCAAATAGCGAAAAAAGTAGAACAATACCTCTTAAGATAAAGAACTAGTAGCGTCGCAAAACGAGCAGACGGACGGACGGACAAAGTGGCCACAATAGCGCATTTTTTTTTATTTTTGTGGAAATGCGCTAAAAAGTGTCTGAGGAAGCGTGTCAAAAACGATTTAAAGCTTTCACCTTGTTAAAGGTAATCAATATGATTAATAATGTTGTGACTTATGAAGCGAATTACTTTTATAGGTTCCTAATGAGTTTTCTATTGAATTTCATTCTTAAATAGAAACTGAAACTTTTGTTTTCTGTAATAGAACCTCGAAACCTTTCGGTGATGTAAACGCAATGCGGTTTGTTGAAAATTTCATTTGCCTCTGATTATTCAACTTCAAAGTCAACGAGACATTAATATTTAATGACGTTTAGTTATTTATCGATTTGTCGCCGCAGTTAAAATTATATGCCAGCCGTTTATTCAACAGGTTGTCTTATAATAAACCCCTAAAGAGCATCTAAAAAAGCGGCAGAGCACCTCGGTGTGACCCTACGGGATCATTGGATTTGACCCATTTTCAATTGGTTTATTACTTGTGGCATATACAGGGGCGGACTGGCCCGGGGGGGCGGGTGGCGATTGCCACCTCACCTGGCCTGTACGTCATAATGGCCCGTTGGAAATTTATAAGTATGTGGTGTATTTAGTTTCTTGCACTATTAATAAGTTATGAACACGTTTCTCTGATTGGGGTTGATGTTAGGTTGTTAAAAAATTAAAAAATTCTGTTTTAATTGAAGTGTTTTACAATGAATTTATCATTTTTTGTCGTAGCATGAAAGTGATGAAATACAATGATAGGCGACGCGCCTCGTTTGGATTGTATATTTTGTTACTTTTAATTATCAGCTGCAATTTAAAAAAAAACCTGTATTGTAATTGATTTCCGAAAAAGGAGTACTTTAAAATGAAGCAAAAAATGTTTTTGTGGTGCACCGCAGAGCTACCCCCCGCCACCTTCATTACTACACTAATACTTTAATGGCCCGTAACCTATGCAATTCCACCTGGCCCGCCCCTGACTAGAAACCAATTTCGAAAGAAAATTCAAAGGGCTGTAACTTTTGAACTAGTAGCCCAATCTTGGAACTGTTTGAAATTATGGATTCTACAGGCCACATTCTATAAGAAAATTTTTTTCCGGGTCGATCTGAGACAATTTTTTTTCGGGGCTCAAAAAAAGGCAGTGTATAACCTTCCTTTTTTACCAAAAATCGACTGCACCAAAATTTCTCGGGAAAACACTTTTTCTTATTAATTTTGGTGCGTAGAATCCAAAACAATTCGTACTTTTTCGATCAGACTTCTCAATCAAAAGTTATAGACTAGAAACCAATTTCGAAAAAATTTCAAAGGGCTGTAACTTTTGAACTAGTAGCCCAATCTTGGAACTGTTTGAAATTATGGATTCTACAGGCCACATTCTATAAGAAAATTTTTTTTCGGGTCGATCTGAGACAATTTTTTTTTCTTGCCTCAAAATTTCTCGGGAAAACACTTTTTCTTATTAATTTTGGTGCGTAGAATCCAAAACAAATCGTACTTTTTCGATCGGACGTCTCTATCAAAAGTTTTAATTATCAGTTGCAATTTTAAAAAAAACTGTCCGCCCCTGGGCATATAGGTCAACTGTGCAAAGTTTGAACCAAATCGGTCCAAGCGTTTGTCAGTTATCGTGTTCACGGACAGACGGACAACATCGACTCCCCTATAAAGCATGCATCGCTTTGCAAAATGCATTTAAACGCGAACAGAGACGTGTAAATAGAACAAAATAAAATAATCATAGATTCTAGTACAAAATATTGGCCTTAACGTCGCCATTTTAAAACTTGGTCGAATTGTCCCACAATATACATAATAAAACAGGCATACACTGGGTTTCTTTGGCCAAGTTATGCATTACAACGCGCTTATGAAAGGTAGAAGTGTCCTCTTCTTCGAGAGTTTTAACTCCTCCCACTCCTCTCCAACCAACTTCTAGAGACCTTAACTTTACTGCGTAGTGTACACTCTGGAGGTTCACGCGCTTAATTTAAAGTGAAGAACATAACAAATAAGAAACCTCCCACGTATTCAAACCTTTCCATTGTATAGGTACTATACTCATAACAATGTGATTTCTTGCAGTTTGCGATATGTCTGCTGATCATCTTCATCATCGAACTAGCGGTGGGTATTGCGGCGGCCGTTTTCAAAGGTGACTTCGAGACTGCACTGCGCAACACCCTAGAATCTTCGATGAAGAACTACAACAACAACGGATCGGCGAAGAATAGCTGGGATACGTTACACACAAAGGTTTGTGCAACTCGCATTTGGCTAAAATTTACTAGGTGCTCTGTTGGTAGCTAAAGTGTTGCGGAATCGACAAGTCGGAAGACTGGAAATCCGTTCCTCTGGCGGTACCCAGCTCGTGCTGCAAGGATAAAAGTAAGGCTCCGGTGTGCGAGTACTACGAGAAGGGATGCCTGCTAACATTGCAGGCGAAGGTCAAGGACCACGCGACCGTTCTGATTGGCGTCGGCATCGGAATCGCTTTTGTGCAGGTTTCTCTAGCCGCCCATTATGAATCTTATCGTTGACTAAAATCGTCTAATTTCAGGTACTGGGAATTGCGCTCTCGTGCCTCCTGGCGGCGAGCATCAAAAGCGAACGCGTTAAAAATTAACGCATCCGAACTTTTGTAAATTTTTACTCAGAATATTAGCAAAAAAGAAACGCTGTTCTGTTTTAATGTTGGGCACTCACTCCTGCAACGTTCAAATAACAATTATTACCTGCCAACATTGAAAGAGTATACTGTTATTTTATTACTAAATATGCTACTGTTTAAAGACTTTTTCACTTGTTAATGACTACAAAATGTACTTTTTTCAAGCACGACCGATCAACGAGTAAGTTTGCTCTTGATACAGTGATCATTTTTTCAATTTTGTCTTCCTCATATATATTTTTAAGAGGTTTATTACGCACAATAGTCATCTTACGAACCATACCAAATTTTAAATATTTTTTGTGAGTTTCATTTAAATGTCTGTACCATCACTTACAAATTGTCTTTAAATAAAGTGTGTGTTTTTATCTGCATCGTTTTCAATAGCCTAAAGCCAAGACATATAGATATAAGATACAATAAAAAATCGTATCATCTCTGGTACAAGTCTCATTTAAATTGCAGTAGGGTAGGCAAAACAAATCTGTTTTCCAGTTAGAAAGAAGCATCCTCGTGTAAACAGTTTCATATGAACCAATATAGCCCATCAGCCGACAGTGCTATTCAATTGTCGCACGTCGGCGGTATGATAGAGAGAGCTTGCTAGTTTTCCCTTCTCTCTTACCGGCATTATCCGCGCTAAGCATTGGCACGAGCAGTTCATCTTTATATATCGATCATCAAAATGACGGATGGTATGCAGGGTGGGCCATTAGTGTGTGGGTGGACGATTGTGGGTTTATTAACGCGCATATTTAAAATTCATTGTGGGGGAATGTTGAAGGACCCTTAAGGCTACAACCTAAAAATATTTTCACCGAAATTGCAATAGTTATGTGATTTATATCAAAGTTGCATTTTTTTAATGGAACCCCCTGTATATTATTACATATTTCGATTCCTTGGTCAATTTTAATGTGAGTTTATGTATTACACATGATGTTTAAAATGGGTCTTTTAGCCGCAATTCGTCACTTTTTCAAAAAGTAGATGTCCAATAAAAATTGAATATCGCAGTTATAATAAAACTTAGAAGGCCGTGACGTTGCAGTGGCACTAATCATGAAATGTACCTACTAACATACGCTAATGAACTATGAAGAGCTAAAGTTAAACTTCACTCCGTCAATTTTCAAAATTTCGATCAGAGGTAACTTGATTTTTTTATGGAATTACGAAGTTTTTTTTGTTGCATGAAATGTAAAATTGTATTGCCTTTCTAACGATATAAGCATGTCGGTATGTATCTCTTACCTATTTTTTGTAATTCAACAATTTCTAATACAATAATTCAGTGTTTTTGGCGATTTTTAAAGCCTCCCAGTAATCAGTAGGCAGTTATTTCATGATTAGTACCACTGCAATGTCACGGCCTTCTAAGTTTTACGATAACTGTGATATTCAATATTTACTGGACATCTACTTTTTGAAAAAACTACGAATTGCGGCTAAACGACTCATTTTAGATATTATGTATAATACTTAAAGTCACACTCAAATTGAGTAAGGAATCCAAATATGTAATAATATACAGAGTGACCCATTAAAAAAATGCAACTTTGATATAAATCACCCTGTATAACAATTGCAATTCCGTTGAAAAGATTTTTAGGTTGTAGCCTGAAGGGTCCTTTAACATTCCCCCACAATGAATTTTAAGTATGCGCGTTAATAAACCCACAATATTCCACCCACACACTAATGGCCCACCCTGTATAGACATAATCACCCCACAGTATAACAAACAAAATGATTCAGAAGTACGCCTTGCTTAATATTCGTATTTTAAGCAGAATATAAATAGGAATGAATTGAGACAGAAAAATAAAAATGGTAATACACTAGAAAAAATGAACTTGCTAAGAAAAAAAACCAGCCGACAAATTAATAATAAACTGCGTAGCAAAATTGTTTGTAATAATGATGTATAACACAAAATTAGAGCAATATTATCAAAAACAATAAAAAAAAAACAAGTTGTAAATCAGTACATGCATGATTAAAGCGCATTTTTGGTAATAGAGGTCAGTATTTTATTAGCGAAATTTAAAATTATCGATCTCACGAGTAATTTTGGCTGCGTTAAATAATTAAGCCGGCCAGCCAGAAATAACGAATATAATAGCAATTTTTTTCAAAAATGCGCTAAAAATAAAGTCACGTAGGCTTTGACGGGCGAGATATTTGCACCGGGAGGTTGCCACAAAACCATGTAAAGGGTCAATTATTAAAACAATCGATCAGCAATAGGGTATCAGCAAGGTAGCTCATTTCTAAGACACATAAAAAACGCAAGTTCAAAATCGAGGAGGTAAGTACATCACATATATATTCTAACAAGTCACCCTGTTAAATATAAATGTTCGTTATCATCTGGTTCAAATAGTGCAAGGAACATAACATTAAGTATAACAAAATAATGAAACATGTCGTGATATTAGTATAACGTAATTGATACAAAAGTGCAAATATTCAAGTTTTGATCTTTGATGAATAAATCCAAGTTGGTTTATATCAAAACTGAAAGCAATTTCAATAACAATAAAAGTTCAAACACGTGATTCTGCATTGAGGTTAAACCAAGTCAATTTCAAAAACCAAGGTTGAAAATTATGATCAAATAATAAAATGTTAAAATGTATACAAAACACAAAACAAATCATAAAGAAATGCCAAGATTACTCACTGCATTAAATACGACGAGAATAACAACTTATACTGCATGATGCGTCCATGCCGCCATTAAAAACAAGATGCCAAACGTAACCAATGTTCGCGCTCTCGAAAACGGTGCAGACTGCTTTTCCTCTCCTGGTAATTACGAGGTGGCCAGCTCTCATCATAGGTTATACATACAGGGTGGAACCTCTTGAACCTTTAAACCGAAACTATAAATCTTTGAGTGGGATTCCAAAAAAGGCCAAAAAGTGTTGGAATAAATCGCGAAGAGCGGTATGATGAACGATACAAGGTTGGGATGAACGATACAAGGTTGGAACGTTTTAGACCTTTGGAAAAAATTTAAACGTACTAAAAAGCGTTTTACATTTTTAAAGGTATTTAAAAGGCGTGATCAAGTCCTAGAAAGTACATGGTAAAGGCACAGAAAGCGCTGGATCTAGAGAATTCCAAAAGGATCTCGTAAACTTCAGCAGCCTAGGAAGTTCCGAAACGAAAAAATATGGCCATCCTAAAACCATCTGGAAATCATCCAGAATGTTCTAGTTTTTGCTGGCTAGCGAGATTAAACGTTCCTGGAAAAAACAAGAAAGAATCGGTTGTTTGCTGATGATGACGGCTGCAATTTATTTGTGGATTTTTTTCTCATTAACGTTGGCCGCTCCATACTCTTGAAATTTATTCTCGATTTTCACCTTCATGCATTTCTTCAAGTCAAATGCAAGCATGCACCACTTATTTCTCGTATTGCAGCTTGCGTTCCTGTGATTCTGACTGAAACAGCCGCTTCTGAAAATGAAATTTGTATCGATTAATAGAACACAGTCAGTGAAAATGTAAAAGTGTTCAATAAAGAGGGCCAAAATTTGCAAACTGATTTATTTTATATTTTTTCATTATGAAAAGTTTATACAAATAAGCAAAATTACCAAGTACACTTAACCTATTATGAACAAACTTTTGTACAGTTGCTTAACTTAATATAGATGCTGAAAAGAACAAATTCTAAGAATTAATTAGAGAGCCTAAATACAATTTTTTCATCGAGAGTATCAACTAGAATCTGTTTGTACGATTACTATTTAAATTAATGTGTTTGTTGCATAAATAATACTGTCGCTTTTATGATAATCTTTCTTTGCAAGTAGGAATTTTAATAATACGTACAGGGACATCTTCTAAAAATATACAGATAAAAAATATAAATAAAAAATGTCTGTACAACAAAAAAAAACAAATCCACCCTGTATATATTATTGTTGCTTTACGTAGTAAAACTATCACACTAAAAATTCACAAACTAAATAAGGCAAATTTAAAATCTAATTATTATTACAACATTATTAATTAAAAACTCACCAGGAGATTTGTTGGCACTTTAGTATTAGTTAATTTGGCAATTCAAAAGTAACCTAAGTACGTACACTTCTAACTACACTTTGTTATTCTTAGCTAAGTTGTGTGTCGCCCAGTTTACGGACATTTTCCAAGAGTTTGATAATGCCTCATTGAATTTTAATCGAAAGTGTGCTAAAGCGTCTTTGTCCGATTTCGATAAAACCTAAAATGGAAGATGCGATATTAACATCATTCGACCGATGCCATAAACTTACTAAGGTTTCACGTAAGTAATTGAGATCCTTTTCGGAACTGAGCTCCGGCAATCCGGTAGAAATCATCATCGCGCAAAGTGACAGTATTAAACCGCCGTGTTTGCGCAGAATCATGAACGCCTTCTCGCAGTACTCTTGAAACACCTTGAATTCCAAGCTGCTTTTTTGTCCCTTATTTATTACGTGGACAAAGTCGTGCGTTAAGACGAAAGGCACACGTTCGCGTTTAAAGCCGAATTTCTCCTTAAAGTGGCCCAGTATGTGACCGAAGTCTATGTGAAACAGTTGGCCGGTCTTTTTAATCATGATATTGTCGGAATGGCGGTCCGCTATTCCTAGGACGTAGGTGGCGACACAGTAGCCCGCGCACGACAAGGTGAACTCGTTGATCGCCTTTTTTAGCGCCGCCTCCGTGGTGTTGTGATCCTTTAACCATGCTGTAAAGGTGGGAGAAATGTACAACGTTCTTAACAGAATGAACGTCCCAAGGGTCAACTCTTATAACAATTTGTTTAAATATTAGTTATCCGCTAGGATACCAGTAAGAGGGGAGGTGGAGGAAGAGAAAATGGTGGTAGTAATCGCAATAATGCATATACAGGGGGGGTGTTTCGGTTCAAGTGGAATCACACGGGTAAAGTTTTGCAGTTTTCTGTGTTGTTTAAAATTCTGTAAAGAATTTGAAAATGCGGATCAGTATAGACGTTATTTAAACAAAACTGAAAATCAATCTCCGTAATTTTAAAGGTATGAAATAATTACATATGAAAGTCAAGATTTTTAATATTCGTAATTAATCAATCCCCCATTACAAATTCAAAAAAATATGCATGTACCGGGTGACCCAATAAGACTGTTCCTCGGCCATATCTCGAGAACCGTTCGTCATATGACTTAGGGGTAAAAAAATTATTCGGTAAATCATGAAGAATTGCTGGAAAATATTTTCAAGTTCTAAAAATGACCAACAGAGGACGTAACTGTCATCTTAAATTTTAAAATTGCATTTTCTTTCAATTTCGCATAATAAACTAAAAAAATTTTTTTCATATTTTTAAATAGAACCACTTTATCTATCATTTTCGTAAAATCAAAAACTCAGTTATTTCAAAAACAAAGATGGTGTGGGGCGTTCAATTGTTTTTGCAATAACCTGCTCTAACTTCTTTACGGTTTGACCGGTTTTAACAAGTTTGGTATCGTTGAAAAGAGCATTCCTTGGGCAATGAGAATCAAAATATACTTAATTTAGGTGAATCCTTCTCCGCCAGGGGGCTAGTTTTGACATTATGACCCAAAAATCAAAATCAAATGGAATGAAAAAGTAGCCAAATAACATCCAAAGAGGCCAGTGAAATCCGTTTTTCAAAATCTCGTTCCTAACCTTAAATATTGGAAAAATGAGATTAATTAATAAATTAATAAAAACGAAAAGAAAAATTGAAAAATTGTTATAAATAATTTAGATGTTGATTTCTACCCTTAGTTATTCATTCAATCACATTTCTCATTGACAGAATGGATCTCTTTCACAACTTACCTAACAGAGATCCCTTATTAAAGGCAGATGTTGCCGAAAACAGCCCCTTCTCCTTCTGAATATTCGCAATCGTTTCCGCATTCAAAACCACCTCGATCATACCGACCTTGTACTCCATTGATATGCAATTATACGGGTTTAACCTAAACAAATCTGTCAGTGGTCGCAATCGCCCAAAGTGAAACAGACCTTAAGTCGAGATCCTCCTGCTTCCAAAGCTTGTCCATGATGCGCAGCATTTGCAACGTCAGCATGTCCTGCCTGAGATCGTCGCCGTTTTTGAATATGATGTAAATGTCGTCGCCTAAAGAGTCGTTGTTTTCGAAAACGATCCATAAGGGCCTCATTTTGCTATCCATTACTCTACACTTGTCGACTCTACAATATTGATTTGAGTATGTTGGACATGTTGAGAGTGAAAAATGTAAGATACTGGTGAAATAGGGCGACTAAGAACAACTGTTGGCAATTTTACTAAAAATCAATTATCAGGTCAGCAGCATCATTAATTTCAGATACAGTGCGGAAAAGTTACGTATTAAAGAAACTCGTTTTTCTTTAAATTTCTTTAAAATAAAGACTGCACACTGTGGTGAAATATTTCTTCCCATTCTTAAGATATTTATCAATGTTTTTACCAATTCTTGGTTAAGAAATGGAAACTTATGAAAAGAAATAGTTGGAAAACGCCTCCTTGGTAATTTTCTATCCATATTTAATTTTCTCCAATAAGCTCCCGGTAATTTTTTTTACATAATGAACATTAACCCAATTGATGTAACTCATGAATGCGGAAACTGTGACTGGTTGACGCAGCCACATAGTGGCAGTTGGATTTGACAGTGTTTTTTTTAAAATTTTATGGTTTTATTTTTGCCGTTCCCGCGCCGCCCGGGACAATTTTTCAAGTTACCCGTGACAGCTCTATCCACTTGTCCACATTATCCTGCTTTTTAAAGTAGGATTTTCCTTAGGAATATTGTAATAAAAAAAATCATTTTATTTAAACAACAATAAACGTTGGAATTACGTGTTTAAAATTAGACTGATGAATGTATTTCACAAAATATTAAATTTAAAATATTCAAAAAATAAAAACCAAAAACCTTTAGCGAAAAGTTTGTTTTCAGGTTACCTGTCAATCGAAATTGTAGTAGTTTACGTTTACATTGCGACACGTCAAATTTGACATTGTTTGATACCGTTTTCATTATTTTATCGCGTTTACATTAACCGACGAAACATCCATTAGTTTCATAACAAACAAGTAAAGAAGTATAACCTCCGCAAGTCTCACTGCAATATTCTGCGCGAAAAGTTATATAACCCAAAAATGCCATTGGGTTTACCAAGAAAAAGTAAGCAACTTATTTCTAATCTTATTCGTTATTTTGAACCAGAAAGAGGTAATGGTGGTCCACTCGCAGCAGTAAGAGAGATGGTTACTTTAGTAGGTAATATAAAAATTTGTGCAATCGGAATCAGGCAGGAGTCTGTGGCCCTGTGATGTCAATGTACAAACCGAGGTACCACAGACGTTTATTATCTGCCCTGTGGCGCATACTCTAAAAAAGGAAAGTAAACAGCTGAAGTGCATTTGACGTTTACGACATATGTAATTTAATCCTTGAATGTAATAAAAAAATGCGAACAATGACTTCTATTTCACAAATTTCTAAACCTTCCAAATGTCTAGACTCTAGCCCAGTGTTTCTCATACTTTTTTGTCTGGCGGCACACTCGTGGCACCCCTAGTACTATTATTTGTTTGCTTTTTTTACAGTTAGTAAAGAGAGGAAGGATAAGAATTCTTTACAAAAAAAATTTTTAAATAAAATCATTTAAAACTAGATGTCAGGTAAACTCCTGACGACTATCAGACTACTTTTAATAGTCATTGCAATTATCTTTGGCCATAGTATAACATTTAGAAAATGCCCTCTAGCGCCTTTATTTTGAACCCGACGCAATAAGTGTAGAAACTTTTTTTGTAGACCTCATCAAGACACATCTTTTTTGTAATTGACATTTTTCACTCCGATGCTTACTTTTAGAGAAAAATGAAATTTAGAAAAATAGTTTAACTTTTCAATTCAAAACTTCTCAAAATCAAAGGAACTCACAAAAAAATTGTAATGAACTTTTTTGTAGAGTTTCTTAAGCCATTTTGGCCAGTGTATGCGAAAAAAATTTAAAAAAATTTTTTCAACTCTTTTATAATTTTGACACCCTCAACAACCATGAAGATGGTTACGGATCAAAACCAAAATAGGACGGTTTCGATTCCCCATACCACCCTATATGCACCCCAAATATAAGTTATAAGATTGAGAAAGTCTGATGTAATGCAATACCAGCATATGAATTATGAACCATAGAAATAAATAAAATAGAAACTAAAAAACAGAATTGTAATAAAAAACGAATATTCATTTTCTATAATTATTTTAATTCCTTTTTTAATTTATTTAATTTTATGATTAAGTAAATATTTAAAAATTACGCGGCACCTTTATGAAGTGCTTGCGGCACCCACTTTGAGAACCACTGGTCTAGACAGTTCTAAAAAACAATGCAATACATGAAACTCATTAACGATGTTGATAGTTTCACACAAGCAGCGATTCGGAACTCTCATCTACGACATGCTCCAACAGGTAAGTTAAAACACCCGTTGAATGTAGATTGACGTTTAAAGGACGTTTTATAACAGCAGTAATAGTATATTAAGAGACAAGTGTATAATCCAGGCTTTAAAGCACGCGCAACAAGTTTAATGGTATAACGCGAAGCTTTAATAGTTTTCAGGAAAAATATGACGCTCCTAGAATCTTGAAATTCATGGCTTGATTTTTGTTGTTACAGAATTTGAAATGCTCTGTGAATTTTTTTGCTTTTGTTAATTCCGTTCGTGTATTTAATAATAATAATAATAATAATAATAATTTTTATTTCATGTGCAGGCAGTACAAAAATAGCTTACAATCGTCATATGGAAAATGAACACAACATATTTATATACATTTATAAAGATATAGCTATAGATACTCATCTACACTGTAAAACGCCCACTTTACTAAATACCGTTTGATTATTTTTCGAAACTGATGAGGTTTTAATGTTTTTATAGACTGAGGTAAGTGATTATAACATTTTAAAGCTACGACGTTAGTACTATTTTGCGATTTGGTCAATCTACAGAAAGGTATTCTGTACGATTGTGTGGGTTTTGGTCCCGAAGAAGGTTTCCCTGACATAGCCTGTTTGTGTACGTATATTTTATATGTTCTCGCCTTTTATTACGCACAAAATTGATTCGAATGCCGCAAAAAATCCGTCGTTTTGACTTGAAAGGTGGCTCTGCTCGTGAATAAGCGGTAAGTCAAGATTGCAGTCGCGTCTCGACTTCTGTTACTGCGGGTGTTGTTATTACGAACAAACAATTAAAATGTTTTTTTTTAAGATTTTTCCTTTACATCCAAATAGTAATGTCCACCTTATCAGTAAACCTGTTACAAATAGGTAACTACCAAAACTTTTTTTTTTGTCAATAGAAGTCGTCGAGGTAATGGGCACCCTACACACAATGCAGCACTTAGTGATGACGTCAATACATCGATGACGTGCGCTCAAACTAAGAAAAATGCTACTACATTTTAGTTCAGCGGCCCATGCATACCTAAGTATTGTGGCTCTCAAAGCTGTATTAATTGGGAAAGTTTACTATACATTGCACATATTTCTACTCAAAAGGGAACACAGATGGACCTACCTGAAGCAAAAACAATACAAAAATAAATATCGCCATCTAGCGTCTACCACATAAAACAAGCAGGATGAGGTTCGGAGAAGCTGGTTTCCAAAGGGTTAAGAGGAATCAGGACTCTGTATATTAAATGCCTAAACATCTCTACATTATCCCTATAAATTTAGAGTATGACAAAGGTATTATACTGATTTGTTGATTGATACTGATAAATGCCGCTGTGCTTCTCTAATGTCATTTTTTTCAAAACAAGCGAATAAAACAAAATATATGGCGTTAAAAGTTGCGACATAGTGATTTTGAAAAATCGATTTCTTTTTTTTTTTACTATTAGAGAAGCATAAATTAGCTCTTTATTATTTTATTAGTATATAGAAAAAGATCATTAAAAAAACAGTCAGTTTTTTGTAATTTTATGGGGAGAATGGAGGCACTGTTTCGCAAATATTTAAGTCCGTATCTTAGCGTCACATTACGGCGAATTACCGAACTTTAATATAGACAGAGAAACTCGTGAGACAAATGCATTCATGGGAGGTGCTAAAATGGAAGGTAATTTTCCTATCTTTTAACTGAGATTATGTGTTGGAAAACTTTCGCTCGGTTCATTTGTGACCAGGGTAATTATTACATGGGACAGTTGCGCACAAATGTGAGACAATTCCGTCCAAAGATAAAATTTTTGTACGTCAAAACAAAGTGGCATTGAAATTATTCGAAATTTATTGTTGGTTAACTTGGTTAGCACAATTTTGAACCCCCGAATTAACAACAATTTTTATTAAAAATAAACAGTATTTTTGTTCTTCATAATTAATGTGGGTAATTTGCGCATAGGTATAGGTACGTAATTAAGGTTGGTCTTTCCGTCAGAATTTTGGCAATTTTTTTGTTATATTTCGTACAACATACAAATTTATTTATAGTATGTCCCAGAATTAGGAGTAATAAACCACCAGGTTACGAAAGATTACAATTACTCTTACATAGAAGTAGCGCCGTAGCGGATAACAAATATTTTCTACCAAATTTGAAATGAGAAATTAAAAATGTGCAGCATCCAAGGTATGGGGATAGGTACCTACTTCGGCAATACATGCTGGGGATGTGAGCAGTCATACGCGTGCGCTAGTATATTGTCGTTATTTCTTAATTGTTTATATAAATACTGCGATTGATGATATATTGTATACTAGTCCAGTCAATCTATTCCGTTTTCCCATAGAAACCTTCATATAAAATTTCTGTCAATCAAAAAATAATTGAGTACAAGTAGATATTCTGCTGATTAACATACCAAAAAATGGATCTCCGAAAATGACTGCTAATATTGTCAATTTATTAAAAACGATTGAAATTTCACAACACAATGATAGTTGCACTTTGGCTCGAGTAAACATGCCATTTTGTAGAGAAATTAATAAATAATAATAAATAATAAATTATTATTATTATTATTAAAATCGGACTTTTTTTTAGTTTTTTGTCAATATTTTGAAATCAGCGCCATTTGCAAAAGAATGTGAAAATAGACGAATGAAAGAACATAAAATTTCCTATACAGTGGTGTACAGTATGTATATGGTGCTGTACCAGTAGCGAAGTTATAATGTTAATTTTGGCTATTTTAAAAAATAAATCTGATTTTTTATTTTTTGTGAAATATAGAGAAATTTCTCAAAAATATTTAGGTAAAAACATTCATTTCGTGCCTATTTTAATGAAATAAAAAATCATAACAGTGGCGTACTAAATTTTTTATGTCATCCATTTTTAAATACATTAAAACAATAATATATTGTAGTCAGTAGATATCTATGCAGTGCGGTAGGGTAACTTATTGTGAGATAGTTAAACTAAAATAAAACCTGTTTAGGCAAATGAATACTTAGCATAGCGTAAGTTTTTAAATTAGGTACCTAATTAGATATTTCTACATATATGTTCGTCAGACTCTTTAACAGTCTTTTTTGCAACCGCCTGTTGCAAAAAATTTGCTTTAGAACCCTTTCGGGGTCCATGTCTTGGTCCACTCCTGGACTGGGTAAGTTATTATTCAGCCATGTTTTTTGAACCTAAAAAATCATCCGGGTCAGTATTACTTTCAAGCCTTGAAGTCTTTGTAAATAAAGTATAATGAAACTACAGATGAATAGACTCAAATGACAGTGACAAATATAGCAAACAAGCTCCTGGATCACTGAACATTTTTTCTTTGGGTGATGATAAACAAAATACTGAAAACAGAATTGGAAAATTCGAAACCGTTCGGGAGTTATCTTGTCCACAGACGGACGGACGGACAGAAAGCCCAAAATTATGAACTCGCTAGGAGCTTGTTAAAAATAATTAATCTTTTCAAAGAAAATACTTGTTAAAAAGTCCTAAACACATGGTAATTGGTACTGGGCTGCCTTCAGAGTCGGTGGAAGCGATGCTAAATTAAAATCCTTATTTAATATTTGCTGTACTTACTACATATTGCTGGTAGAGAACGTCATTTAAATCACTGCATGTCGTATTCTTAGCATAAGCAATAAAAAACCTAGATATCAAGGTCCTGAATCTGTCATTTGTTATATTTGGATCGTAAAATTCTTCAAGAAGGTCCAACACCTCCCTTGCCTACAGTATAAACAAAATAATGTTTCCTATGTTGAAAAGCCCAGACGTGGTGTCACATGACAAAAATTTTTAGAGGTCCTAATTTATGTTGCAATTTTGAGATATCCGTGACTTTATTTGGTTTTCAATTTCCTGGCCGCAACATTAATAAATTTTATTTGGCATAGTGCCTTAATAACACCATGCCACATTGTTTTATAAAACTATGCTTATTTGTAGCGTTTGTCAAAAAATATTCTTGAAGAAATTTACTCGCGATTTAAAGACCTAAATATTTTTGAGACATTTCTCTTTATATCAGAAATTAAAAAATTAGTCTTTTTAAAAATAACCAAAATGAATATCATAACTCCGCCACTGGTATAGGAAAATATAGGTAGGTTTTATAGGAAAATATATACAGAGTGGTGACTTGCGTAACGCATCATAGGAATTTCAATGTAAAATTCATAACATGCGATTATTGGCTCCCCAAATTATTTTAGAGCAAAAATGTATTCAGGTTATTTGTATTACCCCATGATGCGTTACGCAAGTCACCACCCTGTATATGCTTTAATTTTTCTATCTTCATATCCCTAAATAACTTTGTTTTCAAGATACATATTCCCAAAAAACAACAATAGGCATTTTCAACCCTTTGAGGGTTTTTTAGGGGTTAGATGGTAGGGTTTGGTGGTATCTTATGGACCTCAAAACATGCGTTTACCCTAATCGAGTTTCAAAGGTTATCTTTCGATCCCGCTTTCCAATAAAATTTCATTGCCTCAGACGGAATCACACTACTAATTCGACATCTAGTAATAACCCAGGCGTTAGTGGTACAGGAACCACAAATTGTTCTTTTACAACAAATGTTAATGTTCCAAATAAATAATTGGTCAAATGTTAGGGTTTTAAATTAATTGTTTGAAGATGTCAAATTTGGTGTATAAAAATAAATGTTGCTTACAATTTACATTTAGCTGAATGCAACAGCGCCACACTTTTACCAAAAATGAATATTTTATATTCTGACGAAATTAAAAAACCAAAGGGATACCACTGACCACCCAAAACAGACACAATAGTCAAAATACAGGAAAACGTTGCCCTCAGTCATCCCTTTTGACCGATCACGTATCCAAAAACCTTACTTACTTCAATTTACTACATTTAAAGCTAGGATCGAGTGGACTCCGAATAAACTCAATGCTGTGCTCAGTCAAATACTCTACGAAACTACCTCTCGCTTTATCCTTGTCCCTTTTACTACGAACAATCTCGCTACTTTTCTTAAATCGTTCTAAACACTCCAACTGCTTCGCCAAGCCCGGCATATGTTCCCTACTACCTCTGCAGTAAGCTTCTAAAATTAATCCAAAACGCACGGACACCGACGGCACTTGCATTTCCGCCCTAAAAATAATGAGATGAATCACAAGACACAAATTATTTCCGATTACCTCAAATGCCAAAATAGGTAGTGTCCGATTTTTTGATTATTTAAAGCACGTTGTAATAAAAATTTAACTAAATCACAGTCAAGGTACAGTTCATGCTTAAGTGCTTGCACTAATTGTAATAGGTACAGGAGTAGGTCTTCGTCACTAAAACAAAAACACAAGATGGCAATTATTAGATATTTTATACCGATATCGCTACACTTGAGCGATGAAAAAAATTAGTTACCTAATATTAACCAGGCATTTAACGGCGAAGCTACGAACTTCATGATCCGCATACGCGTAATCGAGTAATTCGAGCGCCTTTTCTACGGACAACAAGGGCCACTCCTGCAGTAACGATATTACTTCACTAACAGCCTTACGATCCTCCCATTCGATGCACTGAAGAATTTTGGGCAAAATGTCAGGTACCTGCTGAAGCCAGTACCGCTTCAGGCCCCAAACCTTTTTCCTATCCTGATCGTGCATTTCGTACAAAGAATCGTTTTCTAAAAGCAATTTCTCTAAATTTTGAATATCTTGCTCGGTGGTACTCGACAATAAAGGACTACAGTCTTCTTTTTCTACATTATCATTAGCATAATTAATTACCGATTCTACACTAGGATACAAGATCGTCTGCTGCTCTTGGCCGAAACTACAACACGAGCGTCACACAATCTGACCAATACAAAGAGCCCTTACCTATCGTATATTAATGTTAAGGCGGTGGCGTACTTCGTATTAGGGTTACTAACGACGGTGCCTAAAGGATGAAAAACGTCATCGTTAATCATATCCTCGGCGTACGTCCACATATACAGCGTCATGGCGCCACTTTTAAAATGGCTACGGAAATCGAACACGGTCGTGTTCCCCCACACGATCGGGTACACGTCCTTATTCGAGGACTCCCTAATTCGTTTGGTCTTGTTTCCCTTCGAGTTCTTCGTCACTTCGTAAACGACAACGCACAGTTTTGCGTTTCTGGGAATATTGCACACCTTAATGTCGAATTTTAAAGTTTCGTTTAGTAGACACTCGCATTTCTCAGTCACTAACTTTTCCGACGTCTTCTGGGGTTGGCATAACGATTTTCCGCCGTGAAATAATCCTACTTGCACGCCGATCTGAAAGCAAACGATATACGTCAGTCGCGCATGTTTTTCTTAAAAATGAACATACAACGTTTTTGTAAATTAAAATTCAAAATTATCAAGTGCCCATAGTAGTGGAGGTCATGGTAATCGCGTTTGTCAATATTGAGATTCGCGACAGAAAATAGTAATAATTATTATTATTTCATTTAATTATTTATTTATTTATTAGTTCATTTGCATGCTTTTATGAATTCTTAAGTGCTTTTATGCAAGCCATAATGACATCCAATTGGTCATGCTAAATCTGTCATACAGACACCGTCGTAGATTAAATAACAAATGAGTAAATGTGCACCTATCAAATTAGTTTAATAAAATATTTGCATCATCGATAGCAAACGACTGAAGTGCTGCTTCATGTTGCAACTCCTTTTCACGTTATCGTGCAGAATTTCGGCTATCCCCGATTTAAGTGCTTCATGTGTGAATTCATATACAAGGTGTACATTTTTCTAGTGCCACTATGGAGATCTCGCTTATCTTAAGAGATAAGACAGTTAGTAAAATAAGCGCAAGGTTGCGAATTTTCGTGCTGAATAATAAACTGAAATATATTCAAAAGTTTTGAAAATATCTAAAGAAAACACGAAACATTTCTTATTTTCGTTTTGAATTTTTTCATGATAAACTGATAGTATTAGACATTTCTAATCAAAAGATTGTTCAGACCATAGATCATATCAAAGAGTAACCAGTACTCATTTGCCCTTAAAAAGGGCATTTTCGCAATAAAACTAACACAATGAGACTACCTACTATTTGATATAAGATCAAACTCTCAAAATATTGTTTAAAACAAAAGAACGTTTGTTTTTCCAAAGCACTCCGCAAAAAATAAAAAATTATATTTTTGGGAAAAATGTGATACTGAACCAATCTGCCCGTAACTATAACTACAAGTAATTCTGAATTTGGTATTTACGCTAATGAGTTGTGTTATGAAAAAGCTACAAGCGTAAAATATATTCTAACAATTGTAGGACTTGTACAACTTGTTACAGGCCCCAGATTTACAATAGGCGTTTACGATAATTGGAGCGCTCCATAGCGGGATGTATCGTCTGCGTTCGTTAATTAAAATTTGAAGATCTACCTGAGTTCGGCAATTATACCGAATGTGTCCAATACATGTATCAGATCCACAACTTATGGATCAGCTACATTAGTAGATACAGCCCGATACATCCAAAACATAACCTTCAAAGTGTTTGGTTATTCCGGACTTCATAATAATAACGGTTACCAGACACCCACCAGATGCATAACAGCTGATTACGTACTTTATCACTCGGTATACACCGCTCCAATTATCGTAAACGCCTATTGACGTCAAGAGAAAAAAACGGCGTTATCACAAAAAAGGCGTCCGTAAAAAAAAGTTGTCGCATGTTCCTCCGTCCTCCTGTGATGATTAAAAACGGGATGGCATTCGAATTCTCCATAAAAAAGTGTCAGAATGTTGTTTTGGTTAAAAATATTGAGTATTTTTTTTTAAATTTTATTTTCCCTTTATTTTTGAGTGGGCGGAGTTACAGTCAAGGCTGCTCTACCAACCCAACCCACTATACATTTACAAATATCCATGCTCGAACCCGGATTCGAACCAGGGACCCTTAGCACCACAGTCCAGCTTTAACTGAACTGCACCACACGGGCCGGCGATTAGTTTATCATGAAAAAATTAAAGACGAAAAATCAGAAATTTTTGTTTTTGGCGCTATTTCCAAAACTATTGAAGATATTTTCCAAACGCCCATTTATCAATAGGGTACATGACACTGGAAAAAGAATAAATACATTTTTGTTCCATAAGATAGAGTAAGGTGCCAGGGTATCGCAAAATAACTTTCTTTGATAATTTACACGAGAAACTATTATATTTTAGAAAAAATAAAATTAAAAAATAACGACATTTGTCACGTGATATCAAACGCCAATCAGAGCGCGTGACGTCATTATCCTAATCCTCTGTGCGTTTAGAGTTTGTCTACGTTTTTAATTTAGTGCTTGTCCCATTTTATAGTGATTATATTATCCTAAAGTTTAGTATTTAAAACCAGAAACGAATGGAAAGTAGGTGTAAGAAAGCTGATTCATGTAATGATGTTGGGAATATTTCTTGCATCATCTTGCATCTTAGTCTTGTAGGTTTTTAAGTTAAGCTTAGATTTTTACAAGAAATGTAGTTATTTAAGAGGAATGTGTACTTAAGATGCTATGTTTTTAGGTCATCGAAGCTATCATATTCAGTAAGCTATGTCCACTTTAAGAGTTTTCTGTACGTAAGCGCAACTTTTTACATTACGAACATTTTGTAGATAAAGGTCTAAATTAATAAAGTAGTTCCAAATTTTTTTTGGAAAAACAGCTTTTATGGCGGGCGCTCTTATGGAACTTTACATTGGGTGCAGTCGAACAGAAGACTCTTAAGCGTGATGGCAACTTATTCACAGTTAAGTCAAAATTTGCCCGCAATATACGGTTCACGCAAAATTGTATGCAGTTTCCTTAGTTGTCAACGAAGAAAACAATTCTTTTCTTTGCCCTACCATCACGGTACTTTTACAACCCCTCAGAGTCCACAGGAGTACTAGTGTCAATAAAAGTCTCCTTTATCACGTTTAACAAATCATGATCTAGTCCGATTATTTGAAACTCTATGGGCAAATGGCTGAATCGGATTCGGAAGTTGTCCAAATTGTCGTCTACCGAGCACGCCTCAGGAGTTAATGTACCTGAAAATGTGCTACTCATGTCAATACAGTTTACTATATTACGTTTAATGAGCAATCGCCGAGAACCCTTTTGGATTTCTCTAGTCCATGAAGCATTTGAATGATACAGGATCTTTGGAACCAGATTGACCCGCCTGGGATACTTAGCTGTGCTACAGAAAAATGTGACCACTGACCCCTACCACCACGACAAGGTGTACCCCATTATAGGGCACCACTTATAGCAGTTTTTTTTTTTTTGTTAATTTTACAGGTACTCATGCCTTCCAGCATATCCCCTACACCACTTATAGCAGTTATAATTCATTACGAAATCTTTTAAACTATTTACGCTGGGGTTATGTGTTTATAATCGACAGGACTGTGACGTCACTAACACCGCCATGACACAAAACAGTGTTTTGGCGCGAGAATAAAAATTTACAATTTAAATTGCATAAATTTGCAATAATATGATTTATATTTTGCTGAAATATCATTTTTTAAAGTTATAGTAGAGGTATACGAACAGTTATAACGGGTTTTAAAAAATTTGTCATCTACCCTATTGTTTCTATGGCCTACTATGTCCATGATTTCTATATTTATGAACGTAAAGTATGTGAAGTGATATGCTGTTAGAATCGCTGAAGACCTTTTTTTTATAAAGTCGTGGCGCACTAGTAGAAAAAACACAGGGTTATGTCAAAACTGAAAATTTTATTATACTGTATTATTGAGCTCATAATTATCTAAAACTGTTTTCTTTACACAATTTTTTGAAAGTGAATCATAACAGAACTTAAGGAAAAAACAAAAAAATGATTTTTTTAACATATCTAGTTGGCTATGCAATTTTTTCAAAAAACGAAAAGCTGGCAATTCTTTTCCCATGTAATGGTCTCTTGATCTCTGCCAGTTTCAAAGATCCTCATACTAAACATTAGAAAAAAGTCATCCTGTATAAGGGATGCCATTAGAATAAAACAAAGTTAAGAACTTAACAAGGAGGGACAATGGTGTATTTGTACGAGGTGAAATGAAACCAAGCTTATGTCCCATACATATGAGGTTCGCCGGAATAGGCGATACAACGTTCGCTAGTCACTTCATCCAGTTTGATCCATAAACATACTGTAACACCATATACACTGACGACGTGCGTGCAAACTTGGGAATATCCTACTATTACACCAAAAGGGTTGTCACAATTTTACACTTATCAATTATGGTGGAAAAAACAACAAAAACTGCTACTGTTGCTTTTTTTTTTATTGGAGATCACCAAAATTGACAACTGATAGATGGCGCTATAAAACAAAAGCGAAAGTAGACAAGAAATAATCTAACCTCACTTTTCCAACATATCCAAACTCTCTTCTGACATTGTTATTTTATTCATTCCTTTGGATTGATATTATTCCCCACTTTTTTCCATTAGGTACATGCACCAACATCTTATACCAAACTTTATAATCTAATTTCACACTAACCTTTATGGAAAAATTCAATATTATGCAATAAACGACTAATAAATGCCTAAAACAATATGTTTCACCACAGAATGAATGAGTAATATTTACAGATTAATGTGAAAGTGAATGGCAATATATTTATTGTTCACCTTCCAAGGGTGTACAAAGATTTGTGATTGTAACTTTCGGAAATAACCACCCTCAAATAATTCATAACAGAACTACGAACCATTAAACCTTCAATATAAATTAATCTAACTATCTAAAACTACAAATGAAAGAATGAAACCTAATATATTGCTCTAAATTTGTATCAAAAATTATAATTTGTCAAAGTAATTATAATAAACAAATGACATTCTTTTAATTCTTTTTTATTTGTTTTTTTTTTTTATTTATTTATTGTCCCTCTTGTTCTAGGCCCTCAACAGGCTTACGTAAGTTATTGTTCCTTTTTCCCTCATTTTTTCCTATTTTGTATTGAGGCTTTACAGTGAATGAATTTGTTTCTCTTTTTTAATTATTTGGTTATGTATCAAAGGCTGTATATTCAGAATTTAATTTTACTTCTAAACCTTATATATAAACAATATACAGGGTGTTTCATATAGCAAAATGATATTCTGTGGAATATCTCAATATTGTCATATTCCCATATCTAGCCCGCTAAGATTCAAGGCCTTAAAATTACCCATTTACTAAAAGATGATGCATCTGTGGATTTAAGTGTCAGTCTATCTTAGATCAAGGATCATGTTACACCCTCAAAATGACTCAAACTTGAACTAAAATTGCATGATACAATCTCCAGATCCAAATATCTTGAGTATGGCAAATGAAAAATTGTGAATGAATTGAAATAAAAATAATGTACCTCAACATTTCGTTTCGTATCACAGTTGAGTCCACTAATAGTACAAAGCGTAATGGCAAAATTCTCTTCTATGTTCCACGACGATTTATGCTTCCCTTTCTTTCTTAGTGTTAACGTCGAAAATGACGATCTAGGTTTCTTATTGTCTAAATGGTTGATTTTTTCGTAATCGTTCTCTATTAACACTAAAGAAAAGGTTAGTACCAGAATGAGAAATGCTAATATTAATACTTACTTGGTACACTATGCACGGATGTGGTAACAACAATTGGCGTTATATCTCTAAACAGGGAGTCCTGAACGTACTGAAATTGTATAATGCCGTAGTCGCCTACTAAATACTCGTCCCGACCGCAGACCTTTAAAACATAATCGTGAGGGCTCTCCCCTCGCGTATTTAAAATGTACGATCTCTTAGCTAAAATAGTTTCTAGTAGTTTTACGGGTGTGGTAGAATGCGGAATATTAAACGTAAATGCGTTCTGAAACGAATTCAAATAAGTTTTGCATGCCAAAACAGCCATCCTAAGTAAAAATGTTAGTTTCAAAACCAGTTAATCTGAAAGAACTTTCAAAAACGGCCACTAGTGGCGCTGCCTCCACAACTTTTCAGAAACCTGCTATTAAAGAGCTTCCAAAAAGACACTCTGTATAGTCCCAGTATCATGAATTAAAACCTTTTCTAAAAATCCCCTCAAAACTCAAAATTTGATACCGCCTTTTTACTTAAGATGGCAATCTCCAAGAAACCTACATCAACGGATTCGAATTTCGATATAATCTGCAAATTAGCACCCCGGCAGATGGCGTCCGCGCGTGACTCGCTAACGAAAGACAACCTCGGAGCGAATTGATAATACAACCTCTTCTCCCAGCTACGCTTCGATCTATCCTGCGCGACCTCGTCCCCCAGCTTTCGCATTTTGAAACGAAAATCGTTTATCTCCGGACTGCTTAGCGCATCGAACTCTTGTAAGCCTAAAATCCTCGAGTTAGCGGTAAGTTGGCAAGTTGGCCACCTACGTTTGCCGATCAGGTGTCCGATTTGCACGTTGAGCGAATTGTCGGCCTTATCGCCGACGCATTCGGTGATTTTTAGCACGGCGCCCGTCGGTCGTATGTCGCAGAGTCGTCGATTTTCGTCTATCAGCTCCTCCAGTTCGGCCATGCTGTTGATGCACATGAAGATGTAGACGGACATGTCGTGCAGGGTGCCGTACAACGGATACTTGGTGGCCTCGTCCCAGAGCTCTTCCTTGATCTCGGCGAGCGTGGCATTGTGGCTCGTTTCCAGAATGATCATGACGCCGTTCGGCATCAAGCAGGTCAAGCTTGTATACTCGGTAGGGCCCGTGAGCCAAAACTCGTACGTGAACTCTTCCGGTAGCGGTACCATTTTTTCTTTAGATTAGATTACTGTCAATTGCCACATATCTCTATGAACGTTTGTTGTAAACACAAACAACTTTATTATTCATTGGAATGTTGTTGATTCATCTTTTTTAGTATTATTGCCCATCCAGGAAGCATGATGGTTGTTTACAACTAAACTAATCACCCTAAATGTAATTAAAAGTATTTTTCGAACAGTTTAACGAGCAAGCAAGATGTAAACAAATATTTCTTGTAACATTCGCTAAAATTCAAGCAAAATTTTCACTTTTAACAACCTACTGTTCATTGACTTCCGAAAATACAACAGGGCGACAAACTTTTAGGCATAAAAATGCTCTAAGGAAGCATTATAGGGGTGTGCATTTTATCAATTAGATTTCAATTTAAAACAAGCCAAAAACATCTAAAATACATCCGCCGCAATTGGTAAATTAAATAAAAATGCATTTGAGAAAGGAAATGGAAAATCTGGAGCACAACATGCAGGTTGATATGCAATGTGTCATACTCATACAGTCATACACCTACACATTTGGCACAAAAGGATCTACCCGCATTTCATTATAACGGCATTTCTTTTCAAAATAATCCCCATTCTTAATTGCGAAAGTTAATTATCTACCTAACAAATCCAGAAATGTTGGCCCAACTAATTTTTAGTAGTAGGTGTTATCTTTATCAGTAGTTCAAAGTTTCCAATAATAGTAGACTCAATAAACGGGAGTAGTTCTACTATAAAACATAACCAAATTTTTCTATTTCTAACCTCATTTGCGAGAATGCTCGTTCCATAAAGTTAAAAATGTCTCAGTTTAACCATTCCGAAAAAGTTCCTCAAATATATAAATTAGCGGCAAAATGTCTGCAACAATTCAAGGAAAAAGGGGGCAGTTTAAAAGAATTGGTTTTCAATCAACGAAGTTTTAATGTATGTATTTTGCATCATTTACTTCTCGTAGCAAATGCTGTTTTTTAGAATATCAAAGGTATATATGCATTAGTGACGAAAACTGTGCAAAATTACTCACAGATTAACGACATGTTCGATAAGGTAGGCCTGTTGACGAAGGAAACACGTTTCAATCCATGGCTCGCGCGTATCTTAGCGACACAATTGCTGTGGTCAGACAATGGACTGTGTGGTAATTGTACACCGATTAAAATCATACTGTCATACCGTTCGGAACTGGAAAAATATGCAAACTCAAATTTAAAGGGGTCGTCACGAGGTAGGCGATATTGATCTGTACGCTATGTAACTACCGAATTTTCAGTTATGAAACCACGCTATGTGAGAGTTAACACCTTTGCTCTTACAGTAGACGAGGCAATCAACGGTTTTATTAACGAAGGTTGGGAATTCGTGGAGCATTGTGGGGACGATTATAATTCGTTCATTAAACGCATATCCTCCTTGCAGAATGGTCAATTTATGTTAGACCTTCACATAAAAGAATTGCTAGTATTTTCCCACAAAACCGAATTGTACAATCACGAAACGTACAAGAGCAAGTCGATTTTTTTGCAAGATAAGGTAGCGTAGATTGTAAATGTGTCGCTTGTTAATGTTTACATTTAGGCTAGTTGCATACCCGTGCACTTGTTAAACCCAACACCTGGAAGTGTAGTGCTCGATATGTGTGCGGCACCTGGGCTAAAGACGATATTCCTCGCGGAACGGTTACAGAATAAAGGAACTGTGTATGCCGTTGAAAGGGACCAAAACCGCTATAATACTCTCACGTCAATGATTAATGAGTCTGGAGCCACGTGCATCAAAACCATTCACAAAGATGTTCTTGAAGTTTCAGCGGAGGAGTGCCCTAATGTGGAGTATATTCTAGTCGATCCGAGTTGTTCAGGCTCAGGAATTGTAGACCGCGTTAATATTGACGAGGTGACGACAATAGACGAAGCGCGTATAAGCAAATTAGCGAACTTTCAAATACTTCTGCTCAAACATGCTCTTACAAAGTTTCCTAAAGCAAAACGTGTTGTTTACTCGACATGCTCCATTTATTCTAAAGAGAACGATTATGTAGTCAGTGAGGTTTTAAAAAATAGGATCAACTTTAAGCTGATATCGACAGATGGCCTGTTGAAACATACATTTTTGAATACTTTTAAAGATAATCCGGACAATGATTTAAAAGCTATACGAAGCAAGTGTGTCTATACCATTCCGGAGAGGGATCTGACAAACGGTTTCTTTGTTGCTGTTTTTGAGAGAACGAAAGAGTGGGTAGAACGGGGACACAACGAAAACAATCGGGAAGAATTCAAAAATAATGAGGTGAACGAGGAGGCCATGGTTGGCTTAGAAGAGAGCAGTAATAAAAAAAAGAAAAAAAGGGATCATGCCACTGAAGAATCTCTTGATGGTAAAAGACACGAAAGCAGTACTTCTGAAAACATCGACTCATTTCAAGAGGAAACTGAAGAAATTCCAAAGAAGACAAAAAAGAATCACCCTCCAGAGTCTTGTGAAGTAGTAGAAACATCTGCCAACTTAGAAGAAAATAGTACTAAGAAAAAGAAAAAAAAGAAAATCATTGATGAAGAACCCACATTTGTAATTTCATCCACTAATGACGACGATAGTCATGTTTCCAAAAAGAAAAAGGGGGAATTGGAACAATCAATTCAAAGTGATCAAGATTTTGAAAAGAAGAAGAAAAAAAGCAAAATGAGCATTTCTGAAAGCATAACTATTAATTGTGGCGCAGCGACAGTTGCACAGTCCGAAGAAATTTCAAGAAAGACAAAGAAAGCAAAAAGATCTGGAGAGCTTCACGAAGTTGTGAATTGTGAAGAAAAAGGCAAAGAGAAATCCACTTTGGTTGGTCTAGATGGAGTAGCAAATGAGAATGACGAGGGCGTTCAAGAGTCTCGAAAGAAAAAGAAGAGGAAGCGTGCCACATCGGAGGATACAGAAGGAGATGCAGCAGTTAAAGAACTTAGGCCGCAGACTGCTGATGAAACGCAAGAAACCTTGAAAAGAAAGAAAAGAAAAGAAAAAGAGTCCATTTTGGAAGACTACCACCTACCAGAAGCTAACAAAGACTTAAATTCAAATTCAGACGAAAAAAGCCACAAAAAAAAGAAGAAACGGAAGCATGTAACTGATGAAATTCCATTAGCTATACCGTCTGAAGAAGACAGTCTCATTTTTAGTAAGAAGAAGAAAAAAACTAAAGGTGACCCAAGCACTGATGACATTCATATTACCCATTCTATAGAAGAGATATCGGATCAAAATTTACAGCAAGCTCATAAGAAGAAAAAGAAGACTGAAGAAATTAGTATGAGACTAGAAGGCGATTGCGAAGATGAGAAAGCAAGCGTGGATATAAAAACTAAAAAGAAGAAAAGGGATAGACATGATGAAGAGTCCTTCGATATGGTCTTGCAAAATTTAAGCAAAGAATTTGAAGATAGTGTGAGGCAAGAAAAGGAGGAGCTTGAAAAATCGAATCCAATGTTAAAATTTGATGGTGCACATGAGGAAGTTACAAAGAATAGGAAAAAGAAGAAAGATATCACTGAAGAGCCCGGAGAACAAACTGATAAACATAAGAAAAAGAAGAAAGCAAAAGATGGATCGGAAAATTATGCTGATGTTAACGACAAAAGTATGGAAGAGGAGTTTGCGTCAAACGTTGAGCATACAAAGAAGAGTAAGAAGAAAAATAAACATTAAGGAGAATGTTCTATTAATTTTTGTACAATTGTTCATTAAAAGGAAAATTGTAATTCAAAGTTTAGTTTAATTTCAAAACTTCTCAGAAGTTCCGCCCTGTATATAACAACTTACACTGGTGCACACATTTTTGAGAGCTGGCCACCGCGCGACTTGTGATATCGAGCACCAGCGCTGGCTAGGGTACATACCGACATCTTCGTTATAACTTTTGTTACGAAAACGTTCTGCAGTTTAAGTTTGTCGTTATTTTTGCCTGTCATTTTGCATTTGTTTATATAATTTGTTTGTGTTTTGTACGTAACATTTTATATTTTTTATAATTCTAACATAGGAAATGTTTATGTTTTCGTATATGGGTACAAAGTTACAAGTTTCCTTCAAAGCCAAAAGACAATGGTGTCGCGTCAAATGACAATTATGTACCGTACTCGGCCGTGATGGGTAGGTTAAGGAAAAGTCGCGGGTACTTTCGATACGGTACTTAATACTGACTTAATTGTTTTGTTAATTCTCGCAACTGTCCCTTCGATAGTATTAGGAGCATGTTATGATGCTTTAATTATTGCGAAGGGTGACGCTTGATCGGAGCGAACCTTGCTTTGTTGTATAATGTTACTTTCTTACTCGTGGTCCGGTGTCAGACTGTGCGTAAGCCATACAAGAAGGGGCCCTCTAATTAACTTAACTTTCTACTTAAATAAATAGATAAAATAGACTTTGACATGAATTAAACTTATACTATAAGCATTCTCACATATCATATATCAGGAAAGCTTTCCTGAACATAGTCATACTAACAACATTTCGTTTCAATTTTTACTCACTTATTCATCTTTGACGGTAAGAAAAACATCACTACATACATTGTAAGATCGTTTAAAACCATATAATATAGCTCGGCCTGAAGATGACCAAGAATGCTCGAAATCGATAGCCGCATCAGCAACTAAATAAAAAAACGTGTTTACAAATATTTCTATTTAGGATTTAAAAAGGCTTGGCCTGAACTGATAAGGTCTTATAAAAGGCTCTGGTAAGGCCATAGACAGCTCTGGAAAGAATCTAGAGACCTCTAGCTAGAAAGTGCACAAAAAACTCTAGCAGCTTAGCAAGGTCCAAAAGTGATACAGATTTTTGAATGCTTTACAAGCTATCAAGTCTGATCTTAGAGCTTAGAGGAAAAGGGACAAGAGAACATCAGATTCCGAATCGCTTAAACGTAACTTTAAGAAGTTTTGCAATCGATTTCTAAGTAAGTATAGAATTATTTCGAGTTCGTATTTTTTCGAGTGTTTTTGAATCCGTTAATAAGGATTTCCGATCCCGATATTCGTTATGAACTACACAATGTTCAGTTTAACTACTGTTAGTAGTTAAAATAGCATAACTGTAGTTCAACAATCCTACTACAAAAGTAACATAACCTTTCAAATAAATTTTTTATTTCTCATATAAAAAATTATCTCGTTTGTACTGTAATTGGAAAGAAGAAAAATATGGCAATGGAGAATAGTATAGATGTAATTATTAAACGTGAACCACAAGAGCAGGAGGAGCAGGAAGTCAATTTTAATTCAAGTTATACCGAAATCGACGACAACATTAAACCGCTTAATGTGAAACGGGAAGAGGAAATAAATTCCTTTCTTAACGAACAAAAGTTTCATATAAAAGAAGAGTGTGACTATTTTGGTTTACAAATAAAACAGGAATCCGACTGGAATGATGTCGATCAAACTCATAGTCCGCCATCCAGTAGTATCGTCGCTTCCACTGACATTATACAGACCACTGTGAAAAGTGATTACAGTCATCAGATGCTTTCAAAAGACACAAATATGTGGAAAGATGAAAATCCTGAACATTCTAATTATACTATGAACTGCGACGAGCAAGAGCAGTTTAAACATTCCGAAAAAGTTCCACAAATATTCAAACAAGCATCCAAGTGTCTTCGAAAAATTATTGAAAATGGTAGCAATATAAAAGAAACCGTTTACAGTCAAAGGAAACACATTGTAATATATTTACACTTGCATCTGATAATTATTAAACACCCACTTTTAGAATCTCAGGGCTATGTATGCTTTAGTATCAAAAACTGTACAAAATTACTCTCAAATTAATGATATCATTGCTAGAGCAGAACTGTTGGTGAAGGAAACACGTTTTGATCCATGGCTCGCACGCATCTTGGTAACACAGCTACTTTGGTCGGACAATGGGCTTAATGGACAATGTAGACCAATTGAAATTATCAAGTCATACCAGTCCAAGTTGGAAAGATACGCTGGTTCCAATATGTCAGTGCAAGCACGAGGTAGTTTGAGGTAATGGTACCTTACATGATCACTCTCATTTTCAGTTTATAAGCCACGCTATGTACGGGTGAACACATTTGCTCTCACAGTAGACGAGGCCATCGACGGTTTCACTAATGAAGGTTGGGAATTTGTGGAACATGCTGGTGACGATTACAGCACATTCGTTGAACAAACAACTTCCTTGCACAGTGGCCAATTTATGTTAGATCTCCACATCAAAGAACTACTTATATTTTCTGACAAAGCAGAATTGTACAATCACGAAACGTTTAAGTGCAAGTCGATTTTTTTACAAGATAAGGTAGCGTAGATTGTAAGTGTGTCGCTTGTTAATTGTTACGTTTAGGCCAGTTGCATTCCCGTGCACTTGTTAAACCCAACACCTGGAACTGTAGTGCTGAATATGTGTGCAGCACCGGGGCTAAAAACCATATTCCTGGCGGAACGATTACAAAACAAAGGAACCGTGTATGCGGTCGAAAGGGACGAAAACCGCTATCATACTCTCACGTCACTGATTAATGAGACCGGTGCCACGTGCATCAAACCCATTCATAAAGATGTTCTTAAAGTTTCAGCGGAAGAGTGTCCCAATGTGGAGTATATTTTAATCAACCCTATCTGCTCGGGATCTGGAATTATTGATCGAATTAATGTTGATCAGGTGAACACCGTAAATCACGACCGTTTAACAAAGTTAATAAGATTTCAAACGCTCCTACTTGAACACGCGCTCTCACAATTTCCTCAAGCCAAACGGGTCGTTTACTCTACAAGCTCCATTCATTGGCAAGAGAATGAATACGTAGTGCGTAACGCTTTAAAGAAAATGACCGATTTTAAGCTCATCTCACCAGATGCTGCATTAAATCATACTTTCGTTAATATTTGTCCAAATCAATGTTTTAAAGCGATACAGAAAAAGTGCGTTTATACTGTTCCAAAAAGGGATTTAACAAATGCCATTTTTGTTGCTGTTTTTGAAAGAAAACGAGAAGTAGATGCAAGCGCCACCTCTACAGGGACAAGGGGTTGGCTTAGCCGACATAGAACTTATAAACGAAACTCAAAAGAGATGTCTAGAGAAACTGATCAAGATTATCAAAGAGACTTTCAGGAAGACTTTGTTGAAACAACAAAATCTAGAAGAAAGGAATACTAGGGGACGTTTTTTGGTAATAATCTGTACAATTGTAAATCAAAAAAGTTTTAAAAGTTCCTTTAAAAATGTCAAAGATATGAAAAATAAATCCTATTCTTTAGATTTTGTCCATTATTTCTCCTATAGCTTTTGCTAGACCAGCAAACAAATAGAAATGAAGATGGCCTCTAGGATTTTTTTTGTTGATAACGCAGAATTGGATGTAGGTTCGCGTTTGTAATCAAAATTAATTCTTTTTATAAATCGCGATAGCAGTTTTATTGAAAATAGGAACGAACACTTTCTGTCGGCGACCGTTTTTCTTTCAAAAAAGTTACGACTAGGTCGATGTAGGCAAAGAGTACCCTCTTTGATATAGGCCTTAAGGGCCCCATTCACATGCGGATCTGTACGGCCGACAGATCCGTGTTGAGCTACACACAGGCGGATATGGCTGTACACAGATCACGGACAAATCTCAATAGACAAGCAGGCGGCGTTCTGTCGCTATTTCAGTTCTGTAGTACTAGCCCTGGGTTGTGTTCTTTCTGTGGTAATTGGTATGGATCAGAAACTTACAATAATTGGAGGTTTTATTTGAAGATACGAAAAAAAGAGACTATGGTCAAAACAGTGGTTCATGAAACGAAAAAAGTACTCTCATATGACTTTACTTCAGTTGTGCAATCTCCCCTCAGCTTCTCGGGAAAATTATACCTGAAACTTTCAAATAAGCCACCAGCCTTGGCAGAATATGCTCGGAAATGGCATAAAATAATTTCATTAGTAGTTAGGTGTGCTTGGTTGGTGGAGTAAGGCACTACAATCTTTACCAGTATTTAAATTGTTCCCCAAAAATGCGCATTGTGTTCTGGAATGTTAATATGACCGTAGTCTTCAAATTTTACATTTAAAATATCCCCAAAAGGTAACTGATCGGATTGTATTTGACTAACAGTTTCACCAACAGTTCGGTGTTGTTCCGCAATTTTGCTTGTAAAATTACCCAAAAGATCATTTAAATCTTTAGCACAATTTGCGCCTGCATTATATTCAAAGTAATTTAAACAAAATATTTTTTTAAAAGATTGTTTAATTGGAGTAGGTTGAGTCGCATTTCCATTTTGATCTCTTAAATTTCCAAACATATTTTCAAGAATTATGTATTTGATGATTCTATGTCCGGCAAACAAATCCGTGAAACGACTACACACGTGCGTATTTGTCCGGCTCGCTGTCCGTGCTCGTCGTTCTGATCGACGGATGGCGAGCAAGATATGTACGCCGAACACGCGGATACACACATACGAATTGATACGGATCTGTCCCGCGTACATGTCCGCCGTACAGATCCGCCGTACATATCCGCATGTGAATGGGGCCCTTTAGATCATACAATCTGTAAACTATATGATCTAAGATATAGGCATCCAACATATCTTTACCCTCAGTGCTTGTGTACAGGGTACAAACTACAAGTTTGACACTTTCTTATGGAAACTTTATTTTGAGAGATAGAAAAAACGGGCGAAAGGTGTCTGGAGCTCAATTTTAAAGAGAAAATCCCTGGCGCAAACAGAATTCAGCTATCTTTAATCGTTTGGCCGCTAGAGGGCGCTTCTCGAATTTATAGTCAATTTCTTTAATCCCCATAACTCTTATTATTAAAGATAGGTAATTTAAGTTTGACAAAATATTTCTTAAAGCACTTTTTTATACAGGGTGTTTTTTTAAGATGGGCCATACGACATTGTAAAGGTGTTGAGCTATTTAAAATGGCCATAGGGAAATTTACATTGCGCCAATTGTTCTGAAATCTTGGCCTTGCGCTTAGTTTTTTTAACTTATTTCACTGACAGTTCTCAATCTGATCCTTCAAACTGCATCAACGAAGTAGCAACATGTATACCGCCCCTCAAAAAGGTGTTCATGCATGTAGTACAATTTGTACAAGAGTGGGCACAGTAGCTGAGTGGTAATGTGGGCTATTCAGTGCCGAGTATCGGATAAGGTTGCCGGTGGAAAACAATTCGAGCACCGATTGTAATTTTATACGTTTATATCTCATTTAAATAAATTTGTTGATTTAGAAACAGAGCTGGGCAGTATTCAATTTTGTAAATACTTTTTAGTATTCAAATCCATTAAAGTATTCAAATACTTTGTAATTAAATACTTTTATGGAAGCAGTATTTGTATTTGTAACTCAAATACTTTCACAAATATTTAGTATTCAAATAGTACTTCGCAAAGTATTTGGAAACTTCGTAAAATATTCGAATACTTCGCATAGTATTTGAATACCTTCCCTTTTTATCAAAAATCGACTACTGCAAAATTTCTGGAGAAAACACTTTTTCTTATTAATTTTTGTGCGTAGAATCCAAAACGATTCGTACTTTTTCGATTAGTTCTATAAGAAAATTTTTTTTCCGGGTCGATCTGAAACAATTTTTTTTTCGGGCCTCAAAAAAGGCAGTCCCTCCCTTTTTTACCAAAAATCGACTACACCAAAATTTCTCGGGAAAACACTTTTTCTTATTAATTTTGGTGCGTAGAATCCAAAACAATTCGTACTTTTTCGATCAGACTTCTCAATCAAAAGTTATACTAGAAACCAATTTCGAAAGAAAATTCAAAGGGCTGTAACTTTTGAACTAGTAGCCCAATCTTGGAACTGTTTGAAATTATGGATTCTACGGGCCAAATTCTATAAGAAAATGTTTTTTCCCGGTCGATCTCAGACAATTTTTTTTCCGGCCTCAAAAAAAGGCAGTACTTTTAAGTTATTCAAATATTTGAGAACAATTTAGAAATGTTTAGGGAAAGTTTCCATTGTCACAAAATCAAATATAAAAATCCGATACAACTGAATACCGAACGATCCTGGAGTGAAACTTTTTGACTCGATAGTCTACGTAACTTAAAAACAATAGGACCTTTCTTTCTTATATCCTTAAGACCATGTGTACCAATTTTCAAAGCGATCGCACGTTTCTAAACAAACTATCATGCACACGGACAAACGGATGGTCAAAAATGGATCTGATCCAAAATCGCTAGGATTAATTTCAGAAAGGCGTACGTATCATGTGCACGACGCTTTGAAAACTGGTACAGGTATTCTTAAGGATATAACTGGTATAAGAAAGGTCCTCGTAGGTACCTCCTATATAATAATATAATAATAATAATACGCTTTTACTCCCCTTAAATTTGTATATAACAATAGAAATATAAAAAAAGCTAACCCCATGCAAAGTATAATTTGATTTTTTAAGTAATATTGAGACATTTATCTAGTATACTATTTTAAATTTTTAATGTATTTGAGTGACAAGAATTTGAATACTTTTAACTGTATTCGAATACTTTTCAAAGTATTCGATTACTTTTTATAGTATTCGAATACCTTTGATAGTATTTGTGCTGGACGTAAAAGTATTTAATATTCAAATACCTTTGATTTGTGTAAAGTATTTACTATTTAGTATTCAAAGTATTCTGCCCAGCTCTGTTTAGAAACAATTTCTACAGTACTGTTGCAGATGATTCGCGAGGAAGCTGACTGAAACAATTGATGCAATGTAAATTTCCCTATGGCCCATTTTAAATAACTCAACGCCTTTACATTGTATGGCCCATCTTAAAAAAACACCGTGTATAGAATCCATCGCGATAAGTGCACAGTTTTTGCGTCTTAAGAAAGATTTTACCAAAATCAATTATCTTTAATAATAAGAAAGTTATGGCGCATTCAAGAATAATCGACTCAATTCGAGAAACGCCCCCTACCGGCCAAACGATTAGAGATAGCTGAATTTTGTTTGCGCCAGTGAATTTCTCTTTAAAGTTGAGGTCCAGCGACACCTAGGCCCATCGTTTTCTATCTCTTAAAATAAAGGGGGTTTCCATAAGAAAGTGTCCAATTTGGACCACCCTGTACAGAGTACAGCGTGCCCTTAGTCCTATTAATAAAGGTCACAGGCACGGCGTGGGAAAAAGAAACGGTCAAGGGAATTTACTGGAAACAAAGATCATACTACTGATCTTTGCTGGAAATGATTTGTAAGTTTCTAGGTTGGCCGCTAGAGAGCGTAAGATGCATGGTAAGCAGAAGAATGATTTTTTTTCAAAAATTTATTGTAGATATTTTTATTATTTATTTTTTGCAAAATAGGTTCACTTGAAAATTGGAGCAAAACCATTATTTATTCACCAGTTTTGTTTGTGAAAAGGAAAAACATATTAATTTGATGTATAGGAACTAAATCTACGCTTTCCTACGAAGCTCTGGATAGGACACATAGGAAATTATTTTGTAAATTACAGTTGTAACTGGGAATTATACTAATTTACAGTTGTAACTGGGAATTAGTTTATAATTTACAGTTGTAATTGGGAATTACACTAATTTACAGTTGTAACTGAGAATTATGCTAATTTACAGTTGTAACTGGGAATTATAGTCTACTAATTATATACTACCTGCGTCAAGGATAATTTCCAGTTGCAACTGTAAATTAGTATAATTTCTGGTTGAGTTGATAGCGCGAAAATTTCATTTACTTAATCACCAATTTCATTGAGAAACCGACAAAGCATATTGTTCTAAGTGTAAGATTTTGGCCAAACCCGTAGCGTTAAGGATTTTTAAACCTTAGTGCTTAAGTTTGAGGCGGTTTTTCAAAATTTAAAATAGAGTCTAAAATGAAAATAGGAGAGGAAGAATTAAGAATGAATGCAGCAAACGAGCAGGTAGAGGTGCATAATATTAGCCTACCTACATGTGCATCCCAGAAGTCAGAAGTGTGATCCATCATGTCGTTAATTAAGTGAGAGAATCATCAAGTATTTTGAAATACCTACTTCGAATCATTGTTGAGTTGTACAAAATCAAATAACATATTCTTCCTTCAGGGTCAAGGTTTACATGGTCTCCCTGAATTTAGCGGACGCTTTAACGGGCGATCCACCTACCGAAGGAAAGGATAGGAATGACTTCTTGAAGAGAGATAATACAAAGCGCGAAGGACCGGCTGGTCTGTCTCATAAATAATGAGTGCTTGTCATTTATGTACAGTAACAAGGAGACTGCTA